ATCTTGCCCAATATACCTGCATTGGTTTGAGTTTCCTCATCAGACGGATCAGCACAATGGATCAAAGAAATCTGCAACACACTGGAGTCGGCATTCACTTGCCCCATCCACCGTATCCAATTGCACATTGGGAGGGGAGCATCGTTTGATGCGTTTGCACTTGTCCTCAACGTCTTCCTCATATGCTCCTTGTGTCAACAGTCTCGTCCCAATAAGCTGCAATACTATCTGTGGTGGCAATCCACTTGTAAGTCACCTCTTTCATGGACTGACTTCTTCTTCTCTGTCAGTGATTGACTCTATGGCCTCTATTTCTGGCTCCAAGTGCAATCATCTTCCTAAGGTCTTTCCTCATCATATTTCCTCTGCACTGCTTGGTCTCCCATCTATCTCTTGCTCTCCTTTTTCCACCACCCGCCATTGTCATCATCCCCACGTCGTTGTCGTGGGAGTCAGGGTCAGTCCGTTTCTGAATCGAATGCGGGACTCGGCAAACTGTATCCTGATTCCGCTTCAAACCCCAGTCGGTTTTACGTTTTTAAGCAGTAGGCACATGAATTTGACCATACGTGCGTGTTTATTTTGTTCAACTGGAAAATGATTTGAGGGGTGGCCAAAGTTTTGCCTTGGATAAAACGCAGAATGCGGTCAGGTCAAAGGGGCATAAGGAAAAAGAATGACGATTGCGAAAATGTTTATAGCTTGGTGCACAAGAATGTGCCCATTTGGCATTGTTGAAGCAGGCGCACCCACCAGAATCTTGTTCAATAATAAAGAAGGTTCTGTTCTCCATGACTTTCGTTAAGCATATGCTAAACACTAGTTGTAGCCTTGCTTAATTATGACGCAATCGTACCGTACGAATCTAAGGCAACATCAAGATCATACATTTGACGCAAAGCTGAGTTAATAGTAGGCACCTGCATCGGACTGTAGAGGCTCTTGCACAAGACCATCACGCACAAGCACACTGGTAAATTGGGTGGCTAAAATGCGCTTCTTAGATGACAGCGCACGGAACAGAGGACAGTGGAGCAACAGTTTACGGCTCTTAGGGCTGATAACACTAGCTCACATGCTTGGCAACAGCAACAGTTTGACCGGATTGTTGTGAACCAAAAAAGGTTTGGAGGCAGTATTGAGAGTGCCCTTGGTCGGCAGGACCCCGCAAGACGTGCAAGACGTAATGCCCATGCCAAAGCTGAAGCAACACAACGGCAACAAGAACGGCAACAGCAACAGCAATAGCAACCTCCTCGGTGACAGCAAGCAGCAAGGGGGCAAGAGGAAGCCAAGGAAGAAGAAGCCGCCCCACCAAATGAAGGTGTGGAGAATTCAGCAATACATGGTTGTCACCATTGACGCTGCCAATGCAAAGATCATCCAAGTGTACGGTCACGGTTCGGTGACGAATCTGATCGGCCAGATTACCAGGGACCAAAAGAATCCCACACTGCAGTATGTGGGTAGCCAAAGGTTCCGTCGTGGTGTTCTGCCTTGTCGCAATGGCCCTCTTGGCAACGATTTAGGTGGCATCTTGGCCTAGATTTTGTCTTGGGCTTTCTTGAGTTTGAGAGATGCTCGCTGAGGCCTTAGGCGATCTTTTGAGATGCTCGCAGAGTGCCTTAGCGATAAGAAATAAGATGGCCACTTTGTGAGTAAGACGGTGTGGACTTGTGCGTACGTAGGTCTTGGTACATGTCCTACGGTTACACTCACTGTTACTACTATCGTCTTTTTCTCTCAAATAAACTCAAAGGAATGTCACTAGGTAACGTCCCCTTGTAGAAAGTGTGGGAAGGGATCTAAGGGTTCAGGGCGTGACGTAGGCATAGCTATATGGACTGGCAAGTACTAGGATGGGGAGGAGCCGGAGGAATAGAGGGATCGAGCTTAGCGTGTAATGATGGCAGGTTGAAGGTCTTGTGCCAAGTGCGTAGATAGATTGAGGGCGAGTGATTGGTATGCCCAGCGTGAAGGTGTATAGGGTTGGGTGTCAATGGAGTAGTTGGTGGGAGTGATGAGGTGTGTATCGGCGGTGGGGAGGATGGCAGTTGGGGCTGAAAGGCGTAGGAGCGTTGGGAGTAGGGTGGCAATTTATCAGACCATGGGGGTGCTGAGAGGGGGAATGGTTGGCGAGAGAAACCATAGAGGAGAGCATGGGCAAAGGGACCGAGTCCAATAAATGGGTCAACAGTGAAGGGGAGAAGGATTACACCTGCATTTTGGAGGGCTGTAAAGTAGTGAGCAGGGACAGTGCGAGATTTTGTTGTGGGCTTACTTCGGATCGACTTGAGATGGGCCTGGGAAAGGGTTTTTGGTTGATGGCTGGGGTACCGGTACATGTACGGGTACATGTACCAGTACACTGGTACCACTACATACATGTACCACAATCCGTGAGGTTTCCTCACGACTTAATTTTGGGGGTTTCGAAGGGGGTAAGATGAAACATTTTTTGGCAAGGCTCTACTATGTGATATCAGTAGTAAAACCCTTTTTTGCAGACTTCATCCGGTGGCTTTTGAGCAGGATGTCATGGGCATGTTAACTCATGCACCGTTGAATTATTACCAAGGCTAGCAAGCATAGACAAATGCACGATATTCTTAATGAGAAAAAGCTATGAGAAGAAAATGAGCCAGAGATTTATGAATTCTGCTGTGAGTTGCACGTGGAAGAAGCACAGCAATGCCACCATGGTACGTCGTTGCTCCAGCCTGTGGTTGAACTCCTCGTCCATTTCTTTTTCACTGAACGTGGAGAGGAGATAATGCGAGTGGCTGGACAATGGACTACACAAAGAGTATTCCTCTGCCAGCAAAGCCATATTGAATGATTCATTCAATCCAATCCTATTGAATAAACGGTTGGATCCCTCTCTATTGGACCAGCGGAGGCTGACTCGAATGATGCAATCAAATCGAATAGCTAGTTAGACTCAAGTACCGATACCGGTACGGGTACTGATACCGGTACGGGTACTGGCTACTTCTGGTATCAAGCCTCAGTCAATTGGTTGCACCTCTGCGACCGTATCAAGCATCAGTCAATCAGAGCGTCTCCGGTGCAGAAATGAAAGCCATCCTCATTTGAAATCGACGGAGGAGGCTCTGTTACTTCACACCAGCTAGAACAAACGCTGTCGAGTCGAGTTGGTGAAAGGCAACAATCAACCAAAGGACACAGACACCTATTGGATCCATGCCTCCTTTGAATTTCCTAGTGTTTTAGTGGTAATTCTTGTGTCGGCACCAAGTTACTATGTTGCCAATCTTCAACCAAGGCCCCCATTGAATGGGGAGTCCTTGGCCGTATGCCGTATCAGAATCTTCCTTAATTTCTATTCTCTTACTCTGATTGCCAAGGAAATACCATTGTCGAGTTCTAAATCATCCTGATCAATCAAAATACGGTACCGGCACCCAGAGAGATCAATCCCTGGAGGCTCTGTTAACTCCCCTATCTTCAGCTTGAACAGAGGAGCCTTTCATTGTCAAGTCATGGAATGGCAATAATCATCAACCGGAGGAGGCCACATGACAACACACAAGAGAGTGGATCCTCCTATTGAATTCTTTCATTGGTTGGTGTTCCTGTGTCAATGGCACAAGTCCCCTACCAGCAACGCAGCAACCAACTACGATTGGAGAAATCATAACCAGGTAGCTAGGATATGTTTTAGTACCAACAAATAGACCATACTAGTACCCATTTCATTAGGAGAGACCACACCGATCAATTCACCGTGGAAAACAATGTTGAGTCTGTCACGGAAACATTATCGCCACTTTGACTGTCCATGGTAGGGAGAACTCATCGTCCGCGGTGCAAATTGTATACTGCTTCCGAGGAATTGCTTGTCAAAATCCACCAAAGTCTCTTTTCCAACCAATTTTAGTGTACAGTGTGAACCGTTGCCGTTCCAGACGGCAGAGACTGTACGCTGACTGGTGGGTTAAAGTGTTGTAATGGGCTTTTGGGAGACTCAACACTATTGAGTTTTCCGTGGTCGTGGGAGTATCCATAGCGGTTGGATTGGTAATGATAGTGGTACTGTAGCTGGCAATGACAGCAGTTGTTGAGTGCATTTCCTTTAGCTGATGGATTTGATTCCAACTTTGCCGTAGTTATCCACAAACACCACCAATGTCTCCTTCCCACACACTTTTACTGCACAGTTTGAACAACTCTGTCCAGCCCAGATGGCATCGACGCTATCCATACCAACAGGCCACAGGAGGACTGGGTTCATGTGAGTTTTTTCGTGAAAGAAAGTCTGACTGCATGCAGTGTTTGCTTCTTGGATGACTATGCATTGTCATGGCTGTTGTGAATGAGTGGAAGAAGTACTTTTTGCGCGGGCTTCTTTCTGGTGTGAGTAGACAGCTCATGATGGCTGGATTGTACTAGCTAGTACTCTTCCAACTGGAGTAACCTTGTGCTCTTGCAATAGTCTACCTTCCTTTCAGTGCTTTGGTGCTACATGTAGCTACTAGTACTGCCAACTTCGAGTACAACGACAGCACTGGCAGGGCGGGAATTTCAAATGAAGAATAAGGTATTTTACAGTGCTTTTTGCTGCTGCTGCGCCAGTGACTGGACCAGTCCCATGAAAGAATTTCATGGAGCCTCACGCTCTTTCCCACCATCAACGTGCGGCATGCCCATGAGGCCTTTAGGCAATACCGCGCTAGTCATTATTAATAGCCTTCTCCTTAAAAAAAATGGTGACATGGAAGAGACAAAAAAATGATGAGGCGATCTTGTTCTGCTAGCTCTAGCTAGCTGGAGTAGAGTACTAAGAACAAGCAGCCGGAGGCTGATTCCCTCAACTATCAAAAAGAGATTTGACTCTTAAAATGTCTTTGGCCAAATCCTTTACCGTGTTCAACTGGACACACTAGCAAGTCTCGATAGCCAGCCAGTATCTACCCATGTGTCCAAAATACTGTGTCCAACAGAACACACAATAACAATCCCTATCCTTAACAAGGAAAGTGGCCCCTATGTCCTTGGCCAAACCTACACCGTGTTTTTCTGGACACACTAGCAAGTCTGCATAGCCAGCCAGTACTGGTGCCCACTTGCACAAACTACTGTGTCCAACAGAACACACAATATTAATCCCTTTCCTTAACGAAGCAAGTGTCCCTTATGTGACGAAAACAGCTGCAACAAACACCCACCCACACACACCCACCCCTACCAAGAACAAGCAGCCGGAGGCTGATGCCCTCAACTGTCAAAAAGAGATTTGATTGGTCAAATCATTTACCGTGTTCAACTGGACACACTATTTATAGCAAGTCTCCATAGCCAGCCAGAACGGGCACAGTGGTATCGGTACCCATGGGTCCAGAGTACTGTGTCCAACAGAACACACAATATAAATCCCTATCCTTAACAAGGAAAATATCCCTTATGTCTGTTGAAGCTCGGGAGTCGAACCCTCAGACCATGTCAGCTACCAAGTGTGAATTTTACCCTTCTAACACCCTCCCAGAATTCTCAGCTTGGGAGCGGCTGTTATCCTATGCACTCATACCATGGAGCTACACTTCACTAGTGGACCCTCCCATGTTCTCTTATCTGTCTCATCAGAGCTGGACCACACTCTGCCTGTTGACCACTCATCACACTCCTCAGCAGCAGCTGCACATGACGTCTCCAGGGTCATCCGGATAATGTTACCATGTTGAAAAGTAACATGCTCGGGAGTCGAACCCTCAGACCATGTCAGCTACCAAGTGTGAATTTTACCCTTCTAACATATGTCTTTGGCAAAACCTCACCGTGTTTATCTGGACACACTAGCGAGTCTGCATAGCCAGCCAGTACTGGTACCCATGCGTAGAAACTACTGTGTCCAACAGAACACACAAGATTAATCCCTATCCTTAACGAGCGACGAAAACAGCTGCAACAAACACACACACAAACACACACACACACACACACACACAAGCACAACACACAAACACACACACACACACACACACATACACATACACATACAGCGATAAAAGTGTGAAAGACCCTCAGTCCGTTGAGGGCAATAAAAGTGTGAAAGACCCTCAGTCGGTTGAGGGCAATAGTAGTCTTGGGTTCCTCTGTCATTCGATCATCAGCCCTTCTTTTGTCTCATCACAAGTTCTTCTTGCCATTTAGAAGTAACTTGCTAACCATGACAGACAATGGTCAAGCCGCTGCCATTGGAATTGGCGTGGCTACCTTGGTGGTAGGAACTGCCGCCTACGTGTTTGCGAAGCGACCAGAAACCCCCGATAACAACAATATTCGAGATTTGGAGGGTAAGACCGTCTGTATCACTGGCGGCAACGTGGGGATTGGACGTGCCACTGCCGAGGCTTTGAGCAAGAGAGGCGCTTCCAAGATTCTGATTGGATGTCGCAATGTGGCTTCGGCACGAGATGGAATTTGCCAAGACATTGATCGTTGCGATGCCTTTGCCTTGGACTTGAGCGATCCATTATCCATCAATTCCTTTGCCGAGAGTATAGCAAATCATACATCACGCTCTGGGTTGCACATGTTGATCAATAATGCCGGTGCTATGATTGCCGAACACGATAAGCAAACCACTGACGGGTGGGATCGTTCTATCGCCGTCAACCATTTGGGATGGGTAGCGTTGACGCAAAAATTGCTACCCTTGCTGGAAAAGACGGCAGAAAACGCAACAAATAACCAAACTGTTCGGATTATCAATGTCGGATCCAAATTGGAACGACGTGCCGTCCTACCTCAAGACAAAAACTCGGCACCTGCGTGGGATGAATGGATGCAGTCGTCGCCCGTCCCCTACAAGGTATTTCCAGCATATGCCAAGGCCAAGTTTGCCATGACTAGCATGACATTTCTATGGGCAAAGCAATTCGAAGAACAACCCGACAATCGAATCAAAATGATCATGGTATCACCGGGCGTGGTCCACACATCTCTCTCCCGGTTCATGCCACTGTGGCAACGGATTCTATCGTGGCCCATTCGACGGTTCGTCATGAGGACTCCACAAAAGGGTGCCGAAACAGTTATTTATGCAGCAACATCTCCTGATGCCGTTTCGGGGGCGTACTATTCCGACTGTGCGGACATTCGCAACAAGGAATTGTGCTCGGAAGCGTCCATGTCACCGGAGATTGGTCAACAAATTTGGGAGGCCACGATGCGGGCACTAGACAAGCGAAAGCAGGATTAGTAACCATAATCGTAACCTAGCTAGAGTTAGATTTTTCTTCCTTTACCCAGCAGAGTGTGTAGTTTTATGCACAGATCACATTCGTTCAACTAAAAAAACTCTCGATAGCATCCATTCTCTGCGGGGCTCGCTGACACCTGAGATTAGATTCTTGAGCTTGACTAGTGTCACTCAGGTAGCCAGCCATAAGACCCACAGTTCTTGCACACCTCCACTTCATATTATCTTTATCCAGGCGTGGAACGAGAGCCAAAAAGTGATCAGGAAATGAGATTTTCTGTGGTTTTCTTTTGGGTGGATTACATGTAGTTTGAGCCCGATAAAGTCATCAAGTTTTAAACCAGGAGTTCCACCACAATGCAATCCATCTTTCACAATCAGATCCAAAACACCATTCATCCGAGTTCCCGAGGGGCCGACAAGCCAATGTCTGAACCCATGCATTGACAAGCTTCAAGAACGAAGAGTCGAGTCCAGCGGTGGCCAAAGTGCTGGGCCGCTTGAGAACGGTCTAATTCCCCCTCAAATGGCCTTGATGGCTTACTCAGGATCCAAGGCGACACGAAAGATCTGACCTCGATGCCAATTATCACTAACTAGACTAGCTAGAGTCTAGTACTTGCTCACCAATCCCAAGAATAAAGAAGGAAAGGACCATGAGCGCTTCTTCCAAGAAACGAGATATCAAGATCCGACGATCTTGGGAGATCAATGGCGATATTGAATCGGACAAAGACTACTGGATAACTAGAGCTGGGCAGAGATCTCATTTGTATGCTGCAGGCTTTCAGCAAGAGGATTTTCAAAAGCCGACCGTGACGGTCTCGGCGCCCTATATGAGCTACATAATGTGCAACCAAAGATGCGATACGCTTCTGAAGGCGGCTGGCACTGCTATTGAAGAGTTGGGCGGAAAAGCCTTTATGAACATGACACCTGTTGTTTCGGATGGCCAAACGATTGGCTCTGCAGGAATGCGGTACAGTTTGGTTTCTCGTGAGCTCATTGCGGACTCCATTGAGCTCATGACAGATGCTTATAGGACGGATGCAGTCATGACCTTTGGGGGTTGCGACAAGACAAACCCTGCAGCCCTCATGCCTCTGGCTAGAACCAATTGCATTGGCATTACCTTGTATCCAGGAACTGCTGCTGCTGGGAAGCACCCAAGGACGGGTGAAATGCTTTCACAGCATAGTCCCTACGAGGCAAGCGGAGCTTACAGTGCTGGTCTCCTTGACATAGAAGAACTGTCCCAAATCGAGAAACACACGTGCCCTGGATCAGGTACCTGTTCAGGCATGTTCACAGCCAACACTATGTCTACCTGCATAGAAGCCTTGGGCATGACAGTCCCAAATTCATCCACAGCTCCAGCGCTCAATGCCAACGGAGAAATTCATGAACAAGTCCTGGAGAATTGTATTCAATCCGCGACCTGTCTATTTGAGATGATGGAGAAGAATGTTCGAGTGAGAGACATCTTGACGAAAGAGGCCTTCGAAAACTCCATTACTGTCATGATGGCCCTAGGAGGATCCACCAACGGTGTACTACATCTTCTGGCTTTGGCAAAAGAAGCTGAAGTGGAGCTTTCCATTGAGGAGTTCAATGTGATTGCAGACAAGACGCCACTTTTGGCCAACTTAACGCCGGAAGGAAAATACAATGTAGTCGACCTTCACGCCATCGGAGGCCTGCCTTTGGTCATGAAGCACTTGCTGGATCATGGATTGTTGCACGGTGATTGCTTGACCGTGACAGGCAAGACTGTGGCAGAGAACTTGAAAGATGTTCCCTCCCTGCCTGAAGATCAAGACATTATCAAACCATTGACAAATCCGATTGCCCCTCCCGGCCGCCACATTCTTATCTTGACTGGCTCCCTTGCCCCTGGTGGGGCTGTCATCAAGACGTCCGGCAAGGATTTTCCTCGTTGGGAAGGCCCCGTAGTTGTTTGTGACTCTGAGCAAGCTGGGCTGGATACAATCCTGCAAGGGAAACTTCAGCGAGGACAAGCCCTGGTCATTCGCAATGAAGGACCGAAAGGAGCACCTGGTATGCCTGAATTGTTAGGCTGTTCCGCGGCGTTGGTAGGACGAGGCTTGGGACCACACTGTCCTCTTATTACCGATGCGCGCTTTTCTGGTGCAACGCGTGGGATAATGATCGGTCATGTTGTCCCTGAATCGGTCCATTTGGGACCACTTGCACTCCTACGCACAGGCGACACAATTGTGATTGACGTTGGTAGACGTGCATTAGATTGGAAGGTATCTGAAGAGGAGAAACAGGAACGTTCGAAGGATTGGAGGCCGCCGCCATCGCGAGTAACAACCGGGATCTTGAGAAAGTATGCTGCTCTTGTCGGCGATGCATCCCATGGAGCAATATGCAACTAGATACTCCCCCATTTTTCTATGTTCTATTACCTTTCGTGTACATTATAGCCAGTTGGGTAGAATCATCAATCCTCTGCTGGCTGTTTTCTAATTGGTTTCATATTTATTTAGTTGGCCTTGGCTGGCTAGCTAGATGAAGGGAACAAAGTCATCATCTGCCTGACCACCTTCGCCTTCAAGGCCAGTCAGGAAAGCGATAGTACTCTCCAGCTTTTCTATGAACGTGTCCACGTCCCTGCAAACGAAAGGGAGGAGGAAAGCAAAGAGGGCTTCGTGTAAGAAACCAAAACACCAAAAACAACGATAACAGCCATTCCAGGCGTTTGATGCAACTCACTCTTTGGTATTGTACAGATACAAACTGGCTCGTGCGGAATGAGAATACCCCAATGACTGATGCAGTGGTTGACAACAGTGATGTCCCGCTCGCACGGCGACACCTTCCATATCCAGAAAGCTACTCAAATCACTGGGATGCACTCCATCTACGATAAAGGCACAAAGCGCCGCCCGTGGCGTTCCACTCTTTGGTCCTAGCACCGTCACCCGGTCCACTTGTTCCATGCGTCGTACCAGATATTCGGCCATTTCATGTTCGTACGCTTCAATCTCTTCCATTCCTAATTGTTGCAGATAATCAATGGCCGCTCCCAACCCAATGGCCTGGGCAATGGCCGGTGTTCCCGCTTCGAAACGTCCGGGTGCCGGCACATAGGTCGATCCTTCCAATGTGACTTGATCAATCATTTCACCACCTCCTTGGAAGGGTGGCATGCTATTGAGCAAATCTTCTCGTCCCCAGAGAAACCCAATTCCCGTTGGTCCGCACATTTTGTGTCCTGATGCGGCCAAAAAGTCGACGCCCAAGGTTTGTACATCGACGGGCATGTGCGGTACGGATTGACAGGCATCCAACAAGATTTTGGCGTCCGCCTGTGCACGGACCATTTGGACCATTTCGGTGACTGGATTAACGCAACCCGCCACGTTGGAGACGTGTTGAAAGGCGACCATTTTGGTGTTACTGTTGAGCATGCTTTTAAATTCTTTCAGGTCGACGGCTCCCGTCTCTCGATCCATCTTGACAAATTTGAGCTTCAGGCCTGGAATGGTCTCAGCGAGCATTTGCCAGGGTACGATATTGGAATGATGTTCCATTTCGGTGAGTAGGATTTCATCTCCCGCCTTGAGATTGGCTCTGGCATAACTGTAAACGACCAAATTGATGGATTCCGTGGCCCCGGATGTAAAGATAATTTCATTGCGACTGTTGGCGTGAATGAGTTTCTGTACCTTGTCTCTAGCTCCCTCGTAGGCGGCCGTGGCTTCTCGTGACAGCGTGTGAGCCCCTCGATGGACGTTGCTGTTGAGTTTTGTATAATAGTGGTCCAGTGCCTCGATGACTTGTTTTGGTTTTTGGGACGTGGCGGCGGAATCCAAGTACACGAGCGGCTTATTGTCGACTTGTTCCAACGTGGTCGACAAAATCTCAAAATCAGGTCGAGACTGTTCTGCCACTTTGGCATGTTCCATTTTGTAGTTTTTCCACCAGAGATCCTCATTTGTGGATTCTTCTTCTTGTTCTTGTTTCTGCTGAAGCTCACTGTCTGAGGCGCCGTTCAATTGTACCATTCCAATCCCACCCATGCTATTGGTTCTTCTGCCGAGCGCGGGAACAGACGAAGTGGTAAACGAAACGACGGCATGGCTAGAAAGACATGTTGCCGCCAACAAAGCATAACCAGATAACCTCAGATAATGTCGTGTCATTGTTCTCTATCTATTGTAGGTTATAAAAGGACGACGGTCGAAGGTTTGTGGTCCAAATAAGAAAAAGGCCAGCCAACAAAAATAATGGATGAAACGATGAAACCCGTTGCAAACACCAAACCTCCTCGTCGACAACTCTCTTCATGCTTCTGGAGCGTCCCTCAATCGTGGGTGAGTTTAAAATACGACCCAAATCCGACCCTAAATCTTTGAAACCCGACCCTAATTCCATGTAGCAATAGGGACGGTTTTCAAACCCGCCCCTAAATCGAAACCCGTCCCTAAATTAGGGACGTTTTTTCAGAATCCGTCCCTAATTTTAGGGTCGGTTTCGAAACCCGACCCTATTTTAGGGTCGGATTTCAATGTATTTACCACTCAGTCCCGCTTCCATTTAGGGACGGTTTTCAAACCCGCCCCTAAATCGAAACCCGTCCCTAAATTAGGGACGTTTTTTCAGAATCCGTCCCTAATTTTAGGGTCGGTTTCGAAACCCGACCCTAAAGGGGAATCCGTCCCTAAATCCGACCCAAAATTAGGGTCGGTTTTCGATATAAGTCATGCACGATTGAGGAACGCTCCAGCTCTTTCTCGCGTTGAACTGACGTCATTCCTGCTGATGCTACATTCGTGATTGGATAGAGATTTCTCCCTTTTCAAAATTTTCCAACGGAATTGGATTTTTAGCCAAATCCAACAAAAATGAGTGGTGATGTCATCCACAGCTGATGAGTTGAAGCGACACAATTGAGCTGAAGCTCGATGCAAAGACACAATGATGCGCACAATTCTGAGTGCGAAGAGATTTTGTACTGGTCCAAAAGCACAAATCGAATCAACGGAGCGAAGCAAAAGAAAATCAAAGAAGGACCATGGACCGCGACGAAGCCAATGCAAGAGATGCCTTTGAGCAAGAGCGAAGGATTCTCCTATCCGGGTAGGTCCGCTTACAGAACATCATTATTGCGTGAGATTCCATCGATTCAACTCTCAATGTCTTGATTTCTGTTTTTGTGTTGTTTTTGTCTATTGCAGTGTCGCAGAGAGTCTGTCGAGTGTGGTGAAGCAAATGGCCAGAGCGAATGAAAATTTGAACGGACTGGATAGCTCCTGTGATGAAGTGGAAAAGGTGGCAGGGCTCTGGAAGGCTGCCTATCATCGGGATGCCAATAGTTCCTCCTCCTTGGACCAATCATCATCATCACTGTCACCTGCCAAGTCAACAACAACAACAACAACAACAACCAGAACTTCCTTGCTGCTGTTTCAAGAAGATTAGAGAATGTAGAACAATCATCAACAACAGCATTTTTGGCGTAGTTTTGATCCATGACGCACTGGTGCTCAGTGTGTGTTCTGGACTTTGGATTGAGAGTATCATGATGAAGTATGTGTACTTCATGTATGTATCAGTATATCGGTATGTACAACGACGACGATAACAACAAGCGTTTTTGATGGTGTCTTTTTGACCTTGTTCAGTGACTAGAACTGTTGAAGGACCCTGGCGCATACATAAACTGTACTTTTTTATTGCTTGGAGATTTTGTACCTTAGCAATATTGCTCTACATGTTGTAATAGATGTAATAGTACTGCAATCCAATATGTGAGTACATTTTAAACATGTAGCTCCAAGCTGTTCTAGTATTTTCAACCAGCCAACGCCAAAAGATCCGCACGACGAACCAATCTTCTCATCGTTTCTGTCCATTCTAACAACCAACTTTTATCCACTCTATTGCTGTGCAGATTGTCCATTTTCTACTACTGCTGCATCCTCCTCATTGGCCAACTCTTTCTGCTCCTGCTCCTCCATGCTGCGGACTTGATCTTCCATATAATCCAATCCAGCTTGACAAACTCCCGCAAAGAATCCCAAGGCAATGCCTGTACCGACGCCCGATAGGAGAATGGATCTTCGACCCGTCTTTAAGATGGCAGAAGGCAATTCCAATCGACTGGTGGAACTGGATCCAGTGAGTGGTTGTCGTTTGGACATGGCTCCTGCCAATCCTGCCACGGATCCTCCCAAGGTATAATCGGAAATGGTTGCCAAGTACTTTTGGTTGTGGTGTGATGATAATGATAATGACGACAGATTTGAATTGTCGGATACTGACTCTGCTTGCTGTTGCTGAGGTTGTTCTTGTTGTTGATCATAATTAATATTGTGCTGATATAGATCCATCATCATGGTGGTGGGTGACCAAAATCGACTGGTTTCCAAAATGGATACAAATACAATGAAGGAGGTAGCCCACATGAAGGGTATATTGGCGTCTTCTCCTTGCGGCGCTACCGTCTTGAGTTTGGGAGGTGCTCTGGTCATTTTTCCCTTGACGACGGCCCGTTGAAATATTTTGGCCCCGGCATGTTGATTCTGCCGACTCAAGCCCACCAAGGCACCGGCAAATCCGGCAAAGGTGATCTTGACTACCGAATATATGATTTGGTCATAGTACTTATCGTCATCGTTCTTCTTTTGCAAGTCCACCACGTCTGCCCAGTTGTTATTGTTACTGTTAGTGTCGTTGGTGGTTGCATTATCCATGTTACTATTATTAGTGTCAAGCGTCATGGTGGTATGGTGATCTGATGCGATTTCGAGTGAAGGTTGTGGTTGGCTCGAGTGCAGAAGGTTCATTATCCTTGACCTTACTGTAGCTTCACAGAATGGATCCGTCGCTACAAACCACAACCACAACCACAACACACAACAACCGCCTCCTCTCTTCCTTGAAGAACACGACCATGATTGCTCTTCGAGGAAAGCTCGAACGGACCAAGAAGGTGTCCCCTACACCAGTTCCTCCCGTAGCTGCCCCTCCTGCAGCCCCTGCTCCTGATGGCTCTGTGGCTCCGGCTGCAACACCAGCAGCAACACCGTCCGAGACTACTAGTACTACTAGCAACAATAACGACGAGGATACGTACGAATGGACATGGAAGGGCCACTGGGCATTTGGATTAAAGCTCCCGGATGATCCCAAGAAACTCCAGCCGTTTGTGTACAAGTGGGAAAAGCCTGTCAATCCAGAAGATGTACTCGTGGTGTCACTCAATGAAGCGGCCGATTTGTTAGGAGAAACAACCGATGGATCTGCTACCAGTAATACTAATACAAATACAAATACAAATACAAATAATACCAGTCAGTCACAACAACCGCAACAACAACAACAATCTACCGAGCAGGAGAAACAGTCAAATTCCACATCACAGACATCGGAAACAGCAACAACCTCAGTATCAACAGATGATACAGAAAAGAGCAAAGATACCTCTGCGGACAGTACAACCAAGGAGAGCGATACGAACGCAACAGCCGCCAACCAGCAGACTCCGTCAACAACAACAACAGCTCCTACAAGTACTACCACTAGTACGGAGGCTACCAGTGAGAAAAAGGAGGAGACAAAGGTAAGCGACACCAAAAAGGATGAAGAATCAAAGGTAGCAACTCAAGCAACAACAACAACTACAAGCACTGACCAAACAAAAAATCAAACATCCGCTACCAAGGATGATCCAGCGACTGTTAAGTCTGGGGAACAACAACAACCGGAACAACCCAAAATAACAACTGACGCAATCATGTCATCTCCTGCGACAACAACTACCAGTAGCAATCCACCCGCCACAACTACTCCTTCAAATTCGAATAATACTGAAGAAACCAAGGACAATAATAAGGACTCGACAACCGAAGCAGCAGCAGACGCTACAAATAATGATTCCTCTTCCAACAACAACAACAACAAACGACAACAACACAAAATCACATTTGCCACACCGTTGGGGCCCGATGATCCACCCTTTACAGATGCATCCAAACCACATCCTACCAAGTGTCCGGCAGGAGGACAGTGGAGGGGATACTTTGAAAATGTTACCAAACCACTCAAACGAAAGAATAGTAGTGCTGCTAGTGCGGCACCCATTGTACAAAAAATTGAAGAAAAATTCATCATTTACCTAAATGCCACACCCGCCAAGGAAGCACAAACATGGTTCACCACAGAAGATATCGGAGCACCCACGCCTACCAAAAAGAAAAAGACGGAAGCACAGCCAGCTGTGGAAACTTCCGCAACGCCTCTGGGAGTCTTGCCCGACGGATTGATTCATGTCCGGGGAACGGGAGAAAACCAATTCGGGACGTTTGAATTGCTGGGATCCTTTGACATTACCACCGGCATTCTCGAATGCCAACGCATGTACGTGTCGCCACTCGAAGAAGTCGTCCCAGCGGCACCGGTGCAAAGGCGGCGTTCCCGGAGTGGAATTGATCTCAACGTCCACACACCCACTCCCAAAGACGGGAGACCCTACTATACCAGAAAACGACAACCGAAATCATGGAAACGCATGTCGACCGGGGAGGACGAGGCAACCGCTGCGGCGGTGGCAGCAGCCGAGAAGCGACGAAGCATTGGACAGGTTGGTGCGGCGGCGAATGCTGCTGCGGGTGGTGGCAAGCGTGTGCGGGTGGCAGAAACCAAGACAGCGACCGCGGCTATTGTTCCCAGTGCGGCAGCTGTGTCCGGGGTTGCGGCGGCTGCTGCCGCCGCGGCTGCATCAGGGTCGGGCCTTTCCATTGCCATTCCACAAACGACGACTGCTGCTACAACTGCTGTTGCTGCTGCTCCCAGTGCTGCCAAACGACCAGGTCCATCTCCCAAAACGCAAACTCCCAGAAAAAAGGCCGCCGTCAGCAGTGCGGCAGGTGCTGGCACGGCCAGTTCCAAGGCATCCAGTGGATCACTTGCCTCGTTGAACTCATCTACGGCAAATAATCAATACATGAAGCTTCCTCCTGTCGGAGATCCCAAATTGGCAATTTGGAGAGCAGCACACTATCTGTATTATCAAAAGAACGACCCGTCCCAAGAAGAAGGTGGCAGCGGCTCTACCAACAGTGGCAGTTCCCAGGCTGCCGGCAATGCTTACAAATACGTGGTTTATGAAGGAGAAATGGTCAAGTCGCTCCGAGAAGGGAAAGGAGTGTGTTTGTACAGCAATCAAATGCTTTATGAAGGTAATCAGTGCATTTTTCCTAGGACAGTTGCCAGTTGCGGTGTATTGCAACGAGTCGAGTCTCATCGATGCCTATCTTTTCTCTTCTCGTCTGCTGGAAATGCTGATTCTTCAGGTGAATGGAAAAAGAACAAGGAGCACGGCAAAGGGACTTTAATGACATCCGACCGAAAGCGCATCATCTATAGTGGGGAATGGGAACGCGGGCGCATGCACGGCAAAGGAACCTATTATTATTCGTCAGGTGTTGTGCTGAACTCAAAGCAGCAGGTTGTTATTTCCGACAAGAAGAAGGGCCCTGCTGGAAGTGGTGCCACTGGGACCACAGAAACTGAAAGTCGCTACGAAGGAGATTTCAAGGAGAATCTGCGTCATGGTTATGGAACGTATGTCTTGCCCGATGGCTCTATCTATGTTGGTAGCTGGCGAGAAGGCGTAATGTGCGGTCGTGGAACATTCACTTGGAGCGACGGATCGATGTACACCGGTGAGTGAAGTGAATGGATTGAGTGTGGCGCAATATCGCCACCACGACGCTCACAGATATCGTTGCCAAATATCCCAGGCGATTGGAAAGATGGCAAGAGGTATGTTGTTGCTCAAAAACGATGTTGGGTGCATTTCGAGGCACACCTTGAACTCATTTATTTGTAATATCTATCAGACACGGGCATGGATCCTTGACATGCTCGGATCGTTTCACCTACGACGGCTACTGGTCCAGCAATGCCATGGAGGGCCGTGGAACAGCGTACTACCCCAATGGACTCGAGTATATCGGTCAGTTTCAGAATGGGCGTCGTGAAGGGCGTGGCACACTCAAGTTCAAAAATGGCGTAGTCTACGAGGGTCGCTTCCGAGACGACAAGATTGACGGACAAGGGACAATAAAGATGCCATCCATTATGTTGGTTCCCAGGGACAAGACAACGACGAATGCCGGAGCCGTGCAGGGCGAGAAGGAAAAGGAAACCGAGGAGGGCAAGAAAGAGGAAGAAGAGCTGAAGCCAGACTTTATGATTCCGCTATCCTTTCAAAGTGACATGGGCCATATCCATCAAAAGGCTGGATTCACGGTTGGCGGTGAATAGATTATCCTAGTCAAAGCTACATAACGGCAACGTACGGTGCCTGAACGCAGGTGAGGCTGTCGCCAATAGCTTAGTAGATTATAGTCTTGTGCTGCTATACTATATTGATGCGTCGCTTCTAAAGAGTGCTTCTGATGTGGTGTGATGATTGCAGAAAGTGTGTTCTCGTATTGTATTCAATGGATAATTTCACTAGAGGTCTCTGAGAAAGGTTGGCGTCTCTGGGCTTGAATGTCTGAGAATGGATGTTTGGGATGTTTTCAGGAAGGCCGCCAAATGATGCCGCTTTACAGGAACGGCTTCACAGTACGTAATAGATTTATTACTTGGCTGTCTTTGCAGCCCCTTTCTTTGAGCTGGAGGAACCATTCTTGCCTCCTCCGACTGCGTGCTTTTGCCGTTTCTTTGCTCCGAGTCCATTCGCTTTCTTTCTAAAAAAGAATCCGAGTTTCGGCTTCTTCTTCCCCTCTCGGAATTTCTCGCCTTCGTCGGGATCCTTGCTATTCGCCATGCCAGGAATCCCGTCGTCTCTCGAAAGAGATCTGGAGGAGCCCTCAGCTTGTTGGCTTTGAAGAGCTTCAATTGTATCCGTGAGAGCTTCAGCGTCAAAGGTTGAATAGGTTTCGGTGTGGGTTCGTCGGGGCAGCACTGCGGACGTCTTCTTGGTGTTGGAAGGACGGGGGCTGAAGGGAGCTTCCACGACATTGTTTTGCATCGCGACCGGTGACAAGACAACTGCGGACGTCTTCCTGGTATTGGAAGGACGGGGGCTTGAGGGAGCTTCCACGACATTGTTTTGCATCGCGACCGGTGACAAGACAACTGCGACCGGTGACAAGACAACTGCGGACGTCTTCCTGGTATTGGAAGGACGGGGGCATGAGGGAGCTTCCACGACATTGTTTTGCATCGCGACCGGTGACAAGACAACTGCGGACGTCTTCCTGGTATTGGAAGGACCGGGGCTGAAGAGAAATTCCGCATTATTGTTTTGCATCACGACCGGTGAAAAGCCCACTGCGGGCGTCTTCCTGGTATTGGAAGGACCGGGGCTGAAGAGAAATTCCGCATTATTGTTTTGCATCGCGACCGGTGAAAAGCCGACTGCGGGCGTCTTCCTGGTATTGGAAGGACCGGGGCTGAAGAGAAATTCCGCATTATTGTTTTGCATCGCGACCGGTGAAAAGCCGACTGCGGGCGTCTTCCTGGTATTGGAAGGACCGGGGCTGAAGAGAAATTCCGCATTATTGTTTTGCATCGCGACCGGTGGCAAGACGGTTTCACGTTCCTGCACGTCTTTGCGACGGGAGGAGGGAGATAGGACTTTGTTGCGACGAGCTTGTTCTGTCTTCGCTAGCGTTTCCTCTGCCTTCGGCTGCTGGAGCTCCGACTCGAGAAGGGTCGTGTCCTTTAGAAGCTTTTCAGTCCATCGATTATTCCGCGCCATTCTCCGTTTAAGTATTTTGTTTTCATCGTTTGCATGCTGCAATTGTTGGGACATGGCGTCGCAAGAATCTTCTTTCGATCGCGCTTTTTGGAACATGGTGTCGCAAGCACCTGCTTTCAATCGCAACTTCTCAATCGTACGGTCCTTCGCGGTGAGCCTGCGCATCGCGTTGTTTAGCAACGCTTGAACTTCTTGGAGTTTGACCTGAGAATCTTCCCAATTTTTGAAGATGATATCAAAAGCCATGACCGTTCCTTGAGCCTTCGTCTCTTCCAATTGAAGCCGTAGCTCCGCTACTTGTCGTTCAAGGTCCTCTTCTTTACTGGAGCTGCTGTTATCTTGGATTTCCACTTCACCGCGTTCGTTGCGTTCCAAGAAACCATCGGTCAACTCATTCATGGCTTGCAGTCTACGATCGCTCGCTCGTTCGAGACTTGTGAGTCCATCGAGAACGTCTTCAAAGGTCTTTGACGACGCGGTCTTGTGGTGCTGCATAGTCAGCGGTGGGCTCATTGGAGTCGTTTCTTCGTCTTGGAACTCGAAGTCGCTATTGTCAACAGGGTTCCATTCCTTCGCGGTGTTGCGTTTGTCGCGTCGACCACTTAGATTGCTGAGCTTTGGCGTGAAAGACAAAGACGAAGCGTCCATCATGGTCGCGATATCGTTCTTTCCTCTCAGGTCTCGTCGAGTGAGAGAGAAAAACTGAGACCAACGAACGGCTTCCGAGATAACCCCCATCCCCCGGTAAAAAACGTTACAACCCTAACCCTTTGCAGCTCAACGGAAAACCGCAGATGCGTGGCCCTCTCTCCCGTCAGATCAGTCTCCGAAACGAAGGGAAGATCTTTTGTTCTGACACCTTTTTTGATGCCTTTGTGTTGGTTGTGTGTCCAAGCTCGTTTCGAATCCATGTCATTGTTTCACAAAGTGTAGAATGAGCGGCATGCTAACTATATCCAAAACATTCCTTTGCCTGGTGGTGCTGCTAATCCATGCCACAAGCGGCAAAGGCCTTTCTTCCACGTCCCAGTCCAAAGGACAATTGTTGGTCATTGGAGCGACTGGTACCACGGGGTTGCGAGCTATTCAAGGGCTGATGGATGCGGGCTACAAGCCACAGCAACTTCGCTTGTTAACCCGCAATGCCAACAGCGAAAAATGCCTGGCATTGAAGAATGCAGGGTTTGAAATTGCCCAAGCTGACATGGAAGATCTGAATTCACTTCGAGGCCAAGATCTCACCACGGGATGTACTGGTTGCTACGTTCATTCCACTTCTAGTGACATACCCGAGTTGGACAAGGGAGAAGTGCCACGAGCCGAAAATCTGGCCTTGGTCATTGGCAGCGAGAAGAATCAAATTCGCCACATTGTTTACAACTCAGCAGCGGCACATGAAGACCATGGGGTTGCTCGTATCACTCAAAAACACGACGTGGAAAACGTATTTCAAAACCTGGTGCAAACACACAACAACAAGGATGACAATGGCAAGCTCTCGTTTACAGCACTCCGATGCAACATTTTCATGGAGGAACTCTGGAAGGTATACACTCGCCCCACAATCCTCAAGGGTCGCTACCCACTTCCAGTTCGAGGCAAACGCAAAATTTACTTGATCTCCGTCCGAGATTTGGGAAAATTAGCGGGTAGCATCATCAGGAACAGCGGTTCCAATAATCCAGATGAAGCGTCCTCTTTCACTGAAACAATCAACATTGCTGGGGACTATCTTTCTGCCAAGGAAATTGCACAGGCCTTTGGGTCTGCGCAAGGAACTCCTTGTGAGCACTACAACCCTAGGCTCATGACGCTCAAGGCGTGGTGGAAATTCCCGGAGCTCTACGAGCAGATACGATTCATTCAAACCTTTACCGTGCAAACTGATGTGGAGGCATTGAAAGGAAGGTTCCCAGGCATGCTGACGAGCTTTGCGGACTTTTTGGAGGAGACTCAGTGGGGCAATAAAGAGCTTTCCTTTTCGGACTTTTCAAACATTGCCAATCTAAAGTTGTAGGCCACCCTTCCATACCGGTAGGCTCGTCACGCACTGTTAGCGAGATATGGTAGCCGCCAGATGCGTGTCCAGTGGAATTGACAATTATGCCTATCTTGCCACTCTGATCTCCAACAAGAACTGTGGGCAAAGATATACGAGGGGTTACCTCCCAAGATTGCTCGAAGATGGGATCGCCAGTAGAACCAAAGGCGGACGTCTGCCCCATTTCATCAGTGGGTTGTTAAGTGGGTTGGCCCTTGTAATTTTGTTCTGATGAGCAACGAACACTACTGGTACAGTCATACCAACCATGCAGCGGGATTATTTACGTGCATAGTCCACAAGTATAGTATGGAGCGTGATAGGCAGAATCTATTTTTAGTACATTAGAAAGCACAGGATTCGCTCTGAAAGGCCAATGGTGGAGCATAGCTTCCCTTTGGCTACTTTTAAGGGTCCAGCGGCAGCCTGGCTAGTTAGATCGATGTGCAGCTATGCTCATGTGCCCACTTTGACCCTTCTTCAGCAGCAAATGAGCATGTGGCCTCAACCCATGGGCAACCAGTTGCTTTGGCCATTTCAACTGCTCCTCAGAGGAACATCATCACCACTTCCAGCTTCTGAACGATTTCTTCATTCCAGGGTCAAAACCGATTGCTCTGGCGACGGCCAGACACTACTTTCAGTCCCCTCCGCAAAGAGACACGGGATTTCTTCAACGTTGCGTTGGAAAAGGACAAGCACAACAACAACAACAGCAACAAAACACCCGCAGATTGTTCTTCCTGGCTAGTAGTTAGAAGGCTTGTTTGCAACCATGGCAGCGGACTCTGATGCTTGTGTGCCCAAGGCATTGACTGATTTCGTCTTTGACCTGTACGATTCTGTGACGTTATCTCACATTGCCGAGGAACAAAAGAGGCTGTACAATTCTGATTTTCGCGATTTGTCTTCCAAGTACTTTGCCAGCACACCATGGCCGTCTCCCCAGACGATTGCGACCGAGTGCAACGGAGATCCTTTGTTCTTGGCTCTGTACCGTGAACTGACACACCGTCACTGGCACGCCGTGTCTCGCATCAACATTCGCGACCGTATGGAAGGATGGCAAGTCTACCGCGAGTTGTTTGAAGAAATTTTGCAGGAGGAACCCAACTTTTACATTACTCCTGGCTGGGCCTTTGACATTCTCAATGAGTTTGTCTACCAGTTCCAGGGATTCTGCCAGTTCCGGACCAATTTGCACAGCAATGCCGTCAAGTACGGATTGATCAAGGAAGGAGAGTCGTTTGGAAGTGTCAACTCCAGTGGACCGGCGCCACCCCAGAATGTTATTGACAACATCAATATGTTGACTTCGGCGGATGCCTGGGAGGTCGAACAGGTATTTTCATATTTGCATCGTCTCGTCAAAATTGGAATCACCTCGGAGAGGCCAGCGTATCAATACTTGGGACTCTTTGCGTCTGTGGCCCTCAGTCGTCTTGAGTGCTTGCTCGGGGATTATTCCGCATCTCTCAAGGCACTCATGCCCATTTCCGATGCTATCGTCGTCAAGAAGGATGATACGGAACATACTGCTGTAGAAATCATTCAAAGTGTCTTTTTGGCACGTCTTAGCATGGCGTATCATGCCGGGATCTCATTCATGATGCTTCGACGATACAAGGATGCCTCCCGGATCTGGGGCGATATTTGTGCCTACATGCAGCGTGGTTTCAAGGTACGTGACAAACAAACAACCGTTGCACGTTATTAATGTATTGCAAGATTAATTGCATTTGATTTGCATTCATATGTCATTACTTACTTGTCCTTTCCTTCCTTCCTTGATTCATTGTAGACTGGCCAATTGCGAAAGTTGCCCAACTCGGACCAGTTCAACAAACAGTACGAGCGTATGATTTCCTTGTTGGCCATTGTCACACACATTTGCCCTCCTGCCGGTACTGTTGAGGAAAGTATTCTCCGTACCATTCGAGAAAAACACGGACCCATCCTCTCCAAGATTGATGCCGGGGAAGAAGGATACGAAGACTTGTTCATGTGCCCAAAATTCGTCACGGCATCCTTCGACAATGTCTACAAACTTCAAATGAGAGCCTTTAGCAAGGAAATGGCACCCCAGCATGCCTGCCGAAAGTTGCGGTCCTACATGAAGCTCTACACGTCTGTTGCCGTGTCCAAACTAGCCAAGTTTAATGACATGGAGGTAGATGACTTTGTTCCACTCTTGATTTCCTACAAGTATCGGATGTTGCAGCCTGAGGCTCCTGAAAGCAATATGTTCACCGATGATGCAACCAGCAAGAGTGCCTTGGATATTCACTACTATTTGGTGGAAGACCTTGTCCATGTGGATGAAGCTGAAAAGGAACGTCGTTTTGAAAAGTACTTTGTTGGGCAAATCTCACAGAACGCAGAAATCTTGGGTGATGCCATGGCAATCAACACGACAATCTAAACAACTAGCAATCAGTACTTGCTACTCGCAGGTGTGTAGCTAGCTAGTGAGTTCTAAAGTTGAGTACAGCAGTACATTCGTTTCATGGTATCATGGTCAATTTGAAGCTAAATCGTACTAAAGTCAAAGCAGTGTTGTGTTGATTAAAAACCTCCCGTTATACATGATTGCGCTCAATCTACAGTTTTTAGTGTCTCAATAGCATGACTACTGTACTCCAACTAGATAGTCTACACGGTGGAGGGGAAGGATGTCACTGTCGCAACATCATCCTGTCCTTTTCGTAGCTTCCTTCTGCCCCTTCGCTTTCGCCGAAAGCTCGACAACATTGCTACGGGTTTGGCCACCAACTTGAACAGAGTGCTCTTGCCGCGCCGTTTCTTGGGTTTATTGTTGCTGCTTTGTGTATTGCTGCTGTACACCGAGGAAGTCGTCTCAACCTCGCTGCTTTTCACACCACTCTTGGTTCTGATATTGACCAAGGAAGAATCCTTTTCATCCTCCAACAACAAATTTTCGTTGCGCATTGCCAACCAATCCGCTTTGAAATCAGCCCATTCATCTTTTATTACCTTTCTCATAGTTTTGTACCACTTGGGCATGTGTGCTTGATTGACGTTGGGGGCATCCTCCTCATTGAGAACTTGGTTGAGGAAACAACACAAGCTGAGGGAGAGACTGACCATTAGTATCAGGCACAACGTGATGATGAGCCAATACCCATGGTCAGAATAAATAGCAATTCCTATTGCAAGGACAATAGCAATGACGATCAAGGCACAAAAGAACGCCATGGCGAATTGAATGACTAGAGCCACCCGAGCCTCATATCTTTCTTCTTCCATATCTTTTCTGTTTTTTCTCTTGGATCGAAGTGAAGAAGATCTTCGCCGTATCATTTTCTTCCTGATGGCTGAGGCAGGTGGAGGAAGTTCTTTGGCATCCATTTCCAGTGGCATCAGGTGATAACTCCCAGCCCCAGAGGAAGACGTGACGGTAGCAGTAGCTGCAACAGCCGCAGTGTTTTCTCGAGGCCGGCTATTTGCTGAAGGACTTCGTGAGCGTCTGGTCCTTCCAGGGGAACGGCTTCGTGTCCGTGTTCGGCTGCTAGATCTGCCTCTACCTTCAGATCGACTTCTGCCTCTGCCTTCAGATCGACTTCTGCCTCTGCCTTCAGATCGACTTCTGCCTCTGCCTCTACCTTCCGATAGACTTTTGCCTGGGCTCCGAGATCGGCCTCTGCCTTCCGACAGGCTTTTGCCTGGGCTACGAGATCGGCCTCGGATTGGCAACTCAGGGGGTGGCTGATAGGATGTGTATTGGTGATATTGCCGTTGTACGCTGTTCCCTGAAGAAAATTGACTGTGATCAAAGGGTTGTGTCGAGGAAGCAATGGAATTCTCTTCTGGTTTCTTGACGATCGTGGACCTCCTCAAGGCACTCTTCAATTCAAGAGTTTGATCCACTGAGACTTTGGGCGTTCGTGGCAGGCCACCACAGCCATCCCCTTCATTGACCATATCATCTTGGTACATGGTAGGCACAGCCAATCAACTATGTGTGTTGGCAGTGCTGCTCAGCTGATACCTTATTATACTAGTATGCTGATGGCTGATAGGTACCGGTGCTAGCTAGCACTGCGAATGTCAACGACCGTGAGAGGAGTGGCAGCTCAGGTTGTGGCGGCCGTTTTTTGTTGGACAAAGATGCTGGTCACCAGGCGTCGGGCGTTGGAACGGAAACTTGATCGCCTTCTTGCCGTGGACGAAAATGGCCGTGGAAATAGAACGTGGGCCACAACAAAACACACACATCAAGCCGCGGGAACCTTCCGTCACAACCCTCTGCCATCCATGGTCATACTTCCGTACTGTACCGGTACAGAGAGACCTTCCTACTACTCAGTATACATTTTGTCATTTTGTCTGTCTAGCTAGTACAGTGTATAATCGTACCGAGCAACACTTAGAAACCTAAGCATAAATGCATCATTCATGACTTATCATTTCAGGCTTCAGTGCAAGGCTACAAGGACCCTCTCGGAACGGGCATTCGTTGGATCCTCCTCTTTGCCTTGCTGTCTCGAGTACGGTGGTAGCGGTAGCAATCCGGTCGTGTTGCCAATGCTCGTCTGATTTGCGGGCCGCATGGCAGGAGCCTTTGTTAGAAGTCTCACCCTCTTGTTCATATCTGTGGCTCGCCGCCTTTGTAACCTTGCCACCACCATCAACGGAAGCTCGCCGCAAGGGCCAACTTGCCCTCTTCCATGCCTTGCCCTTTTGCTTAAGTACTTCGCCCCATTCACGAGACAAGCTTCCTCTTCTGCGCTGTCTTTCAGATCCAGGAGCATCCTGCTGCGAGGACAACACATCCATTTTCCTTGCTTGGTTCGCAACCGCTTCAATTCGTTCACGACATAGGCGTTGTCTGAGAAGCTGCTCTTCCATCCCAGGATCATAAAGCCTCAAGGCTGATTGGTATTCTTTGAGGGAATCAGAGCTTCTCCCTATGTCTTCCATGACGACACCTATACAGAAGCAACAATCTGCGGTCCTTGAGCGAGAGTTCCCCAGCTTTGATTCGTCTCCATAGAGTAATCGAGCACGTTCGAATGCCTCCCAAGCCGCTTGGTAAAGTCTTCTTTGATGGAACAACTTCCCGCGTTCATAGTGCACATCTGCAAACCTGAGGCCTCCCTCGTCTTGAATCGCTTTGGCAACGTTGTGGGCCATATCAGCCCAGTCAGAGTCTCCAGTTGCATTCAAGATGTCGCCAATGCCTCTGTACGTAGCTGCCGTGGTTTCATTCGCGAATTCATGACCCGCTTCCTGACTTTGCAGTGAGCTTCGAAGTTGGCCCAACGCCTTGCCAAGTTTCCCTTGAAAGTAGAGGGCACTGCCAATGAAGTAGAGGACACTGCCGACATTACGGTGGGACGCAGCTGTTTCAACATGATCTCTTCCCAGCAGATGCTCTCGGATGTACAATGCGTGCCTGTACTCGGTCAAGGCTTCTTCGTAGTTCCCTTGATTCTGCAGGATATCACCAATGTGAGTACGGCAAGTAGCGAGTTCGAGTTCAGCATCGGGGTACTGGCCATTCTCTGCCACCACAAGACTCAAGAGAACGCGACACGCCATTCGGGACAATCTCAGCGCGGTGTCGTTGATACTGTGCCGACAAATCATCGAAGCAACTTGATTGCAAACCTTTGCAAACGCAAGGCAGTCAATCTTGATACCATAAACGCTTTCATCACGGTCCAAAACCGTGATGATCTCCTGTATTGTTTGCTCTAAAAGATCCCGGAGAATCTCGCTGACAGCATGGTTGATGACTCCATATCCGGGGTCGGCTTCCACGAGAATTTTAACGCAATCGCTCTCGACCACGGCATTCTGAATGAGTATCTTTGATATCCTTTGAAGAAGCGTTTCCAACCCTTTGCCCTCATTGACAAAGATGTCATTGGCAAGAGCGAGGTGCTCGCTTGAAGGCATTACCAGAGTTATCCGTCGATTCGGGCTGTTGGCAATAAACAGCTCGCACAGGCATTTGGCACTCTTCAAGTATGAGGGATCGTTCCATGGGCTCATCAGGGCCAAGACATGACCAATCTTTGAGATTCTAGCTCCAAAGTCAGCAAGCAAGTCCAGAGAACGCTGCGGTTTTTGGTGGTGGCTGGTACAGAAACAACTTATCCAAACAAATGTGCGTTTGGGTTCATTTTGTGAAGTGGAGCAAAAATCAACCAAGGAGTCAATGATTTCTCCAAAACTGTGGCTCCCTGCATAGCTTAGCAAGTGCGTAGCCTCCCCGACGTAGTCTGGGTTCTCTGGAATGCAATCGACAAAGGCCGCCCCCTTCCAGCCGTTTCTCAGGCAAGGGACATTCAACGCCTTGGACCGATTCAAAGAACCAGGATTCTCGCGGGACGCTTTTTCAATCTCATCAATGCTGGACTCTCGAGTTAACGATGAACCCGGAGTGGTTAGCACCTCGTCAAGAAAGACCGTCTCGAGATAGTGGACGCTGGGAGCTCGGATGCTGATGCTCGGAACAGGATCAGCCAAGTGATTGCGAATCTGATGGTTATACATTCCGTCTAATACATATATGTCGCTGCGTCGCCTTTCTTCGTCTTCTGGTTATTGTTGTTGCCATTATTTGTTGAATGCTCACTTCTTGTCATCATCGACCGACTGTTCATGGATGTTCCTTCATCCTTCATATACCGGTTCCTGGACCCGGCTATCGGAACCGGATACGGTTCGGAAAAGACATGAACAGTCGCGAACATCGTGGGGTCCAGCCGTGGATCCACTTTGAGAGCTCGAACCCTAAACAGATCACAATGTTGCGCGCGCTCTCAATCGTGAAGCTTTTAGTCCTGTTTTGGGTTCCGAAGAAGCACGAAAGATTTCAAGATTTCAACGGGAAAGAACCGCTCATGGGCAGCCTTCTGTAAGCTTGAGGAAGAACCAGCACAACAAGAAGAGCCATCACCAGCCCAACCAGAGACCAGAGACACCACCAGTTCGTTCGTCAAGTTTCCTTGTCTCGCCTCTTTCTTCTTACTCGTGCCTTTGCGATTTCTGTCTTGGGCGGTGTTCGTACGAACTCCAGCACGGTTGTGCGAGGTTTCCAAAGAACATTCATTGCCCAAGCAACCCAAAAAGTTCTATTTGTCTTTCCTGCTCTTGTGAATCAATCACATCAATCGGCACCTTACTCGAGCATCAGTTTGCCATACTTGCTTTGGCCAGATTCCATCTTGTTTTCCCACTAAATTGATAATGACTGCAACTACAACTAAAAACAACACTACCGTTGGTTCCACAACAGCAAATACTGCTGATGAAGAAAACCAGCTCAAGACGCTCGATAGCGAGCCCAACGACAACCAACTGAAACCAGGTGGAGCCTTTCCAGAGGAAGATTCAGCCCCCAACGAAGAACCAGATATTATGGTTGTCGCTCTAGCTGATGATGGCGAAGAAGCCGACGACGGTGTGGCAGAAACAGCCACGAAGGACGAACGGAAACAAGATGAGAACCCCTCAGACGAGACACATTTTGCCGATGAACAAGACCCAGAGCTCAAATTCCCGTTTCCAAAAGCCTTCCACGATCCAATCAGCAATAAGATTATGGTCGACCCTGTCGTCTTGCCAGACGGTAACAGCTACGAAAAGGAAGATGTGATTTCCCGTGCCAATGGCGAAATCCACTATCCAAACCGTGCACTAAAGGCATACATCGAGGCGGAGCTGGATCGATACGGGGATGCAGGCACTGTACGGGCGGCCGTGCAACAGTGGGGTGAGAGCTTGCGATCGGGGTGGCAACGGCTGATAGAAAATTCGCCCTTGCCAGCGGGAGAAGAACGAACTCTGCCAACGGCATTTTACGGACCCATCACATTTGAACTCTTGCAGGAACCCGTCATTGATCCTGACGGACATTCGTACGAAAAGGTATGTGCTTGCATACTACATGTACAACTTGTGATTGAATCTATTTTTGGTACATAGGTGCTCAACATGTTTCTTTCTTGCTTTCTTTGATCAGGCTGCAATTTACCAATGGATCCAGGCCAATGGCGACTCCCCCGTCACGCGAAAACCTTTGACAATCGAACAACTTTACGACAACAACGCCTTGCTGAATGTGATGGAAGAACTCAGCGACGAAAATGGACCACAACCCGTAAGCGCGTGTATGCGTCGATGGAAAGAGGAACACTTGAACCACACTCCCACTCCGCCGCCGGATCCCACGGCACCTCAAGCCAGCAATATAGAAAGCAGCAACCATGGCCCTACCATGCCGAATCCACAATATCCAACAACCCGAGAAGATTTGGAGGCTTTGCAGCGTCTTCGAAACCAAAAGCATGCCACTCTGTTCGGAATCCTGGTCATCTGCCTGCTCATCTTCTTTTTCGCGCCGTCGTACTTTTTGTGCTTCCTAATGATTCTGGTGGCGGCTTCGATTGTATATGCGCCACAGATGGCCCGCCATCGACAGCTAGAAGATCGTCGGCGAGAGATCATTGCGGAGGCTTATCGCCGACAGCAGCGACAGCAACAACGCCGACAACAACAGCAACCACAGGCGGCTCCCTAAGTCGATCAAAAATGCAACGAGAACCAGCCATCTCTTCTTATGGTCAATACGGACCACCAACATGAAAGTGGCGACGAATTTTGCTTCGAAGTTGGCTGCAGCCGATAAAAGGAAATATCATCCACAACCCCAACAACAATTCAATGAGTAACTCATAGCAGCAAATCGCATGTACCACTGGATGTGTACAATGATTCTAACATGTAATAAAAAGGGGGAAAACACAAGCCTTCACTGCGAGAGCCATTAGTAGCCAACCGGTAGGTGCCGGTACCAACGGATGAAGCTGAATGACATCCGAAATTTGTATTGAAATGTATTTCCTATTTTAATAGTTAGTCTTTTATTGGGCGGAGCAGCGCATGTTTAAGCGGCAACGGCCTCTTCTTCGGTGACTTCTTCCTCTTCAGGCTCGGGGTCCTTCCACATGTCATAATCCTTGATTAGCTGCACCAGAGCATCCACAGCGTCCTCGTTGGGGATGCTCTTGCGGACAACCTCTTTACCGTAGTACAGATCAACCTTTCCTGGTAGAGTTCCAACGTAGCCAAAGTCAGCATCTGCCATCTCTCCTGGACCATTCACAATGCATCCCATAACAGCAACTGTAACTCCGGGCAAGTGGCCTGTGGCCTCTTGGATGTTAGCAGTGGTCTCTTGCAAGTCAAACAAGGTTCGACCACAGGAAGGGCAAGACACGAATTCGGTCTTGGTATTTCGCATACGACTTCCCTGCAGCAGACTGAAGGATGTTCGTCGGAGGAAGTCCACACCAAAGTTGTCGGTTTCGCCAACTTGTTCCACAATCACACCGTCACCCAAGCCATCTGCCAAGAGAGATCCCACCTTGGTTCCCAACTGCAGAGCAAGTTCGTTCGAATCGTCTGTTGTTGTCTTGAAGTGGTTGATAACGGGAACATTGATTTCATTTGATTTGAAGAGCTCAAACACGCGACGAGAGGCGTGTAGGGTGGAGACACTGTCATCGGGGCTGAGCAGGCACATGACAGGGTCCAAGTCCTTGACCTTGGCCAAAGTTTCGTCGTCTTCGGTTCCATCAATACTTACGGCCAAACGAATAGCTCCTTCGGGCAACTGCATTTCGAACGTTATTGTTTGAGCAGATAAAAACGGTGAGACGGCGAGAAAGGATAGATCAAGAAATCAGCTGCAAAGAACCTACCTTGCCCTCGTTGGCAACAGCATCGGAAAGATCCATAAGAGCAACGGCATTGGGCAGAGGGTCCTTTTCCAATTCCTCCGCGGGGACAATGACACCCATGCTGACTTCAACCAAACGACGAATGGCGGTGCGAGCATCGGTATCGCTGGTGGGTGGGACCTTACGAAGGAGGATAGAGTCGGTTGTGGCGACGTCCTTGAAGGGCATTCCAACGGCAGTCTTGCATCCCAAGTCCTTGTAGAGGTATTGTGCGTTTTCCTTGCTGAACATTTCTGGCTTGACAACGCTGATGACGGATCCATCCCGATTCAAGAATCCTCGGACATCAATGGGATCCTCTTCCTTTTGTGCGGGAAGATCACCCTGTCGGCGAGAGAAGGATGTAATGTCTCTTGTGTCAGTGTACGGCTTGACTGCAGATTGACGGGCCGCGGCCTCCTCGTGGACGAACAAACGAGACTCGGCCATTTCCGCAAGACGGTTGCATGGACCATGTTCAAATTCGGGATCTTCCGTGAGGGAGACACGGATGGTATCCCCCAATCCATCAGCGAGGAGGGTGCCAATACCAATGGCAGACTTCATGCGTCCATCTTCTCCCTCTCCAGCCTCAGTGACACCCAAATGGAGTGGGTAGTCCCAGCCAAGGCGGTACATTTCAGCCGCCAACAAACGGTAACTTTGGACCATGACCAATGGATTGCTGGCCTTCATGGAGAAGACAAAGTTGTGGTAGTCCATGCTGCGGCAGATATCGGCAAATTCAATGGCGGACTCGACCATACCACGGGGAGTATCTCCATAGAAAGAAAGCACACGGGATGATAGAGAACCGTGGTTGGTTCCAATACGCATGCACCTGCCCAATTCTTTGCATTTTTCCACCAAGGGAACCATGGCTTCTACCAAGAATTGACGTTCAGAAAAGTAGTCCTCTTCGGTTTCGTAAATGTGTTCTTCAAAATCCTTTTGACCAGCCACAAAGTTTCCAGGGTTGATACGAATCTTCTCAACGGCTTCAGCAACCATCATAGCTACTTTGGGCTGGAAGTGCATATCGGCACAAAGGGGAATGTCGTATCCCTTTTTGAACAAACCCTCTCTAATTTTCAAGGCAGCGTTGGCTTCCCGACGTCCCTGGACAGTGATACGCACCAAGTCAAATCCTTCATCGGCACATCTCATCACCTGTTCAATGGTGGCGTCAGCATCGGCAGTGTTTGTGGTAGCCATGGTTTGTCGGACAATGGGATGATCGGATCCAAATTTGATGGGACCACATGTGACGGTACGGCTAGGACGCCTCACAACTTTGTGCAAATCCTCACAGTATTGCTTGATGGGTCCGTAGATTTCATCTCTGTCTCCCGATTTGATCGAAGGCGTCCAATCCACATCGGCAGGTGACGAGACGACGGGAGCTGCCGACTAAAAAGAAAGAAAGAAAGATGGAAAGGGGAGAGACGATTGAGAGATCGACAGGGTGTGCATGCATATTCTAGCTAGTGGTCATCGTTGCAGGAGGGCTCTTCGACGCAAGAAAATTGAACAACCAAGAGAGCCATGGTCAACTTTCAATTTTCTTTTCCTCATCCTGGCATCAGCTCTCTCAAAACTTCAACTTGGGAGGAGTCAAGATCAGGATTCCCCACGTATGAAATTTCTACGATGCTTCTACGTAAGAATTGTACTCAAACGGAATCTCGAAAAGATTCCAGAAGAGGAATCTTGGAGAGAGGTTCCACCTGGAACCAAGAAATTATAGAAAACTCACCATTTTCAAGGAAGTCGTCGCCATGGGCTTTGCCACGGGGGAAAACGCGTAAGCAACATGGCTGAACAAAACAGCCACTACGGCAGAATAAAGGACCTTCATCTTGGTAATACACTTGATTTCTCAAAAATGAACCAACGGTAGATGTCTCGAGATTTGTTCTCTGAAAGACAAGACCATCAACAACAAACCAAAATTGTGGCGCTTTGCTCGTTGTGACGTTGTGGTTTGAACTTGGCCTCGAGAATGATTCGATTCATCATTCCTCATCAGTCGTTATGGGAGTCATCTCGTCCGTCCTTTTGTCCTTCTCCCACCCAACTTCCACTTTGCGAGCACACTTTCCATGCACACTATGGAAACTGATTTTGGGGTACAAGAGGTCCCTCCGGTGGCGCCAACCCACGTGTGTATTTGTGGACGGAAAGCCGAATTTACTACACTTGGGGTGCCCATATATATGCCTGTTTTTTCATCATATTATTTGGAGTTAGATCCTGGCTGGTAGAGGTTCTAGCAGTGATTTGAGGAACCACGTTGCATTTTGCCTGTTGAGCCCTTCATCATTTTGAAGACTGGTTTCAGGGGGCTGTGAAGGAGGTGCTTTGGACCTAGCTAGGTGGTGCAGAGTGGTCATCCTGAACCCCGGGTGACGTATGCTGGTCCTAGCTACCGGTTGCTAGGTATCAAGTTATGAGCAATTGGCTCGAGTCTAACCACAAAGTTGTCTGCTGTGAATTTATAAAAAACTTTGCGAATCAAAGGAGGGAGATTCAGTGCATTGGAGGAGTGAATCAGTTTTTGTGCGTCGAGTTCCATGGCTTGTGCATAGTTCCTGGGAGCTACATGTAGGAATCCATATTTGTAGACGGGATTCGTCTGAACAAAAGTGTAGCTTAGGTCAAGTGATTGGCCAAATATTTGATTTGTTTCTGGGTTTTAACTCAGCCCTCAGCCTGCTTGCTTGAGACCTGGTAGCTTCCATAATCTGGGAGTATTGAGTAGCCATTTTCAGTGGCATAGATATCTACCGTGACAGGGCCAGTGTCGATGCCTCCACCCCTGTCTTCCATAGTAACCGGCTCCCAAGTTAGCTCCCGTGTCTCTCACTCCTCTTCTTGGAAGTTGTGCCTTGATCCCTTATAGCGTGAGTCGGATGCAATAACTTCTTGGAAGGATCAGGGTAGATCCACAAGAGATGAGGATGGCCACAGGGCCTCCTCTGCTTACAGAGTTTCCAGCTCCTAGAGCTGGTACCGATGTTATTCTGTCACGATGCTGGGCAGCCTAGCGAATGCTATCAGCTTACCTCTCAATGCCACTGCTCAGCCTCAACAAGATAGGTATCTACTGCAAAGGAACAAGGGAGCTACAGGTCTATGGAGATGGTATTCAATTCATACATTCAATTCTTAGGACTATGAGCAAAAAGCATGCATCCAAATAATTGGGTGTTATGCAGGATTTGAGCACTCTGAGCCACACTGAGGCTCCTGGATCCTCCTGAGGTCACCTGATTGAGTAGATGCTCGCCTCATGGCCATCTGAGGTGATACAGTGGTCAAAACCTTCATATGGGACCATATGGGGCTTCCCTGGTTCCATATGTATGGCATGTGTCTCACCAGTACCAACCAAGGTTCTCTATATCTTTGCTTGTTCCACATACCATGTGGATACCAGTAACATAAGGCAGACAGTTTGTTCTCACACTCACCACGTTGATCCCATGGATCCAACCCACATTTTATCGCCCCACGTCATCCTTTCAAAATTGAAAACCATCGCACAGCCCTCACTGAAGGTCGCATCAGTGCCAAAAAACGCCATCAAGATGCCTACCAAGCGGCTTTCGAGACCCATCAAGCTACTCTCACTCTTGCTGAGCAGTCACGCCTCAATCGCAGTCGTTGCACTAGCTCATGGCTTGTGGTCATGCCCGATATTGCCAAACGCACTCACCTCTCTGCTCAAGAATGGCGCGATGCTCTTTTTCTCTGGTTCGGTCTTACCCCCCAGCTCTTCCAGCTCTCTGTGACGGCTGTACTGGCCCCTTCAGCGTTCCACATGCTTTGGATTGCAAACGTGGCAGCTTAATCATCCATCGCCATAATGAAATCCGCAATGAACTTGGTTCTATTGCGTGTGAATGCTTTGGTTCCTCTAGCGTCCAGTCGGAACCTCCCCTTCCATCTGTTCCCGCCCCTACTATCCCTGCCGGTCACCCAATTTCCACCTTACCTCCCCCTCCACCCCCCCTCAATCCCCCTCCAGCCCCCGAGCTCTTACGTGGTGATCTTTCCATTCGCGGCTTGTTCGAACGTGGTACTACAGCTATTATTGACATACGTGTCACTGATTTGGACTGTGCCTCTTACCGACACAAAGATCCCGTCAAAGTGTTAACCCAACAAGAACGCGACAAAATTTCCAAATATAAAGCAGCGTGCGACTCCAATCGCGCTTCCTTCCATCCCTTTGTTGTTTCTGTGGATGGCATGCTTGCCCTCCAAGCCAAGATTCTCTTACAACGGCTTGCTTCTGCTACTGCCTCCAAAACTCAGTTTTCCTACTCTCAAATGATGTTTTTCATGCAGACCCAACTCTCAATTGCCCTTGTGAAAGCTACCCATTTATGTCTCCGTGGATCTCGCAAAGCCAAACCATTTGGCCCCCGCACTGGTCCTCACTTTCTTGCCCCTGATCCCACAGAACCTAGTCCTGAATTTCAACTGTTCTTTGCTTAAGCCTGGCCCCGGCTGGCTTCCGTAGATAATTTCCCTACTCTAATCCCCCCCATATCTTGATGTTACTCCCGCACAAGGTCACCACCACTTTGCAAACAAGGCGGAGACCGACCCCCTCGCCTTCGGCCTTGCAACTTGAAAAGCATGAGATTTAAGGAATCTTCGTCTTCTAACTCTGCAGTCAGAGAGATGTCTAATTCAAGCCGCTCCTTACCTTCTGTAACCAAGACTTGCTTCATTTTTTCCAATCCACTTGAAATAAAGCCTCAAAATGGAAGCAGGTTTGAATTTGGATTTTTTCGGTGGGAAAAATGACTTCATCGAGATGGAGAATGACAGAGAATCTGCATGATGATCTGGAAGATACAGTTTAAAAAATCAATCTGGAACATTTCTCTGTTCAAAGCAAGACTCGAAGATAAAACAGAAAAAGTAACCTTGGCCTTCGCGCCTTCTGCCTTCTTCAGCATCCACATGGCAACACATCCATGAAGAAGCACCAGCATTGGGATAGATTACTGTTGACGAGACCTGCTGTGCTATACCGCACTGAACTGAATAAGCCATACAATGCCATCGGATCCTCCTGCTGACCCCCCAAGTAGTAGTGCCGAGCCCGACGATTTTGCTGCACCACCCCAGCAACGACAGAGTGGTCTCGATCCCGACGTGCAAGAAGCTCGCGCCTTGGCTCGAACATGGGATGAACAAGACAAGCAAGCCAAGCAACAAGAACGACAGCGTCGGTCTAGTAGTAGTAAAGACACTGTTGCTGCCGTCAAGACTACGACGAGCCGCGAACGACAGCCCTTTCCTCATGAAAAATTTGGTCGCACTTCGGCTCCTCCCACGGCCGTGGTCGAGGATGTTGTGCCCCAAGAAGAAGATGAAGAAGACCAACACACCAATGTAGGCCCGTCTTCTTCTTTTTCCTCTGGGAATGCTCGTCAGATTGGAGCTACAGCAGCAGCAGCAGCCGTTGGCCATGCGAGCAGCTACGACGAGGAAAAGCAAGAAGAAGAAGACATAGTGGAACCGCAAGAGGAGCATTTGATCGAGGCCAGTTTGGTATCGGCTCCAGGATCCGTCCAGCAAGCAGTGGTCGTGGGCGATCTTGCCACACACGTTTCTTCACTGGATGGAGTCAATTCCTCCCAACAGCCGAGTATTGTTGACAAGTGTATTCCAAACACAATGTCGGCCAAATTGCTCTGTTTTGGAGTGGTCCTGCTTCTCGCTGTTGTGGCTGTGGTGGGAATCATGTGTGGCAGTGGATTGTGTACTCCCGACGCTGATGATGTTCCAGAAGCAGTTACAGAAGCACAGTCCAACAACAACAATGGAAATGATACGCCTTCCCCAAGCATGCCATCTTTTCTCATGCAATCTGCTGCTCCTACTAATACTCTCATTCTGGAAGATGAAACACCAATGCCCTCCATGGCCGTTCCTCTTTCGGGCCTCTCAGAATTTACAGAACCTTCCATGGTCACTACTGAGCCTACTAGTGTCGAGCCACAAGCACTGGATGATGGAAGCGATGCTCCCACAGTGACACCCACAGCAACCCCTCTTGCTGATACCCTTTCGCCGTCGGTCTCGACCAAGTCCCCATCCGAGACTCCTTCTTTTGCCACCGATCCTCCTAGCACCATTGCACCTAGTGCTTTGCTCCTAACGCCTGATCCAACAGTCATCACCGGTGCTCCAACGGCAATGCCATCACCCAGGGTCACAACTGGACCGCCTACCAATGTGCCCACCAATCAAAGACCACCTACCAATTCACCTGCAACTGGACCACCTACTAATCCACCCACAACTGGACCGCCTACCAATCTACCCACTACAGCCATTGATGCATCATCTTGCATCGCCGATAGCGCGTGTCAAAACAATGACAATGTACCATCCGTCATGATTTCGTCGGTATCATGTTTGGGAGAAAATGCGTGTAGTGGAAACTCGGGCAACGAATTGCATGTCGGCGCGGGAGCTTGCAGTGCGGAAGGAACAGCAGCCACCACGGCTTGGCAAAGTCCACAAGGAATGTCCGGCAGTTGTTCCCTCAATACGGCCAATGTCAATGTGAACGACCTGGGGTGCAGTGGTATTGGTGCTTGTTCGTACAACACCCAAGGCTTGGATTTATCCTTGCGGTCCTGTAGTGGCACGTATTCCTGCTTGGAGAATCGTGCCTCCATGGTGGTGTGGGAAGATGGGTGTCGAGGTGATGGATCGTGTTCTCAAAATAATATACATACCGATGACGAGGACCGGCGGATGATTGTCAATGTCCTCGACGATGGTTGCGAGGGAGAAGGCGCTTGTCGATGGGGTCAAGGAAATGCACAAGTGTCGGGATGTGGTGGGTTGGAATCGTGTCAGGCATGGAAGGTGAATTATACCAACTATTTGGCTCCCACTCGAGCTGGTGGCATTCAATTTATTGTGAGTAAATTCTCGTGCACGGGCAATTATTCGTGCCAGAATTTGACGGCCGATGACGGCCTTACCATTGGGCAAAACTCGTGCACGGGTGCCAATTCCTGTCGCAACATTACGACCTTTGGAAACTTTACCATTGGCGATGGTGCCTGTACAGAAGACAATAGCTGTCAAGAGTGTACACGTAGCGTTCCGGATGGTTCCAATGACTGTGGCGGTTTGGCAATTGCTATTGCAACGTCATCGCCATCTGCAGCCCCAACAGGAGTGCCGACAAAGCAACCAACAGGCGCCGCGATCACCTCTGAAACACTCGCACCTCAACCTACAAGATTCAGTCCAACAGAGACCTGCCCAACTCCTCTTGCAACCATTGCCTGCACTGCAGAGTTCGCGCCAGTACGCTGTGGTTTGAATTCCTGTGAATACGACAATCAATGTATTGCCATTGCGGCAGGCTATTACCCCGCGCTGTGCTACCCATCTGGCTGTGAGCTTCCCAGCGCTTCTGTTGCTTGTCCTTTGGTCTCAAATCCAGTGATTTGTGGCTTCTCAAACTGTGAATACAGTAGTCTCTGTGTTGCTGAAGCGGCGGGTTTTCCATCCATTTTCTGCAACCCCGTCAGCTGTCCCCAGCCCTCGGCTGGAGTTTCTTGCAGTGATGAATTGGACTCCTTTGTTTGCGTGGTTGATGGCATTGGCTTGTGTCGATACAACAACGGCTGTTACGCGGCCCAAGCTGGTCTTGACCCCTCTGACACAGGAGGGCAGTGTTTTAGAACCCCCTCCTTTGACTCAAACCCGACGAGCTGCCCAATCCCATCTGGTACATCCTGTGACTTTGAGTATAAACCACTGCGCTGTCTCCAAGGAGCGTGTCTCTATGCAAACGACTGCGTAGCATCTGCGGCGGGATTGGATCTCGACGATGACTGTCAGTCAGCCAACTGTGCCTTGCCAGATGCCAACGCAATCTGCCCATTAGAGTTCTCCCCGGTCTATTGTTACCCCGAAGGCTGCCAATACTCCAACCAATGCACAGCCACGGCCGCAGGATACTCGGTTGAAGCCTGCGCACCTGCAATCTGCCCATCTCCTGATCCTGCCGACCAATGTTCGAGACAATACAACGCCCAAACCTGCGAAACGAATGGCGTTTCCTGCTTTTACGACAACACCTGCCTCGCTGCGTCTGCTGTGGGGCCAGCCGATTGTGTAGAGATTGCAACACCTGAAAATCCATCGAGCTGTCCGCAGCCCCCTGCGTCCATAGCTTGCACGCTCGAATTTGATGAGAAGATGTGCGGAGACATGGACTGTCGCTATAGCAATACCTGTCTGGCAGAGGCAGCTGGCTTTATTTCCTCCACAGACTGTCGCAGTCCCAACTGTCCAGCTGCAGGAGGAACGGATGAAGAATGTGGCACCGAAATTGATATCGTGCACTGTGGCCCTTACTCCTGTCCCTATCCAAATCGCTGTTGGAGCCGCCTCGCGGGGTGGGCTCCTGTTGAATGCACCCCTGCTTCCTGTCCTAGTCCTCCCTCTGGCATTGCATGTGTCTTGGAATATGACCCAATGATCTGCTATTCGGAATCTCAGGCTGGTGTCCCTGGCTGTTCATACTCCAACAGCTGCCTGGCAGAATCAGCTGGATACAATCCCAGCTTTGGCGAGTGCGTTCGAGCCTCGTTGATCGAACCATCCCAGGATGTGTCGTTTGAGCTGCTAGGCGGAGAAAGTGTCTGCGAGCAAGCTCCAGTGACTCTGTCATTGGATGAAATCCCTGGTGTCACCATCACGCATGGGCTTGGTCTAGATGAAAATAGCGGGAAGACAACCTTCGCGGCCACAGTTGTCTATGAAGGTATGTGATTGGGTTCAGAGCTCCGTAACCATCATTTGAGAGCATTGCAGGGACCTGTCTCATTTCTGCCATTGTTGTCTTGCCTTGCCCGACTGATACCTTGCTATTGTGCACATCAGGTCAAGCATGGGTTGGATTTGCATTCAGTGAGAATGGCAGAATGGTAGGTTCCACTGCTGTCATTGGTATTCCTGCTGAAGGCATTAGCGCCTCCAACCCTGGGAAATATCTCCTTGGTGGCTACAGTGTCCCACAAGTATCATTGATGGAACAGCAGACATTGCTGAGCAAGACCCTTGAACAAAACGACACCCATACACTTCTTTCGTTCACCAAGCTTCTTGTGGAACCGGACGAGGTCGCCATAAACACCAACGGGGACAACTTCTTTCTCGTAGCTGTCGGAAGTGGCAATGATCTAGCGTATCATGCAAGCAGGCATTCGTTCACGGCTGGTTACGAGTGTTCGCGATAATGTGCATTGGGTGGCGTCGACCTCCATAGCCGTGTTGCACGATAGCAAAACACAACCGATATTACCGCTACCGTACCACGGGTTATGGACAACATTAATTAAGAGTTTGGGCTTCTGTGATCTATGATTTTCACGGAAGAGCTGTGGCCGCTTCCGCCTTTCCTGCACCTCTTTTTCTATAGTATTGGAGTGCGCGGCGAGCTCTGTGCTGCTGCTTCGGTGGCACGGTACCATCTTTTGATGTGCTCAGCATTCTTCGCTGTCTTTTGTTGGTTTGGTCTGCAAGATTGATACGAACGACGTAACCGTAGGTACCGTCATCGCCCTAGGTTCAAGACAACAGTGTCAAGCGTGTGCCATTGTCTGTCCCACAGATTGCCTCGGCATCGATCTCCAATGCGTCGTGTACGAAAACTGAAACGTATGAATCTTTTAAAAAGCGAAGCTCGACCTTGGAGAAGCCCTGAATTGATATCATAATATGCACGTGGAACAAAAAACATGAATGGGTGAACGCTAACATCTCGAGTATTGTTCGCTGAGGCTTGTCAAACTACTGATCATCGCATCCCCACAATCCGCATCGAGCCTCTTCGACGACGCTGTGGGCAGCAATGAAACAAGTTTCTCACGTTGAAGCAGTTGGCCTTGAATTGCCCAGGTTCAGAACTCTGCCCGGCACACAGCGGGCATCAATTGTAAAGTCTTTTGCACCAATGAACTCAAAATTATGGCACCATCCCTACCGTTCTGTTCCATCGTCTACAACGTCACACCACATCCGTAGTCCAAAGTGGCCCTGTAGTGTAGTCCACCATAGACCACAACTGGATCCTCGACGAAACAAAACTTGTCCGGTTGCAGCATTTCGCCACACTTCCACACCGTCCCCCGACATCATGGCAATTAGAGAGGATGCGCACACGCCACGGCGGCAGAAAATCTGCAGTGAATTTGCTTGTTGCGCAAGGTACTGTTGGCTTGGAGGTGCTACCTGGTAGCTGGAGTTTTGCTTGGCTTGGCACCTGGCTTTTTACCATTCAAGCTTGTTCTTTTGTGGAAATTGACTTTCACTGGTGGTGTCATCGTCATCGTCATCATCATTGTTGTCGTAATGATCTTCCAACGTTTCAAAGAGGGCATCGACCAATTCTTGTGCCTCGGTCACGGTGTAATATCGTTCACTGCTGTATACTGCTGCACCGTCCACATTTTCACTTTCCAAATAGTTTTGCAAGAGCAATTTGGAGGATATCCCTGCTTGTTCCAATACGTGCTGGACCAAATGACATCCCATTTCACTGCCGCCACATCGTTGCGATTGTACACAGACCGCCTGGTTGGTGCTGTAGGTCTGATACCACCATCCCGGAGGAATCACCACGACATCTCCCGGTAATAGCACCGAGGAATGCCAGGCGTCGTCATCGTCATTGTCATCGTCTTGGTTGGTGGGAATGGCAAAATTGGGATGCAACAGTGTCGCCTCTTCGGCCCATTCTTGCAAGGGTCCATACGGATCGTCGTCGTATTCTTCTTCGTCTTCGTCATCCAGTTGCACATCTTGATGCCGCAAGGCAAACAAGCTCAGACTGTCTTTGTGGTGTTTTTGTTGCCCTACATGTAGTTGATTACCAAACGAGACGGGGAATCCTTCCCATGCCAGTCGGTCTAGTGAAGTAGAACAGAGCCGCATCCACGGATTGGGTGGCATAACGCGAATGAGGGAATCTCCCTGCAGACAGAGAATCATTTGGGTAAAGGGATGACTGGAAATGGGAGTGGCCGATGATCCTTCTCCTTCGATTGTCAAAGTATCGTAGAGTGGTACATGGCGACCAAAACAAGCGGACAACCAATCCATCGTGTCATCCGTGTCATCCTCCGTAAACAGTGCGTCCAATCGATCGTAGAGTGGCAATTGATCGGTAGAACAAGAGGATCCCAAGGATGTAGCGCTGAGTGGAGTGGCGTGACTTGATGATTGCAGAATGTGGGTAACGGCGCGACGCAAGGGCATCAATTGCTGGGAGGACGACGAGTCGCCATGCACTTGGACCGGTTCGTTTCGACTGCGCGTCGAAATGTGTTGCCACCATTCCTCACATTCCGAAACATCCAGAAATTCTTCCAGCACTACCGGAACGTCTTCCCACATGCCAGGAGCTTCGGTAAAGGTGGAGCGATGGACTCGGTCCATGTAAAAGGCAGTCACTGGACTACTAGCAAGAAGCGTCGCAACGAGAATCTGGAGTTGCCATTGGAAGAACAAAAAGGAGAGCAGTGGCGAAAGACGCTGGCAATGCCGTTGGCGTTTCATCGTTGCATCAGACAGGGAAATGCAATGCTAAAGCAGGGTCAAAGAAGATACCAGGTACGATGAAGAGCTTTTGCGGGTCAGAGGTCGTCCTTTGATCGTTGATGGAAGAAAACAAAAGTTGGGTGTTGGGTGTCGCGGCTTCTTCTTGAAGTGCGTGTTGTAAGCTGCTGAAGCTGTCAAAAAGATTGTCACCCCTTTTCTTCCACGTTGAGTCGCCACGCTGCCTTAGAGGTGCGGCACTGCTTTCTGCTTTCTCTCACCCCCCGCCTCGATACTACTCTAAAAGATATCGAAGGCTCGAAACACCACAACTGCCGGATCCCGCCAACAATGCTTTCTTTGGACGCACCTGACGTTTGCAGTTGGTACCAAAACTGACGGCTCCCGTTGATGGAAACGTTGGAGTATATACCTTTTGTATCTTCCACAGTCTCGCCCAAAGATCCGATGTTTGTTCTGCGAAGAATCGAGGCCACAGTTTTTGCAGCCGGTCCTTGACTCAGCATTGTAGAACTATCATTTTCGTCTCGATACCTTCAATAGTGCAACCATGAGCGACATGGACGTCGAGATGACCGAAGCAAAAGATTTGGCGGCTGTCAGTGACGACGACCAGCCCGCCAACGATGATGTCAAGATGGTGGATACATCGAGCGATACGGAAGCTCCGAACCAAGAAATCGTGGACTTTGAGAAACTACATGCATTGTTGGGACCGATAAAGAGCGCTGGTGATTTGATTCAGGGCAAGCATGTGATGCTCCTGATTGGATTGACCGGAGCAGGAAAGGTAAGCATTACATGTGCTGGATAATCAGTTTGCGTGGACATACTTGCTAACCTTGATCTTTTGCTCAATGTTCATGCAGACGACTACCACTTTGTATTTGGCTGGAGCAACATTCGAAGAAGAGGATGTTGACGGATACAGCCACTACAAGCCAAAAGAGCTACCCAACCCTGACTTGTTGCAATTCGCGGTGTCGGGAGGGGCAACTTCCGTGACCAAGTCGATCCATGCCACGACGATCGAACTAGAGGGCGAAGATGGCGCCAAGCAACCCATTACCATTTGTGACACGCCCGGCTTTGGAGACACAAAGGGGCCCGAGATGGAGATTGCCAACAACTTGGGCATTATTCATGCTCTCAAACGAGCTGCTTCGATCAAAGTTGTCGTGGTTTTGGATCACCGAACCATGGACGGAGCACGTTGGCAACCACTCCGACAGAATCTCTCCACCGTGGTCGCAATGATGGGGAGAGACAAACCCATTGACTTTTCAACTTTCGGTTACGTCTTTACTCGATGCGAAGGCAGGAGCAAGAAACGTATTCACAAGCAGCTTGCGGGGTTTCAGAAGACCTTGCGAAAAGATCCAGCCGGAATTCTAGGCGGCAATGTCGGGGACAAGGACATTTTGGATGCGATGCTGACGGATATGATTTCCAAAACACAACCTGGGGATGCCATTTGCATTGATCCAGAGGAATCAGACGATGCCGCCGACACATTGAAAAGCCTTTGGAGCGGAGGCAGGCTCGAGAATCCAGCAGAAGCGTTTGTCAACTTTTGCTCCAAGCAATCCATGGCCGCCTTGATGCTTCAATTCAAGGCAACAGTCGACACGTTGGAGAATTCCCTGCGAGATGTGGATCTCAAGACGGCAGAGGTTTTCCTTCACCAGATGACTCGCATGGCTGAAGCCTTATCATTGTCAGCCGTCGACGAAGCGGTCGAACAAGGAACCCAAAGGGTAAAGAGCTTCGTGGAGCAGCTTCAGTCAGAGATTGAATCCTTGACGCAGCAAATGGCCGCTCAGGGTATCCCTCTTGCAGAGTTCGAGCGGGTAGCAAGGGCTATTCCGCCAAAGCTCACTTTGATGCAGCAGACGCGGGAGCTGTGCAACGTATCCGGATTGGCTTTTGATTGCAACTCCATTTTGGCGCCTACCCTCGACAAGCTCTTCTCAATTGCTCGGAACCCCATCAAAGAAATCAGGGCCAACCCCACGGACGTCATACCGAACCAAGACGTGCTCCAAGGTGCGATTCTTCGGCTTTCTTGTTTGGTAGCGAACTTCCACGGCCTTGCAGGGAGGGAGCGAATTCAAAACGAGTGCTCCACATTGACAGAGAGTGTTAGTGACATGATCAAGCCAGTCCTCACCTTGGCCACGTCTGCGCTCGTGGAGGAACCGCCAACAAGTGACGCTCTAAATGGCTCCATCGACGAATTGGTGTTTCTATTAGGCATGAAGGAGTTTCTTGACGCTAACAAGACGTCCTTCCTTGATCAAGAAGAAACGACTCCAATTAGGTGGCTAAGCGCTGGGTTGGATGATCTTAGTGAGAGTCTGTCCAAGCAGAGCGTGGACTGTGTTAGCCAGCTATCTCAAGTGCACAGTGCATTGCAAGAACTCTTGCAAGACACTGACTCGTGGAGTTGTGCCTCTTTGCTAGTCCTCAAGGAGGCCGCCGAGTACTGCGAGAGTCGAGCCTTCTTGCTTGCCCTGTCCTCGTCTTCCCGTGTTTCTACCATGGTGCCTGAGGATGATGATGAGCCCAAGCATGATGCAAAACACGTGGTCAAGAGGTTTGATGAGAAAGTGATCAAGTATTTATCGAAGGTTGCTGAATTTGTCCAATGCGGGTCAAAGCAACTGATCGATGACAATGCAAAGGATGCAGCTACCCGCCTCAAGGAAGCCAAGGAGCTCGTAGTATTCGCAGCTACGGTTGGAAATTCCTGCGAAAAATTGGCAGAACTGGATGCATCCTTGATTCGAGAAGTGGAGAAGGAGCTCTTTGGGGCTCAGAAAGAGTTGAAGCTTTTTATTGAAGAGTCCAAGAAGAGTCCAGGCCATGGCATTCGTCGTCCAAAACTGTTAGAGCCAACTTCACAAGAACTTGCTCGGGCAACCAGTGCCATGGCCAAGAAAGGTTTGAAAAGTTGGTATGAAAAGTGTAAGGATTTACGAGCCTACAAGATCAAGCATGGACACTGCAACGTGCCAACAAAGCATCCAAGGCTTGGAATTGTAAGTACTACAAGCATTTGCCATCCTGCATGCAGGTGAGACCTAGGTACCTCTCTAACCTTCTACCCTTGATTTAGTGGGTCCAACAACAACGGGTTGAAAAGAAGAAATACGAAAGGGGCCTGAAGACCTCGATGACAGACGAGAAACTGGAACATTTGTCTGCCTTGGAGTTTAAGTGGCAGGTCAAGGCTGACCACGGAGATGCCTGGAACTGTCAGTTTGAAGCTCTCAAGAAATTCAAGGAGGAACATGGCCACTGCCGAGTACCCTGGAAAACTCCCAAACTTGGCAAATGGGTTTCTGATCAAAGAAGTCAGTATCGAGCCATGTGTGCCGGGCGGAGTGAGTGGAACGGGGGGCGGCCAATTACCATGAAGAACGAGCAGGTTGCAAAATTGAAGGCAATAGGTGCACTTGATGGCGTTGCATGATTTCAAATTTCCATCCAGATTATGCAGTCCTTCTTGGTAGTTCTGGAACCTTAGTTGCACCCGAGATGTTACTTTTTAAACTAATTTAGGAAACTGCTAACATCCAGAAAAGTCTTGTGTAGTTTGCCTATGTGAGATATGGTGTCATCTTTCTGGCTGAAGAAGATACTGACTCCAGCTCCTCTGAAACTGCCTGTTGTGGTACACAGGAACATCACTTGATCCCTTATCATCATCAAGCAGGCCTTCGCTTGACTCTTCAATGCCCTGTGCTTCCTCATCCGCAACATCATCAACTTTCTTCTCTTCTACGAGGTCACCTCTGCCTCCTCCCCTAGGTACATAGTCATCTTCTGCTCTGCCAGGTTGCTCATCAGCAACCCCACACACCGTATCTTCACCTTTGTCATAGACACCATCTCTATTTGAGCCAACATGGGGAGCCAAGCCATCATTGGCTTCGAATATTGCAGACTCGGGTTCATCATGAAAACTCTCAGCATTTTTGTCATACACATCATCTCTATGGCTTGATAGCCAGGTGGAGGGAGGCCCTGATGATTGAGTGCCGAACAGGGCTATAGCAGCTGATGGATCCAGGCCCCTCGTGTTGTCATTCATATCATGCCCGCTATCAAATGGGGACACTGCCAGAAGTCTTGCTGCAACGGTTGTAAAATAAGTTGTCACAAACGCACTTGCCCTGTTCAGGTCATCTTCTGTTCTCCTGGCGAGTTTTGGGCGGATGTAGACCAAGAAGTTGTTGAACCCTTGTAGTGGTGCAACAAAGGCTACAGTCATTGAGAGTCCAAAGATCCTAACCTTGTCGTCCAAGGATGCAAGATATACACTGAACAAGAGAGGCCACGTAATGTAGAAGGCCGTGACATAAAAGAGACACTGCCAAAACACTGCTTGTTCCATTTTGCTGGCCTTGCTTACTCCCATGGTCCACTTTCTGGCAGCTGCAGATTGACTCCTCACTTTGCAGTACACTGTCATCATGGAAGCTGTGATTGCTAGAATGGAAATGCCTAAAGGCAAGACAACAAAGACTAGTGCAGACCACAGTTCTCCCTCTGGCGGGGTTTCAATATGGCAGCCATACTCCAACCAGTGGTAGATTGGGAGTGCCCCAAATGCAAGGCCCAATCCAACAACCACTGGGCCAGAAAGGAGATATAGACGGATCTTCTGCAGTTGGAACTCCTTCCAGCCCTGGGCAACCACCAGAACATAGTAGATTGCAAGTGACACATTGAAGAACACAGATGTGAACCCCAGCTGGATAAAGAATGCCTGGGTCTTGCAGGTAGCTGCATTTCCCATGGCACCCTCTACATGTCCCGCTTTGTCAGCGTCAATTGGCAAAGTGGCAAAACTCCAAGCAAAGGCTGTCACGATATCAAATGTGGCCATACCGACGAGGAGTTGGTGGTATGTTGTTGTTCTTGCTTTCTTATCTGACAGAGTGTCATACAGAATGTAGGATGCTCCTAGGAATGAAAGCAGCGCAGAAACACGCGATGTCCAGATCAGAGCTTTTGCCTTTGCATCGCTTGTGGCACCAAGGTAGGTTGTGTCAATTGTATCTGGAGGTGTGATGTTTTGATTTGGACAAAATTGATACGCACAGGTGTCCGCAAAGAAGATATCGTCCAAACAGGTTCGGAGGGAACCTCCCATTGGAACATTGTCTCGATTGGTGAGATCCAATTTATTCAGGAAATAATCGCAGTGCTGCTCCAAAGGCCCTGTAAGGTTTCCAGACACATTAAGGGCCGTCACCGATTTTGGGATGAAGCCATCTGGGATGGAAATGTTGCTAGTACATGGATCCAGCATCCCGCAGCTCAAGTTCTTGGCCAAGTCACTGCACCATGAACATTGGTGATAGTATTGGCGTGCCTGGTCACATCGATCCGTATTGTTTGGAATCAGGATAAGATCTGCATGAGCAGAGATATTGTAGAGATCGTGAAAGTACAAATCCTGGGCTGCTGCCGTTAGCAACTTTCGGAAGAGATAGGAACATACATTCTCTGCTAGTTCGTCATCATCATCCGTTTTGTTGCTGGCAAGAACATGTTTGTCGGCTACTACCACACGTGTTCCAAAAGTTGTTGGCGTGTCACAGGAGGGAGGATGGGCATTGTCGAAACAGAAATCCTGGGTACACCATGGGCAATGTGGGTATGCTTGTCTAAAATCTGGACACCACTCATGATCTCCATCCAAGATTGCCAGTTTGTCTAAATGTGTTGACGTGTTGAGTAGTGTTGCCTTGTCTGGAATCAATGCAGACAGGATATCGAGCATGACGGCACAGTTTTCACCATGTTGTTTGGTGGTATTCTTGTCATGAATCAAATCTGGATTGCATTGAGTGGGGTGTCGAATTTGATCAAAGCAGAGTGCTGTCCCATCGGTGCACTCTTTGCAGAGATGTTTCACGAGATCTTGCTTCTCGCAGAGATCTTTTGTGCGTGGCCCGGAATAGCCAGGGAGAGAATAGTTGTGCTCTGGTACTTGGCTCAATTCTTGACAGGCATTCTCAATGTCTTGATTGCTTTGAAATTGCCAGTAGGTTGGGTTGTCTTCCAGCACTTGTTCTCGAGTTACATTACTGATGCAAACGCTGTCATCCTCAAATTGGTAGTGGCATTCCAGGAATACTGTAGCATTGCAGAATCTGCAGTGTGGAAAGGCAACTGGTATGTCTTTGCACAGTTCCTCTGAGGCAAGAAATCCTGACAAATATTCTGCTTGCTGGTCAGGCTCTAAGATAAGCTCGTTTTGGAATACCACTTCTTCGATGCGCTTGCAAGTTTCCTCCAGCCACAAAATGTCTTGCTTGCGGCTAAAATCGATTTCGTCGTCGTCAACAGTAGTCAGCATGTCTTCTGAAGGCACGGTGGAATTGCACGATAATGCCTCCTGGTATTTTTCGTAGCAACTCGTTTTGTCTCTTTGGCCTCCCACAAAGACCGTTGATGAAAGGAGAACACCCAAAAGGGCAAATCCGACATGATGAATCATAGGAAGTCTCGCCTTGAATAATACGGTAGCAGAGAGTAGCATAGTTATTGCTGTCTTTCCTCTTCGCCTCTGTCGGCTCGACTCGACTCGGCTCCCCACTTCTACAATAAAGCGCCGCACCGCCACTTGATCACAATGACATGCGCCGGTCTCTTTGCTGGTAATAATGAGGTTGTCTCTTTGCTTCATTTTGGCGGGAAGCGTGAGGGCTGATGACGATGCACAGTTCTTGTCGCGGCATCTAAAAATTTCGGCCGACTTATGACTTTTGGCGAGGAAAAAAGTCTTCAAAAGGTGAAGTCAGTGAAAGATGGAAGCTGTTACTTAAATCACAAACAGAAAAGAGGAAATAATCTTAGAGTCGTGGAACCAACCAATGATACAAAAGAACTCTCCGTGGAATGTCCGCTATTTCTTTCGTAAGTCCACAACACCCTCACAAACTCTGAAGCTTACACAAGCTTACACAATGACAACAACATAAGCTCACAATTTTTAACAATGCCACAATGCCATCATCAGCGGCTCGAGCCCTTCACCGACCGTCAAGCTCATCGCCTTGTCCCAAGAGATTCTTACCACCGATTTGATAATAAGCGTTCAACCTCAAAATCCGAGAAACTATAGAACGCTTCTAAACGTAGAAAGATTCCTATCCCGCTCTCTCATTGTCATCCTAGTCTACAGTTACCGTCAACAACAAGATGCTCGGGGTATTCCTGTACTGTACACTGCCATACTTGAAAAACGTCAATTTCCGTGATGCAAGTAAGGTACTGTACGATGTACTCGGATGGACTTGAAGTTGGTAGGCACAAGTATACTGAGTTTCCGTGTTTCCATATTCCCCTCCCTTTTGAGTACCTCCAATTGTCCCATGCCAACGAAGATCCAGGCGCACGTCGTGTACCGGTAGCTCCAAGCTTGCTCACTTTTGCAAGATATGATATGAAGAACCTCTCCAGTGCACCTTGCCACAGAGTCTCGTCCTGCAGAGAAAGTCTCAAACATGCATCTAGAGGTGGGATTCAACAAGATCCCGCCACAGTCCAATTACTTCAAGCTTTTGCGGTCAAAATCTCTTAGGAATAGAAGCTCTTCATCCAAGGGGTCATGGAGCCCCTCGAGGCCTGTATGATTTGCATCGGCGTTGATGAGTTATCGACCCATTTGAGTTGCGAGCTTCAAACTATTCAGAGCTCTTATGTTTGTAACCAACCTAAGAGTACACCTCCCAAGACTACCAGAACTGAAAAATTATCCCTCATGGAGCTTTCCAAAGGAACAGAACCTTGTTTTCTTTTGATGCAGTGAGACATTTTGAGTGCTCGAGCCAAAGGATCTGATCCGCAAGCTCCTGTCTGATTGACAAAAGGATAGATGAACTTCGGACAAGGTGGCTACCGTACAGTAACGACAACAACGGCAAGTTCTACACGGGCACTTAGCTCAAGCAGCCTTTGCTTGGAAGCTGCAAAGGTGCACACATCGCAGGAGTACTCGGTTGGTACACATGTAGACAAAACTCTGTTTTTCTAATTACTGGTGCTGCTAATCCCGGTTCTTGTGCTGTTGCACAACCAATTCTGATCAAAGTGCGAGGTACCAAGGTACAAAAAACGTGCGCGTGTTGCAGACGGTGACCCGATTAGACCTATTGTTGTTGTCGATGATGGATATGGTGCGTTTACTTTCAATCACAAGTGTTGACATTGCAACAAGAAGAGCATGAGGAGGACTTGGTCTTGAGTGTCCACATGTACTTGTCGCTGCTGCATCCAAAGGCCGACGATCCAACGGAGCACTGGTAGGACACATCCGATCCACAGAGACGTCCCGAAGCACACCACTCCTTGTCGCACTTTGTGTCACAAGTTGGCACGTCTTTGGCAATGTCGAGCGAATCGCAGGCGCTCAAGTCACACTGCTTCGTGCAAGTTCCCGAAATCCACGGCGTCGGGCTGCATCCTCCGTGGGGACCACCATTGTGAAATAGGCAAGTGTAGGGAGCCACCTTGGCATTGCAGTTGCTGGCATAGCACTCCTTAAAGGTGCAATCAGCAACGGCACTCTTGGATCCTAGCATTGGGACGGCACTTTCTGGAAGAGAAGACAAAGATGAAGGGCCTCCAAAGACAAATACAGAGTAGACGAGAGCCATTGATCCCAGCACAGCGAGGCCGATCTTGGAAAAGGGACGTGTCGTCGTCTCCACAGCATAGACGTCGGACTGGTCCTCGTCACCGGATGGCACAGGTAACACCATGGGGGTGTTTTGGTAGCTGGTCATGATGTTGCTTGTTGTTGTTCTTTGTTGATGCTGCGATCAAAGAAGTGAGGATTTGCTGTTTGTGCATTTGCTTCGGATTCAGGTACTGGTTCTGGATATAAGAGGGGGGCCAGAACATAAGCTGTTTAAACTTCTGATGTATGCAACTAGAATATTGGACCAGACGAAATTAGACTCTATCAAGCTACATGTAGCTAGCTAGCTAGCTAGCTAGCTAGCTAGATGCATAAAAGGATCTGTGGATATCAGCATAAAACACCCTCTGCCTATTAGCTACCAGTAGTAGCTTTTTGCCCCCCGCACTCCTTACCCCCTCTATTTATTTGGTCAACCGTTGCTGCCCTCGGAGCCTCGGAGTGGGTATCGTACAAACGGGCTTCCTGCCATCGGAGTGGGTGCAATTCCATCAAGCGAAGGAAATCTACAATGGAGGGACAGGACGGAAAACAGCGCCCAACATGCGACCGCTGCTCATTTATTTTCTACGAAAGATCGTATCTTTGATCACCTCTTGCGATACCCGAACCCTCATGCACTGTGATAGCTACGCTGTACCGTACCGCAGCGCAGGTTGAACCAGCCGGAGAGAGATCTCGATCTGCACAACCCACACTCTCAAGATCATTAGGTCATTCGAAATCGTTAATGAATATAGCTTTAATAAGGTAGGACGAATACAGCAACAAGATGAAGGACGTGTGGCTGTGCTTCGTCTTTGAGATGATGGCAAAAAATTCAGCGATTTGTTTCCTTCGGACATTAGATCTGCTGGACCGTCAACGGAATAAGCAAAATTAACCTTCACGGACCATCGTCTTCGTCGTCCGGGCTCTTTCGGGTATCTTCCTGGCAAAAAGCTGGCCCAACAGAATTATGAGGAGCCGTATTCTCTTGTTGGAAACTGCTTTGCAAGTGAATGCATGAGGCCACCAAGAAAGGGCCGGGGAGGATCCGTCTTCATTTCACAATAGTAATGTAGAGTCTTGTTGACCCAATCCTTTGATGCCAGGCCAACAACGCAGCAGGATAAAGCATGGCATGCTGACACCTAACTTTCTCTGCGGTTTGTTTCGTCCGGTGCCTCTGCAGCTTGCAGCTGTGGTGGTTGGAAGCTATGGTACCGATACATGTAGTTGCACCAGTGACTTTCGGCAAGATCATCTTTCATCTTTTTCAACGTTACAGCCTGTCAACCTTGTACCGGTACCTGGTACCAGTACAGCTGCGTATTTTAGTCGCGTAAGAACACCCTCGATTCCAATGGAATTGCAGTTAAAGGAGTTCACCTCCGTGAACATATACAAAAAGAAATATGGCGTCCGTGAAACTTTCACAGCGTGCCTCTATTCTTTGGGCTTTACTCTAGCTCTACCAGGGCAGCCAACAAAACGCTTCCGCATCCATTTGTTCATGAAACGGCAGAATTGAACAGAGCTTAAGCCAATTGATATGGATCCAAGCAAGAAGTGGGGTGTCGGGAAGATGTTACCCAATAGCTCTATGCTTCCTAGTCTAAGGAATAGGCTTCTCCTTTGTTTGCTGGTCTTGGGTCTCATCGGCAGTGGTGGCAGTGCGAGAGAAGGAACGGATGATGATGGCTTGAACGAAGATGCTCGTAATGCTACCGGTAGTAAACTCTCCATCCCCCATCCAGTGATTGTTGACGATGATACCAAGAATGGTTCTCTTAGTTGGTACTATTCCTACGATGGCAGAGGGAACAATCTCGAACGACCCGCGTGGGGAGCCGTCCATACGACACGAGTGCGCATCTTGCCCAACACTACTACTACTAGTATCGACCAAACGCTACCATCGGCACGACGCATCATGGAAGAACTGTTTCGCCAAGCACCCGCCAAACCGGATCGAGTCAGCAATCATCTCTTGTTGGAATTTGGGCACATTGTGGCATTGGATTTGGTCCGTTTGGCACACCAGGGAGTCAACCAATCCGAGCCTTTTCCGGTACCCTGTGATGGCAATTTGCAAGATTGGGTCTTTTGTCCCGTGACGCAACAACGGTACTCGCAAATGGACTTTTGGAGGGCTCCTCACGAAACGCTCACGTCCAAAAGGCGTGCTACCATCAATACGCAAACCACGTACTTGGATCTCAGCCATCTCTATGGGACCAATCAAGAAGAGACTGAAATGGTCCGAGCATTTCAAGGGGGCAAACTATTACTTCATAAGAGTGATGGATTGCCCCATGGGCGATTACGGGAACACTTTCAAACCAAGAGTATTGGCTTTTATGTTTGGATGGTCATCTTGATGAGATTTCACAATCTGGTGGCGGAACAGCTGGCAGCCAGTGATGACAGCAACACTACTACTACAAGACTGCAGCAAGACGACGACGAAGAACTGTTCCAGCGTGCACGACAATACACCATTGCTGTCTACCAATCCATTGTTGAGCAAAAGTACATTCCCACCTTGCTGGGACGACAATTGGAACCCTACCAGGGATACAATCCACAAATCAATCCCAGTGTCGATGAATTCTTTGCCGCCGTGGCATTTCGATACGGTCATTCCAGTACATCGGCACTAGTCCGCATGCTCGATGAGAACTGGAAACCTCTTTCCAAGGATCCCTTGTTCTTGAGAGATGTTTTGGGCAAGTCGTCGGACATGGTACAACAACAAATTGGAACAATAAAAGTATTCTTGAGAGGATTGACGGTACAACCCACCAAGGCAACGGATGCCAGTATTGTGGATGATCTCAATCTATGGGGCACTGCCGCCACGAGTGTGGTGGATATTCAACGGGGACGGGATGTCGGGATACCTCCGTACAATCAAGTACGACACGCCATGGGCTTGCCTCGCATGACCAGCATCGAAGAATTGACGCAAAACGAGACTATTGTGACAAACGCACTGCAATCTTTATACGACAATGACATTGACCAAGTGGATGCCTATGTCGGCGCCTTGGTGGAACCACCACTCAATGTCGATGATTTCATGGGACCACTCTTTACAATCTCCATACTCGATCAATTGACACGAGTACGGGACGGGGATCGACTATGGTTCAAGAATATTTACGCCCGCGAAGACTACGAGGTTTTTCCTACAGTGGCGGATCTCGTGCGTCTCACGTGTAGGATGGACGATTTTCCAGAAGATGCCTTTACCACCTTTGTTCCAATGGGACCAACAACAACAACAGCAACAGCAACAGCAACGGGGGACGACGATGAAACTTGTGGTTCGGCTTCGACACAATTGTATCTGTTATCGTACGTGACGTTGCTTGAGTACATTTCCTTGGATGTTTCCTATTGCATTGCCGCATTACCTAACCAACTCGATTTCTTCCTGGATTTTGTGTTTACCGCACGCGTCCATCAGTGGTGACTTTACCTTGGGTTGGGTTGTGGAGCAACCAACCGTGGCAGAAAGGCAACTCGACTCAACCATGAGAGATACGATTGATGTGACCCTGTCGTTAAATATGCCCATGGACGAACCAGGCTATTTGGGTATTGGTTGGCGGAGCATTATGATGTATGGTTCCGAAATGTGGTTCTGTACTATCAATGAAAATGTCTTTGACGACGAAGGTACCGAGTTCTGTGCTGCGAACCAACACGACAACAATTCTCTGAACATTTCACAGCCTGCATTGTTTGCCTGCTGCTTGGCCATGGGACCCCAGCATGCCGAACCGGTGTGCAGCAGCGTCGGCGACCCCGTACATTACGAATTGGAAGTAGTCGATTGGTGCCTCACATCGGACACGTCGTCGGTCACGATTCGAGCTCCAGTATGCCCGGACGAGTTGGACGACTCTACAATCAGCGACGAGACTGCCAGTGATGGTGTCAGTTGCTTTCGTCTGAACTCCGAGGAGGACGGGACGATGGATTTCATTGTGGCCTTCAATCCAAACTCCATGAGCAGGACCCATGGGTACATGAGACGAACCTCGGCTCAGGTAGACTTGCGCGCTGGTATTTTGACACAATCGGAAGCCAACGTGGCGGATTCGGGCCTCGTTGCTACACACGGATTGTTCATGCTGGTGGGTTGGATGGTTGCAGCTCCAGTATCAGTTTTTGTAAGTGTGTTCGTAGCGTCTCTTTTGTTTTTGTGGTCAGAGTACATCATGGCTAACGCTTACAAACTTGTTGCTCAGATTGTACGGTACCTCAAGACGAAGACATGGCGAATTGCAGCCCACGTCTCGCTCATGGGAATAGTTGGCAGCCTCATGGTACCCCTTCTCATCGGGGTGGAAGCTTCCGTGGGAGCTTCGGAGAAGACGCAAGAGCACAGCGTCGTGGGTCTTAGCATCATGATGGTCTGGTTTCTGATTGCCTTTGCCGGCAGAATAAGAATTCTCAAACTAGAGGGTCGGCGTATCGGTCGGAAACTTGGGGATTTCTCCCTTTTTCTTCACAGATATGGAGGTTAGTTGATTTTGTGCTTTTGCCCGTTGGCGGTCAAGTAATTGGATTCCGTCTCTCAACTTGTAAACACTTCCACTGCGAACAAGGGGTGGCGATGGTCTTATGCTCCTGGTGGAATTGCTACACTGGTCTCGTGAGGATAGGTCCGGAAGACTCATATGTTCAGGCGGTTGTGTTTAGCAGCATTCCGATGGGATACAACATTCCAGTCTTTGGCTTTATCAGGAAGTACATCTTTTTTCCTTACGTTGCGATGGTGTGCATCGTATTTGTCGTTGCGGAAGCGAGGAGATACCGAATGAACGGGTCATTGCACGTCGAGAAAATGTACGGGATTGTCGATGGCAAGACTTCGCTCTGGGATGACTTTCCCACGGATGAACTTGAAAAGATGACGATGGAAAACTTTTTGGAGCTGACGCGGCAGGGAGCTGCATTGTGTATTGTGGATGGTTGCGTTATCGACCTCGCCGATTTCACAGAGTTTCATCCCGGCGGCCGTCATCTTCTCCGATTTGCCCGAGGGTCGGACATTACGGAGGAATTTGTCGGTTTGCGGGACGTCGATGGTTCCAGCCACGTCCACAGTCAGGCTGCTCATGAAGCTTTGAAGACATTGGTAAAGGCGGTGCTTGTTATATGTACCGGAACTGACGGCAATCTGGATGGCATGGTGCCCCTATCCGGGAGTTCGCGGAGCCTTCTTGGCCCGAGAAAATCGTTCGCAAATACCACAAAGAATCCATGCCTCCTACCAGTCTTTCGCCGTGGTCGCATTGTGGATTTGAAATGCTTGACACCGTCCATTGAGATAACCGATTGCTGCAAACCAGTCATTCTACTTCGCCTGGCCTTGCCTAGAATTGGGTTAGACGAACGAACGAAGCAGTTGCTGCCACTCCCGAGTTGTGTCTTCACGTTCCGTGGACTGGACGATAATGGATCCACAGTTGAGCGACAATATACACCAGTTTCATTGGAAGCGCACGAAGAGGTATCGTGTGCCTCTGTCACAGCGAACGAAGGCGTGATAGATTTCATCATCTCTTTGGTGCCGTCTGGGAAAATGTCTCGAATACTGCTCGATATGAGCAAGGGTAAATTGCTTCTTGTTCAAGGTCCAACGGTTTGTCCTTCCCTAGTTCAGACGTTTCAAGATGCCAGGTGGGAGTCGATTGTCATGATTGCTGCGGGCACTGGCATAGCCCCAATGCTACAGGTCATTGACTACCTTTTGGTTGAATCAGAAGAACGAGTTCGTTCGCCTGCAACGGGGAAGCCTGTCCGCATGTTTCTGATGTGGATCATGAAAGGCCCCGAGTACAATTATGGAAAGCAGCTTGGCCTTGACAGAAGGGTACAACATTCTCGTGGACGCTTCAAGTATACAGTTGTCTATTCATCCTCGTCAGGAAACAACAACAAGTTGGGGCCGTTGGCGAAAGATGGGCCCCCAGCTAGCAGGAAAAGTATCGGGCATAGTCCAGACTGGAACTTTCGGTCACTGCTTCAAAAATCCTGGCCAAGTTTTGCACCAAAAGACAAACGGAAAATCAAGGGCTTGGTACTTGGGAATTGCACAGGGTTCAGCAGCAAAACTCTTATTGGAATGGATTTTGGTGATGACGATTCTAGTTGCACACGCATTGGCGAACTTACCCAAGATATATGGTCCGGTCCACCACAATGCCACGCACGGCACTACGACAAGGACCTCTTACACGAACTGCTTGAATCGTTACCTTGCCAAATTCGTGAATTCGAGGCGAACCCTGCAGCAGTTTCTAATGGGGATCAAAGGTGGGTCGAGGTGAGTGGATCGGGGGTATGGGTACCCGCAAAAGAGGTCAATGAAAATCATAACCAGTCGGTCGAGGAGGGGAGAAGCAGCGCGACGCAGCCTGTTCTTGTTTCACAAGGTGGGAACGAAGGAGCAACGATGAGCAACCACGCTGCACCTGCTAGGCCAGGGGAGAGCTATCTCGAAGGAACTACCGTGGACGTGGATGATGATGCGGTATGCAGCCTGGAGAGCAATCTCTTAGTGGTAGTCTCCGGTTCTCCCACATTCGAGTACCAAACACAGGTGGCGCTTCGAGAGCTGGGTGTAACTTCGGACAGAATGGTAACATTCCATCGTGCATCATCGCACACGTTGTGATTCTTTGGAGGAATTCGATCGACGAGTCGTAAACTGTGGCAGTATGCAATTAGCAATTATTTTGGCAAACGTACAATCCTTCAACGTCATGACTTGGTAGCATTGCTCTTGCGAAGTCTATATGGTTGGTGCCAAAGCGTTCGATTCGATTCCTATTTGTCTTAGGCTGATGCATGACTAACTTCTTCTGCTTGGTTGCTATCACCCTCTTCCTTGCTGAAGCTCTCCTCGAGCGTCACGTTCTGTGTTGTGTCTATCATGGACTCATCTCCTACAACCTCATGTGGCACTTCAGTAGGTTCATCAACCTTGTCCAAGGGGACAAAATCATCGGGACTGTCCGCCAAGCGTTTGGGTTCACCCTCGTTGTCCGTGTAGTCCTCTCCATGGTGAGAAAACCTGGAGGAAGCAGGTACTGTTGATTGCGTTTGAACGTTCCTCTGTGCTACGGCGGCAGAGGGATCCAGCCCATTCTCATCCTGTCCACTTTCAAAAGAAGACACAAAGAGAATTTGAGCAAGCACGGCTCTCACACAATATGTTGTGCAGTTTATTGCTGTGGCCAAGTCAGATGGTGCCCTCTGCGCCAGTTTCGGGCGGATGTAGACCAAGAAGTTGTTGAACCCTTGTAGTGGCGCCACAAAAGCAACTAGCATTGAGAGTCCAAAGATCCTAACCTTGTCATCCAAGGATGCAAGATATACGCTGAACAAAATGGGCCAAGTGATATAGAAGGCCATGACATAAAAGAGACATTGCCAAAACACTGCTTGTTCCAGCTTGCTAGCCTTGCTGACTCCCATGGTCCACTTTCTGGCAGCTGCAGATTGCTTCCTCACTTTGCAGTATACTGTCATCATGGAAGCGGTGATTGCTAGAATGGAAAGGCCCAATGGCAAGACAACAAAGACTAGTACAGCCCAAAGTTCTCCCTCTGGTGGGGTCTCAATGTGGCAGCCATACTCCAACCAGTGGTAGATTGGGAGTGCCCCAAATGCAAGGCCCAACCCAACCGCCACAGGACCAGCCAGGAGATAAAGACGGATCTTCTGTAGTTGGAATTCCTTCCAGCCATGGGCGACCACCAGAACATAGTAGATTGCAAGTGACACATTGAAGAACACAGATGTGAACCCCAGCTGGATAAAGAATGCCTGGGTCTTGCAGGTAGCTGCATTTCCCATGGCACCCTCCACATGTTCTGCTTTGTCCGTGTCAATTGGCAAAGTGGCGAAACTCCAGGCGATGGCAGTGACAATATCAAATGTGGCCATTCCGACCAGGAGTTGGTAGTAGGTTGTTTTTCTTGCTTTCTTGTCAGACAGAGTGTCATACAGAATGTAGGATGCTCCAAGGAATGAAAGCAGTGCAGCAACACGCGATGTCCAGATCAGGGCTTTTTCCTTTGAATCCCCTGTGGCACCAAGATAGGTTTTGTCGACAGTATCAGCCTCTGTGATGTTTGTATCCGGGCAGTACTGCTGAGGACACTGTCTGGCCAAGTAAAAATCTTCCATGCAGGTTCCAAGTGAGCCTGCCCTGGCAGTGTCATCTCTCTGGGTAAGGTTTAGCTGCTGGAGAAGATAGTCACAGTGGTCTTCGGGTGAACCAGTAAGGTTGTTTCCAGATGTGGTATTGATTTTAATAATCGAGTCGGGAATGAGGTGATCAGGCATGGTGATGTTGCTCGTGCATGGATCTAGCACACCACAGCTCAGATTCTTAGCTTGCTCGTCACACCAGGAACACTTGTGATAGTACTTGCGGGCCTGATCACATCGTTCAGTATTGTTGGGGATCAAGATGAGATTTGCGTGGGCGGTTGAATTGTACAAGTCGTTAAAGTCCCACATTTTGCCTTTGGCGTGCTGGGTTCCGAGTTGTAGTTTTTCGAAGAGATAGGTGCAGACCTTTTCGGCAAACTCGTCATCAATATCACTGTCATCAACCTTCTCACAGGATGGTGGATGGGCATCATCAAAACAAAAATCTCCAGTACACCAAGGGCAGTAAGAATAGGCTTCTCGAAAGTCTGGACACCACTCGTGGTCCCCATCCAAAATCGCAAGCTTCTCTAGATGTGTTGATGTGTTGAGCAGAGTCTCCTTTTCTGGGATGAATGCAGAGAGAATGTCTAGCATCAGTGAACAGTTGCTGCCAAATTTCTTGGCACTCTCATTGTTGTAAGTTGCAATGGCGGCACATTGGGTAGGGTACTCAAAAGGATCGAAGCAGAGCGCATCGTTTTTGCATTCTTTGCAGAGGTGCTTTACTAGACCCTGTTTCTCACACAATTCCATAGTTCTCGGTCCCGAAAAACCAAGGGCGGTGTCATTGTGTTCCGGAACTTGGCTCAGCTCTTCGCATGCTAGTTCAATATCTTCTTTGGTTTGGAATTGCCAGTACGTTTCGTTGTCTCGTAGGACTTCTTGAGCACTAATTTCTTTTGTGCAAATGCTGTCATCAATAAAATCATTGTGACACTGGAGAAATGTTGTATCATTGCAGAATCGACAGTGATGAAACGCCACTGGGATATCCGTGCATAATTCATCAACAGCAGGGAGCCCGTTCAAGTACTCAATCTGCTGTTCAGGTTCCACAATAAGCTCGTTCTTGAAGACAACTTCCTCAATCAGTCGGCATGTTTCCTCCAGCCACAGAATATCTTCAGCCTGGCTGTAGTTGATTTCATCATCATCGACATCTAGCAGCGATGCTGGATTGTCTGCCTCTGTGAAATTGCAGGAGATCACTTCCATGTACTTTTCATAGCAAGTTTGTTTGTCTCGTTGGGCATCCACAGCCGTCAAGCATGTGGAAGCCAACAGCAGCAACGACAGAGGGAAATACTGCATCGTACCCGTACCACAGCAGGTCCTCAATGGGCTTTTGGATAGGCAAGTTCTCAGCTCGCCAAAAACAACAGTGTGTTGCGATAGTGAGAACACATGGGATGATGGGCTGAAATCTCAAAAGGAACCTTTTTGTCTTCTTGCCTCACTTGTGTACCGGTAGGGATTTCCTTTGTCGCGCGAATCTATTGATTTATCAGCTGTGCCCCCAACTTGTTCTTTGGAACACTAGTACATAACGACTTCAGAGGTTACATAACTCAAAACTCGTTCATAAGAGAGGGACAATAATTGGAAAGTTGACCTCGCCCTTTGGATCAAAACTCAAGTTTCTTTCCCACTTGACCCACATGTACATGTAGATCTACTGCTCCTTCTCAGCAGTTCCTTATCATGATAGCAGTCCATCTGGGTCAGGAAGGATGTGTCCTCTCTAAGTTTAAAAGTCTTGTTGGCACCATGGGTCAAGTGCTGCCCTCGTTGTGACGATAAAACTATGCATAGTCTGCGACAGAGTGGGGCGGCACTAAAGGTACCAGCCAGAGGCACAGGGGCAAGACCTAGTTTGCCGTAGTCGCTCCTCAGCAGTGGAAGTCCCTTGGTGCGTTATTCTCAAAGGATGCATTGGCTGCTTGAGTTTTGAGTACTCTTGGGCGAGGGTCATTTGCTGAACCTAGCTAGCGCTTATTGGGTCCGTCCAACCGATGCCTGGAGGTCTCAGACACAAGATCCATTCAGTGCACCTCCAAAGCTGCCTGCCTGGGTGGAGATCTTGCCAAAAACATCAAACCAGAAACCAGACATCCTCACCTTGCCTTGGTGGTCGACAGGTAAGTGGCTGTCTAACCGGTCAAGAAGCACACAAGAGTACAGGTACCACAACTCCAGTGTAAATGTTCCTGCTACCGCTACAACAACCATACCAACAGTACCGGTACGGTACTGGTACCATGTTTAAATGTTGCTATCGGTTGCCAAAGGTGCATCACGACTGAAAGCTGGGTCGTGGTTTTGAGACAGAGCGATCTTTTGAACTTCTGGTACGGTATCGATGTATCGATGTATCGATGTTCTGGATACTTAGAGGTTGAGTACAGAAGAATGCCATGATGTGGGTTTGGCTTGAGATTTCTCTCAATATTTCAATTTTTACTTAAGATCTATGCGGGCCTGTAAGCTGGAGATATAAGTGACTGATGACTTGGAAGTCACTTCGGCATTTCATCAATTAGGGCACAGTTCGGGTCCGGAAAAATGAGACCCCTCAACCGCCACTCACTCCTCTGCTTGGTTGCTTGTCCGCGTCGACTGCTTGGGCATCAATGAGCAAACGAACCACATCAGGTGAGGTCCGATAGAAGGAAGAGTTTGTCGTGCTTCTATTATTCAACAACAGCCCGAAGCTACTGCTCAAAAGAAGCTGTATCGGTACTGTTCTGTTGAGTTTGTAAGACTCAGCCTCTGTCCTCTCGACTGAAACGGCAGAAGCGGTACTGTACTGTTGCGTTGATTGAGAAGGCAACAGCACACAAGCTCATCAATCCATCCACAAATTTGTTGACTCCGCCGCTGTCATATCAGTGCCAGACGTACCAGAACACCTCAATCAATCAATCAATACTAAGAAAGAAAGATGATGAACGCAGAGGGATGCCTGACGCTCATGGAGCGTCACGTCCATGAGGCGGAAGTAACATGGGCGGAGGGCCGCCTCAAGCTGGCCAAGAGCGGCTTTTGCGACCAACACCCCTACATTCGCCTTCGCAAAAAGAAGTGGTTCGGCAAGGAAAAGGTCATCCTGAACACTTGTCCTCGTTGCGACGAAGAACATCAGCTCCGCATGGATGTAATGAGGGTTCAGCTGGAGCACATGAAACAGACACTGCGCGTCAATGGGTCGCCCGTCCATGGCAACGCTGCAACTGCTCTCCCAGCGGCCACCGCAGCGCCGCTCTCTCTGGCGCCTCCTACACTACCACAGTTGTCACAGCAGACGGCAACTCTCTCAGCGGCCTCCACTCCAGCGCCGCTCTCACCGACACCTCCAACGCTACCACAGTTGACGGCAGCTCAGCCGGAAGAGACAACGCCACCAAAAGCAGCCCGGGAAGCACGAGGAAGATTTGCTCGATTGATGTCCAGCCGCGGGAAACCACAAACCATGAGCTGCCAGAATTTGGATCAGTCTGCCATTGCTCATTCCTTGCCGGAGCGGAGCTCCAGTTGCCGGGCTGTCCTCGGCGTCATTCCTGACGAGGGCGAACACAGTGATGACGAAGGAGAAGATGAAATCGAAGAGCCACAGTGTCACCAATGCTTGCGCCACAGTACCAGTTTTGGAGATCTTCCTGGCAGTTTGCTACAACAAAATCCCACCTCTTTGCCCCAGCATTCCTTTGAATCCAGGGCGGAGAGAAAAAAGGAAGATCCACCGGTTTGGGATCCAAATGATTTCATCCAAGATGATGATGATGAAGAAGAAGAGGTCGACTTAAGGGCAGAAGCATCATCCAAGCCAGCGCCTGAACCAGCGAGGAAGTTCTCGCCTGAACCAGCGAGGAAGTTCTCGCCCGAGCCTTTTGAGCCAGCTGCCACATCGTCTCCAAAACCCAGACAACCGTCCCCCGACACTCCTCTTGAGCCTGCTCCCTTGGTGCCAGCCAAGCAACCAACACCCAAAGAGCCAAAGTCACCCGAGCCACAGCACAAAGAACCAAAACCATCCGAGCTGCCACAACACAAAAAAGAAGCACCCAAACGAGAGGACACCATGTGGCTGGCCAAGGAACAAGAAAAACGACGGAAACGAATCGGAGCCGTGGCCATGAATGGCAATTCCAGCACTACCAGCACTCTACAGGACATGACAGAATTTGCCAAGTATGCCATGAGCTCTGTCACCGAGTTTCAACAAGCGCCCACCGTGGATCCAGAGTCGCCCACCGGTGTCAAGGATTGTTCTGCAATCATGGAACAAGAGGCCCTGCCCCCCTGCTTGCTCAATAATACATGTAATAAGGACCTACTACCACAAGACAAGGTCAACGCCAAGATCAATGCCTTGAAATGGTCCTGCAGACATCCACACCAAGCGGAAGAAGTCCTCCACGAACTCCAAGCACTGTGTCAGGATTCCGAAGACAACCAAATCACAGTGGTCATGGGGGATGGTTTGGGATCCGTCCTGGATATCATGAGGGCGTTTCCCTTGCATGCCGGAGTGCAAGAAGAAGCCTGTTGGGTTCTGGGGACGCTGGCATGTGAAAATGACGACCACAAGTCGTTGATTGCCGAAGCCGGGGGCATCATCGCCATTGTATCGGCCATGAAGAGATTAGGCAATCATTCCGACTTTCAGGAGACTGCCTTTGAGGTTTTAACCCATCTCACTGAGGGACACTTGCTCAACAAAATTGCAGTGTGTGAGTCGGGAGGTGTCACCGCAATCGTGGAGGCCATGGAGCGGCACTTGTCGTGCTGTAGCGTCCAAGCCAGGGGATGTGCCGCGTTGGAAAATCTTGCCGTGGATGGAGCGCAAACCGTAATTGTGGAATCGGGGGGGATTTCGGCCGTGTTTGCGGCCATGATGGAGCACAAGTACGATGCGGACCTCCAGGCATGTGCCTGTGCTGCCTTGGGGAACTTGGCGTACAACAACGCCACGGCCAAGTTCCTGATTGCTCAAGCGGGCGGGATCGGGTTTATCCTTGCGGCCATTCGAAATCACGACCGTGAAGTATCCGTGTTGGAGCCAGCCTACTTTGCGCTGCAAAACCTGGCACACGACAACCCCGACAATAAGGACATGATGGTGGATTGTGGCGTCATCAACGCAGTCCTTGACTGTTTGCTATGTGCTCAGGTTCCTGCTTGTGAGACCCTCATCATGATCATCCGAAACCACTCCAAGGCCAAAGATGCGCTGGCCCAGTTGGGTGGCGTCGCCGCGATGGTGGTCATCTTGCGGAGCCCAAGCACCGAAGACTGCTCTGTCCAGCAAGCTGCTTGCCGAGTTCTGATGAATCTGGCACACAAGCACGACAACAACAAGGTCCTGATTGCTGGCGTTGGTGGCGTCTCGGCCATCATGTGCTCCATGATACAATTTGCGAACGTTGCCGAGTTCCAAGAATGCGCCTGTGAAACTCTAACCAGTTTGACCGTCCACGACGAGAATAAGATCCTGCTGGCGGAAGCATATGGCATTGATGTTGTAGTCGCGGCCATGAGCAACCACCCCAACCATTGTGGAATTCAAGCGGCTGGGTGCAGGGTGCTGGTGAACCTCGCTCGTAGCGAAAGCCTCCGCGAGACGATCACTGAATGCGGTGGTGTGGTGGCGATATTGGCCGCTATGGACAACCATGCGGAGAATGCCACGATCCAAGAAAAGGCTTGTGGTGCTCTTCGGGAATTGGCTATGAATGATTCCAATGAAGTCATCATTGTGGAAGCTGGAGGTGTTGAGGCCATCTTGGCAGCCACAAAGATGCATGAGCATCGTGGATTCCTCCGCAACGCCTGCGGGGCGCTGCGAAATCTTGCGTTTCACGACGAAGAACTCCAAGCCAGAATAGCGGAAGCGACGCGCCATGGTCCCTTGCGCGAGGTCATGGAACATCTGGCCAACGAATCGGATGGTCCCTCCGACAGCTCTTCTGCGAGCGCATAGACAACTTACACTTAGACTTTGTATTATAAGATGATCTACGAATTGCATTCGTTGTTCTGCTGGCGCCTTCTTTCCTGTTGCCTCGTGGGAGAACGCATAAATCACGCAAACCGATTTCGGAACAATTGATTTGATTCGATTAATCATTCGTTTCAAGAGATCTTGGATGCGCGAGGGAGAACGCCGCCATCGGGGGAGAACGCAGGTAAGATCAGCCACGAAACGATGGGGTATTGCGCTAGCAGTAGGGTGGTTGTCTGGAGAGGTAGTCGTTAGGGAGCAATTGATTTGATTGAAGATTCGATTCAAGTGATCTTTGATGCGCGGGGGAGAACGCCCAATAGGTGGGAGAACGCTGCAAAGTGATCTTTGATGCCTTGGGGAGAACGCGAGAACGCCCAATTGGGTGGGGCGAGGCTACAAAGCAAACGCTGCACACTAAGATGACAAGATCCAGATTTTTGGGCTGATGCAAGGGGAGAACGCCGATGGTTGCGTGCTCTGACTCGAAAGTCTTTCTCGTTTCCAGCCAAGCTAGCAAGAGCCATAAAATTTCGAAGTGCTCCGACTGCACCGCCTATCCATCCGTTGTCTACATCATAATAGTCCTGAACCAACATGTTCGGCCGTATTGTAAGGGGTGTGTTGAAACCTACTGATACCCATTGCGCTCCAGGAGAGACTTGCATCTCTGGAAAGTACTGCGGAGGTGGTAGCACTTGGAATCCCGATACCAAAGTTTGTGAACCCAACACGAAGACTGATGGAGGTGATACCAAAGGCAAATAACCGAAAAGATCCAAGAATTCGTTTCCAGGATGCATCGGAGGACGGAGTTCATGTTGGAACGCAAAATCCAAAGGTTTCACTCGCCGACGACATTGGTTGAAGTGTGGGGGGACTAGGATTTGCGTCCCCGGTTCTTTCGTTGTTGGAGTCTCGAACGTACACGTAAAATAGGCAGTTGTTATAGGACTTTCTCGTTGCCCTTATTGTCTAATGCTTGTAAGGAGTGTAGGTTGAGTCAACACTGACTACGATAATCCCTACCGGTAGGATCGTACCGGTACCATTCTGCCTCGTGCCACCATCACAGCCAACTCGAATCAGAGTCGATCAGCTGCTCCAGTCTCCCACCAGGACCAGGTACTTGGATGAAGCAAGACGTACTCTTCCACGGAACCTCATAGTCCCGAATCTCGCTTCTTCTTTACCTAAGCCTGGCCCTCACTGACTTCCGTGGATACCATCCCAACTCTAAAAACATCTTTCAAAATCTCTGGTACTGTACTGTTCCAATTATATCCCCCATGCAATTTTACATGTCTGCACATCAGGATCATTCAACCCATCGTAACACTCGGACCACATTGGTACCAGGTGGTACTGTACTGGTATGTTTCCAAAGACACGTTTGTTTTAAAAGCCTTGCTGGCTAATAATAAAGATTCCAAACCCGCCCCGCTCCGGATCCAAAGATGCCTCCATGTTATGCAAGTCTGAGAGGCAGCTGATGCATCAGAGCAACAAGCACCCCACTCATCAGCACAACCTTCAGAACCCCCATTCATTTGTAGAGCAAGATGAACGCCCACGAAGCTATCGACATCGTCGGCGACAGCGACGAGGAGATGGAAGACGTGGAGGAGAAGCCGATGTTGGCTTCTCTTGTGCATGAGCAAGGGGGGCATCACATCGAAATCCAAAACAAAGATCTTAACACTGTGGAATGGCTGTTAAAAGACCCAGTGATCCGCCAAGCCATCAAAAAAGGCATTCAGGGGTGGAAGCCTGCCCCTGTAGCTGAATGGAACGTCGATGGGGAACCTGCTGATGGCCCAGAAGAAGCACTTGGAGTCGAGTGTTTTCCGATAGATCCAAGCCAGGTGGACCAGGTCCGGCAAAGAGCCATTGAGCTGGGGCATCCCCTCGCCGAAGAGTATGATTTCCAGAGCGACCACAGCATTCCCAATCTACCTCCTATTCATCTAAAACCCGAAACCAAGATACGCACTTACCAGTCGAGAGCACTCTCGCAGATGCTTGGTAGCGGCAGAGCTCGTTCGGGCATGATTGTTCTGCCCTGTGGAGCCGGCAAAACCCTTACCGGTGTCACGGCAGCCCACACAATCAAAAAGTCTGTCCTTTGCTTGACCACCAATGCCGTCTCGGTCCGACAATGGAAGGAACAGTTCCAAAAATGGACGACCATTAAAGACTCTCACATTGCCGTGTTTACAGCCAACAGCAAAAGAGCCAATCTCCCTGAAAGTTGCATTCTCATTTCCACCTACCAAATGATCGCCCACAGTGGAGAACGAGCGGCAGAATCCAAGGCCATCATGGATAGAATCCAAAAGCAAAATTGGGGGTTGCTCTTGATGGATGAGGCACACGTGGTGCCGGCTCCAGAATATCGCAGAGCAATCCAATCCATCAAGGCGAGATGCAAGTTGGGCTTGACTGCCACCATGGTGCGAGAAGACGGCAAAATAGCGGACTTGAGACCCTTGATTGGCCCCACGCTATATGAAGCCAAATGGAAGGACTTGACCGCCCAAGGGTATCTGGCCAATGTTAAATGCCTGGAAGTATGGTGTCCCATGACACCAGACTTTGCCGATGCGTACAAAAAGGAACCCAAACAAAGAAGCAAAATGCGCCTCTGCGGCGTCAATCCCAACAAACTACGTGCGGTCGAGATGCTGGTGCGATATCACGAAAGCCAGGGAGACAAGATCATTGTCTTTTCGGATTGCATCTTTACCCTGGAAGTCTTTGCTGTAATGTTGGAACGGCCATACCTCTACGGTCAGACCAAAGAATGGGAGCGCGAGTTTTGGTTGGGCGAATTTCGAAAGGACACCCGCGAGGTCCCCACCATTTTGCTTTCCAAAATTGGGGATGTCGCCATTGACTTGCCCAAAGCCAATGTGCTGATTCAAGTGACGTCCCATGATGCCTCGCAGCGACAAGAAGCGCAACGCTTGGGCCGTATCTTGCGCCCCAAGTTTGGCGACAATGCCTCGTTTGACGCCTTTTTCTACACATTGGTCTGTACCCAGACGAAAGAAATGGGGTATTGTAAAGATCGACGACAATATCTAGTCGATCAGGGCTACAGCTTTGAAGTGGTAGAGAAGTTATGCGACAAGGCCAACGGTTTGGCCGTGGGAGAGAAATATGCGTACGCCACTCCCAAGGACGATTATGAGCTCCTGCAAGAAGCCTTGAAGGAAAATATTAGGCGAGCACAAAAGGAGGGAGGAGGCAGGAAAAGACCGGCTCGACACGATCGTTGAAGGGCGGGTGAACTGGGATCCGTTTCCTCAGATCTTTCGCTGTTGGAGTCTCGAACGTACACGCTGTAAATAACAAGTTCATATGATTTTAGCGAATTGTTATATAAGTTTTCTCATTGCATGGTCCAATGCTCGTGTAGCGTAGGTTGTAAAAGGCGCCACTGGCTCCGAGAATCCCTACGATCGGATCGTTCCGCCTCATGCCACCCGCAGGCATTTTATTTCAATTCACTCCAATCCACGCACAGCCAGCACCACAATCTCGCCCAACTCGAGTGGCTCCGTCGAGTCGATCAGCTGGTGCTCCATTCTCCCACTAGGACCAGATTCTTGGATGAAAACGTGCTCTCGTACCGTTCCAATCGTATCCCCAGGGATTTCTTAGTATTCGAATCGATCGTGACGGTACCGTTGTCGTGTGGTTGCTGTTTTGAGGATTGTTGCTGCTGTTCTAGAAGAAGGGCATGCAAGCGCATGCAATTGATAAGTTTCATGGCGCGTTGTGACACCTCGGGATGATTGTTGGTTTCGGCCAGTTTTTGTACAATGGCAATTTCTTCTTGGGGGTTCGATTGTCGTTGTTCACTGCTGCTGGGTACGATGCAGTTGTTGTTGTTATGGTCTCGAATCCAACAGGGCTCAAACCCTGTAATGTATCGTTTGGTGTAACAGCAGGGACAAATGACAAAATTCGCCTGACAGGAGAGTGCAAATTGGAGGGCACAATCGGATAAATCACCACAGGCGTGCCATGCCACAATGACATCAAAGTTGTGGTTCTCTTGGGCAGCATAGGTTGCAAAATCCGCACAAACAAAGGAAGTTTTTTTGTCTGCCGATAACCCCAGCGATTGTTGTGCATAGGATCGTCCCGCCAATAAGGAGGATTCGTTGGAGTCCACCACGGTGACGTGTGCCTGGGGAAATGCCAATGCAACAGCCACGGCCAAATCTCCTCGACCACCTCCCACATCCAGTACTCGGGTGGTTGTGCAGCCATCATCCAACATCATGGGCTGCAATCGTTGCAACAGCCATCGGATTTGAGGCCACTTTTTGCCCTTCAAGTAGTCGACTCGAGAAATGCCATGGCGAATGGACATGGAATTGACATCTGGGACATTCATCTTGGTGGTGATGGGATCATCAGTTGATGATGTTGGATCACTGTTGTCTTCCGGAACACCATTTGAGTTGGAGACGGGACGGCAAAATGGCACAGGAACTACTAAGGGAGTGTTTTGTTCCAATCGTTCGAGAATTTGCCATTGCCAGCGTTTGATATGTGGCAAGGGACCCGTCTTTTGGTGATTATTATTGTCCACCCCGTGCTTCAATTGTCGTGAGATTTGAATAATGGCATCTTTGCGTTGTTTGTCGCGGGGAGGCAACCTCAAAAGTTCTTCGACTTGATGAACGTCTTGCAAATGAGTTTGATTGGAAAATACGGACAGGGGAAGTGCTCCCTCGGCCACCAGTTGCAGGCAGATTGGTATCACGTTGGGATCCGGCGAACACTGTAGCAATTCCACCCGGACTGCTTCGGTGTGGCCGCTACTATCATTTTGCTTCTTTTTCTCGTCCTTCTTTTCGACTGGATCTTCGTCATTTCTGGTACACTTTTCTGTTGCTGTTCCATCTTCTTCTTGTGAAATCTTCAACTCGACACGAATCCAGGCTCCCAAGACACACCAAGCCATGCACGGATCATCCCTGGACACCATGACCAACGTGGGTGGCTCATTGTCATCGTGTTCCTTCTTCTTATTATTGTTCCTCCTGTCGTCGTCATCGCTGGAGTCCTTCTTTTCTGGCTTGAGCGCCAAACTAACCATGCGATGGAACCGTCGCTTGCGGACAATGCAGCCGCTCTGGACCACCAAAATGGTTTGGCTGGAGGTCATGGTCGTCATGCTGAGAAAAATGAGAGGACGAGATCCAGGCAACCAACATATTTCATGATTTCAGTCATGGAAAAAGACGTCAAAATTCGAAAAAGGAGAAATCAATTTTATCCTGAACCTTTGGATTCGATTGATTCGATTCGATTCATTCCAATCCTAGCTAGTAGCTACCTGGTACCGGTAGCAGTTAGTTAGACGCATACTTTGTGTGGGAGTGACATTCGGCGACCTCCACGACTGCCTGTTCCGAACGCTCGCGAGGTGCTTGGGCCTGGAAGGAACAGAGCAAACACGTTGAGGAGAGGCTTCAGATTTTGCTGCACTTGTCCGTTACGGTCGTGTTCGACAAACCGACAGATGAGTTTCGCTACCGTAGCTGGAAGGGCATTCAAACAGTTTGTTCAACAGCAGCAGAGCATCATAATTCAGCAACTCAGTTAGTTGTTCGTCAATTTCTTCGACGCCAAAACCACAACACAACAAAGATGGCAGCCACTCGTTCCCGCCGTTCATCGACGACTTCCGCCCCCTCCAATGAAACCACTCCGAAGAAATCAAAGAAGCAGATGCTGGAGGAGGCCCGTGAGAAAGCTCGCCTTGCAATGTCGCCACAGACCAGTGGAACAGGCACGCCGAAACGAGCTGCCAAAAGTATTGCGTCGCCAGAAGCCAAGAAGAAGAGCTCCACCAAACCAGTGGCACGTCAGTCCTCCAAGAAGAAGGAACCCGTCGTCACTACCGTGGAAAGAGAGACCGATGAAAAGCCTACGATCGTTCGTCCCGAGCCCAAGCAGTCCACGGCAACTGAAGAAAGCTTTGGAATGGATGGAATGGAGCTGGAAGATAAGATGGCTCCAGTCTACGAAAAAATTCCTGGGCTCTTGATGAGTATCAAGAAGAGTGGCGACCCTACGGATATCGAGGACCTGTTGGCAGTTGTGTACGAAGATCTTCTTGCTGCTGCGGCGCAGAGTCAGAACCGTCGAAACAACAGCTTTGGTCCCAAAGCAGCGCCGGAGATTACCAATTACATTGGGGAGACTTCAAGCACTGTTCTTGCGGTTGCACAGTTGTATAACAACCACGCGAAAATTCAAGCTCGTGCCATTGAATGCCTTGTACAGCTTTTGAAATGCTCTCCCAGTGCAGAGGACTCGATTACAAAGTTCGGAGGCCAAATTGTGAAGGGGGGATCTCGCTTCCTCCGGCGGCTTACGGATCAAAGCTTTGCCACGAATCCATTCCTTTTGGGGCGCACAACTCCGCCAGTGTGGACTCGCTTTGTCAAGAAAGACATGGGCGGAATCGCATTCTTGGTTGAGATCATGAAACAATGGTGTGATTGCAAGTCTGTTCTAATTGACTGCATTCGCTTGTTGCGACGCCTGGCTGTAGTCCAGCAAGCGCACAATGCGATGGATGCAGCGGGCGCTGTGGAGTGCGTCTTGGCGGCCACGAAGCACCCAGACGAGGAAGTCAAGGCCGAAGGACAAGAATTCATGAAGACATACTATGGAGTCGAATCTTCCTAGCTAGCTATACCGGTAGGAGACACATTGGAGACTACCGTACCGGTACCGGTACTAGTAAGGGTCATGGTGGCCGCGGTTGGCATTGCATCAAATAATTATTAAAAACAAAGAAAGAAACATTGCGTAAACTAGAAGCAGAACCTTACCAGATTTGCGAGCTTGCATGCATTGCTGGAGATTTTGCATGCATTCCATCATAAGAGCAACAATGTCCAAGGAACCATGCAATCACCACGTTGTCTCTATGCATAGCTGGCTAGGGCCAAAAGGTATGCATAGGGCTCACCGTCAATGGTCTTCTTCGTAGCTGCACATCCACTAGAACTAACTACTAACTAATAGAAGAAGCAACAGGACTTGAGATTGGGATTGAATTCACTCCATTATGGTCTTTCTGCGCTGCTAGCTGAAGCTGAAGATGGCTTCAAGGAGGGGAGGTCAATTGCTCTGCGTTGTGGCCAGAGAAATATATGTTTAACTGTATCATGGAACTGTGAATTGCCTTGCTTGGTGGCCTACTGCGCACCCATACCGTACGTATCAATGGCACCACTGCTGAAATCTTTCTTCTTCGTCTAAGAGGTCGGAACCAACACCATGGAGTCATAGCACTCTGGTAGACCAAGATGCTCCGGTTCCACCATGGAACAGAACTCGGCTTTCGGAAAGGTGTAGGACTCTCCCGTGGGACCAATCACCTGGACATGCAATCTGCCGTTCTCATATTCCTTCATGATTTTAAAGCTCATTTCAAAACTGAGGCCGCTGGAAAACGCGCTGCATTCGCTGTCGTCGGAATATTGACTCATGGAGATGTCTCCGATGTAGAGGTCATCCATGGAAATAGTACCATCGTTGGCGCTGAAAGTTTTCGGTCGTTTGGGTCGCTGCCGTCATTTGCGTCCTCGACAAGCTTGTAGCTTCCATCTAGCGTGCTGTTGGCAATGACTATTTCTGCCCTTGCAGGATTTAGTGCCAACTCCATGGCATGGGTGGCTGCTTGGGGCTCAACCTGGTTCAGACGGGTACAAAGATCCTTCAGAACAACCAATGCTCGATCAGGGTCCTTCGATACCTTGTTCAGCAGATCCAAGTCAATCTCCTCCGACTTCTGTCTCTTACTTGGACTCGCTCCCTCTTCGTCTCGGCCTTTGCTGCTCATGTTGCAGTTTTGTTTCTTCTGCCTCTTCTTTGATTTCGTGGAGGTAGAAGCAGAAAAAATGACAAGCAAGCGCAGCTGAAGGCGCGAAACTTTGGCCTGAAGCCCTCCTCAAACATCATTTGGACGGCTTTGCTGTGTTGTCGGGGAAGATTAAAAATTTTTAGGTGACGGGGGTTTATTTGAGTAGGATATGAAAAAGGTATGGGGAGAAAAGGTAAGGGGAGATTAGATTACACCCTTCCTCCATTGGATTGGTTACTTCTCTGTTAGCAGCAGTGTTATCTCTTTGTAGTATCTGATCTGAGAGGAGAGTTTGCTGATTGATAGAATCGATTTTGGATTATCTCAAGGGTATCCTCGTTATTCCTGATACCCCTGATATACCCCTGTACTTCTGTATACTGACTTGAAGAGGTATGCTGCATGTATTGTCATTCTTGCTCAGAGACAATGCTCATTTTCTCTGTATATGAAAGTGTTTGTTTAGTTTAAAATGCGTGGTCCAAAGACCGCTTCAAGGATTATTTATCAATGAGGGGGGGGGGCAAATAGGCTAGAGATATTCTTAATTAATATACCGGGCAGACCCTGGTGATCTCTGACCCCGTTTATTGTGGTGGTGGTTGGTTGGTTTTGGTTGGTTGGTTATCCTTAGGGTTAGAGTTTAACTAAAACCGAAGCCCCCTCTTGGGCCCCCACATTTCTTACACATTCTCTTTTATAGCAACGGATCCTGAATATTTTCCTCACATTTTCACACCTCTAAACTCCCGTAAGCTACCAAGCCACTTTCTCAGATGGAAAAATTCAATGTCTCACGTTGCACACCTCTAAGCTCCCGTAAGCTACCACGCCTCTTTCTCAGACGGAAAAATCTAACGTCTCACGTTGCACACCTCTAAGCTCCCGTAAGCTACCACGCCACTTTCTCAGATGGAAAAATCTGACGTCTCACGTTGCACATCTCTAAACTCCCGTAAGTTACCACGCCTCTTTCTCAGACGGAAAAATCTCACGTCTCACGTTGCACACCTCTAAGCTCCCGTAAGCTACCACGCCACTTTCTCAGACGGAAAAATCTAATGACCCTACCTTCAGGCAAACTTCAACAATATTACTATGCCGGCCCATATTTTAAGTCAGCTTGCCCGGTAACACCTCCGGTGTCCTTTAAGATAGTGAGCAGTGGGCCAAGCAATAGAGGAGAGTCAGTGACACTTGTGACTGCGCTACATGGGAGTAGCAAGTCAAAATACAAAGGGGTTCTAGAGTATCGAATTTTGCTAGCTAGTATAGGAAATCTGATGGGAGGCCAAGCTTATGAGAAGAGAAGGCACCATTTCTGGCTGGGCTCATTGGGATCAGGAGGGGGGCAACTGAGGGCCTGTGAAAGGGCCAGTATGTAGGATTTTGTGGAAGCCACAAAGGAATATGTGTACAGCCTTAACCAGAGCAGCTTGAGCAATGGAGAGCTGACTTTTGATGTATATCATCATTTGTGAGAAAGAGCGTTGACTTTTGTTGGCATTTTAAAATGGAAGCAAGACGTTGTGAGAGGGCTTTGGTTTTAGTTGGGAGTGAGCATGCCATCAATTGCAGAGGGGCTTTAGCATTGGGAGCAACGGGACAAACAAATACTAAATAGGTACGTTAAGGAGCGAGGGGGCTAAGCTAGGCAGAACAGTGGATGCGGTGGTGGGCGTACTGGGAGCGGGAGCAGGGGAAAAGGGGGGGCAGGGGAAGGGAGGTGAATGGAGGAAAGCGAGGAAGTATAGGGGAAGACGAGAGGGGGCAATGGGGCAGGATTAGCGGAAGAGTGCAAGTGCACCATCGGCATCCCAGAGAGTTGTGCCAGCAGGGACACGAGAGCTACGCATGCAGAGACTGCAGAGTTGGCGGGCCCGAAGAATAGCTAGGCTGAGCCGAGCATTAACATAGCCACACACCACTGAGTAAGGGCGTTCCCACTTGGCAGCCAGCAAAGCGGAAATACGTTTGGGGTTGGGAGCAAACATGCCATCCACAAAGAGAACAAAAGGTTGTCATGAAGGGGGGTGGGATTTGTAGGGGGCTGAAAGGCGTAGTTTTGCCAAGGATGAGGGGGTGCAAAAGGGGGGCTTCCTGCTGTGACCCTCCCCGGCCATCGCACCGCTGTCGGGATCAACAGCGCAACAGCATGCCATAAAAAGAGAATCCGGGATACGGCTGTCGGCCATCGGCCAGATGAGTGCAGTAGAATTCTGGAAAGGGGTAGTCTACATGTAGATCGGGCTGATGTTGTGGCTGCCTCCATCGAGACAAGGTGTCGGTCTGCTGCTCTTATGTCTTGTAGTAGTAGTCAGACTGGTCCTGGCTGAAAGGAATAAAGATGGCTGCTATGATGCCTACAAGATGTCATGCGAAGATGAAAGGCCTGAGATGGATATTCTCGATGTGGAACGGACATGTGAACGGATTGAGAAGGAAGTTTTCGGATGGACCGGTGATTACGAATACTACGACGAAGATTGGGATCAGATTGTCGTGGTGGGGGCATCCACGTTTTTAACAGAGCAGCATATTGACTTTTTGAACCAAGTAAGAGCCACGGACGACTTTTGCTTGGAAATCAAGAGGGCCTACCCCCAATGTCGTTTTTGTGATCCTCGGGTTTCATTGGAATGCTCTGCAGAGTGGAGCCTTACCACCTGTGGAGGCCGTCCTTCCTTGCAAGAAATACTCCAAGACAACGAAACATATCCCCTCTTTGTAACGGATTTAGATATTCACATGGCTTGTGATGTTTTAATCCAAGCATATGAAGCCACTGAAGACGACTTCTTCGCATCATCTATCAGAATCCCCAGCAGTATTCAGGTATGCGAGTACCAAAATCAAATCAAACATCTCTGTCCTGGCTTTTGTGAAGGAGGCTGTTTCGACGAGATCATAAACCCACCGTCCTGCAATCCAGAAATTAATGAAACTGGAACCCCTTTCGACGAACAAGCCATAGAAGCCGCATGTAGCTTCATGCTGGAAACCTTTTTCCGAAAAGCCGATGTGGCAGTAATCAACAATGTCTCTGTTCATTGGGAATACCTACGTGGAATGGATGCCCTGAGCCCTGAAGGTTGTGAAGACATGCACCAACTGTATGCCCGATGCCCTTGGTGCAAACAAAGTGAACTGTGTTTCGATGAAACCAATCCCTTATCTTGCGATGGGCCTACAGGAAGCTTTGGCGAGGATTCGGAAGCTGACGAGGAAGTGAACATTGAAGAAGAATGCCTGCAGCTTTCGCATGCCATTGCCGATCAATTTAAGCAGAATGACCTGTATGATTTGGCGTCACACCAGGCTCGCCTTACCACCCCCAAAAATTCATCGCTCTGTGATAGGGCGAGAAAGTACTATCACAAATGCATCTGGTGTGACAAGGATGCTCAAGTTGCCAAGGAAAGTGGCTGCCTGGTGCCTGACGTGGATATATGCATCATGGGGGGGAAAGCACCAGAAGGCTATGTTTCGACGGTAGCATCCAGTTTGAATCTTTCCAAACCTACCGGGGAAGACTGTGATTCGTTTACCGAGTTCTACCAAGCAAAAACGGAAACAACTCGTCCAACGACAATTCAAGCCTGCTATGAAGCCTTGTTCATGGCCAACCTCTGCCCTATCCAATTTTGCATCTCACGGCAGCCAGATCATGTAATCGACAAAAACTACCTTGGTGCAACCACCCAAGCTCAGAAGAGAGCTTTGATCTGGCTTTCCAGAGTGGCGGCAATTCTGTCATTCCTTGGAGCATCCTACATTCTATATGACACTCTGTCTGATAAGAAAGCAAGAACAACAACCTACCACCAACTCCTGGTTGGCATGGCAACATTTGATATTGTGACGGCCTTTGCTTGGAGGTTTGCCACTTTGCCAATCGATGCTGACAAAGCGGGACATGTGGAGGGTGCCATGGGAAATGCAGCTACCTGCAAGACCCAGGCATTCTTTATCCAGCTGGGGTTCACATCTGTGTTTTTCAATGTGTCACTTGCAATCTACTATGTGCTGGTGGTTGCCCAGGGCTGGAAGGAGTTCCAACTGCAGAAGATCCGTCTATATCTCCTTTCTGGCCCAGTGGTTGTTGGGTTGGGCCTTGCATTTGGGGCACTACCAATTTACCACTGGTTGGAGTATGGCTGCCATATTGAGCCCCTGCCAGAGGGAGAACTGTGGTCTGTACTAGTCTTTGTTGTGTTGCCTTTGGGTCTGTCCATTCTGGCAATCACAGCTTCCATGATGACAGTATACTGCACAGTGAGGAAGCAATCCGCAGCTGCCAAAAAGTGGACCATGGGAATCAGCCAAGCCAGCAAGATGGAACAGGCAGTTTTCTGGCAATGTCTCTTTTATGTCATGGCCTTTTACATCACGTGGCCCATCTTGTTCAGCGTATATCTTGCATCCTTGGATGACAAGGTTAGGATCTTTGGACTCTCACTGACAGTTGCTTTTGTGGCGCCACTACAAGGGTTCAACAATTTCTTGGTCTACATCCGCCCAAAATTGCGACAATCCAAAAAGAGGACCACCAGGAGGACGACCAATATTTCACAACTGGGATCCAGTTTGGCCAGACGGGTTTCCAGCCTTCTGTCCAAGCTGTTTGTTGTAGCTCCTGTGGACCACGGGCTAGATGACGATGATCCCTTGAGCAGCATGGATCCGTCTGCGGCCTTGCCACTCTATCGCGAAAGGACCGGATTCGATGAGAATGACAATCCTTCGAACCCGCAGCAGCAGATCCCCGCCATCCCAGAGGATTCCAATTGCGAGGACGATGACTCTGGTGCAAATAACGACTTTCACGATGAACCTGCAGACGGTTGCACACTCCTTTGCATGGCAGACAGCGGTTCACAGGAAATGGCGATCCAGGAACAAGCATCGAAACAAGCATCGTTCGATGACATGTCTTGCTCATCGGAGTGCCTCCGTCAACAACAGGTCGTTTCAACAACACAGTCGGACGGTCAGGAAGCCAGTCGTGGGGTCAGTGCTGATGGCTCCACGGACGAGTATCCTCTCTTTCCCTACTACGAAAAGCGAAAAGACTGGAGTCAATATTTGCTTCGTCGATGACAGGTACGGTATTTGACTCCAGGCACCCTAAATCCCTACCCGGCCAGCCTTGCGAGACGACCCTCAATTGATTGTCTAGCAGTATCATACTGTATGAAACAACTCGACTCGGTTGAAATCACGCCACAAGAAGCCGCATCCGTGCTCCGCAATGGACACCCTTTTTGAATGCAATCAACTCCAATCAGAATAATGATCGATCACCGCTGTGGGTCGCTGGGTTCTGCCGCAATCGCCTTCTACCGGTATCCCTCAAGGAGCCAACTAGCTGGTTAGAGTGGACTACGGTATTGGTGATGGTGGAGCGGAGCAGCAGGGCAGGATGAGCGCAAGCACAACCAGCAGGAGGGAACAGACAAGGGCCCAAAGAACCACTGGGGCCCGGGAATGGCTGGGGATGGGGAGAGGACAAAAACTAGCCGTAGAGATCGAGAGCGCCACCAATGCCGGCAGCTCATCGTAGTATGAGGAACACGAGAACTGCGGTGGCACATCGTAGCTGTGCTTTTAATTAAAGTCGGACGGAAACATAGGAACAAACCACAGAGTGCAATTACACTTTTCCACCGTAGAGATCTTCCTTCTCTAGAGAGCTACTAGACTACTCTTGCTAGTAGCTATTAATAGTAGGTAACCCCCTTTTTCACTCAATAATTTCCCTACTCTAATCCCCCCTTCCAAAATCCTCCGTGTTGGCTTCGTTGGTGATCGCGATATTTACTTACCGTACCCCTACCGTGGAAATCAAAAAGAGCCTGAACCCTACCGTAGATATTCCAATTGGATCCATCGCCAAGTTCATCATCAGTTCCACCCACAAGACGACCGTCGGCAGTAATAGAAGCACCCTCTTTCAAGATGACGAGGATAAAGCCCAGCATTGTTGTTACTACATGTACAAGTAGTAGGAGTATGTTTGGCAAGCGATCTCTGCTGTTTTGTCTGCTGCTCTTTGTAGTATCATTATGTGAGACGACCAGCTCAGGGGACCAACCCAAAAAGACAATGCTATCGACGCGTTCCTTTACACCCCTGTTGGATGAGGATGGCGATCCCATTGCCATGCGCTATTACGAGTACGCTCCTGCCGAATGGGCCGTTCGGTATTATGACAAGGTGGGGTTGGTGGATCTTCCCGTTCCTTCTCATTTCCAAACACTGGACGATGATCGCGTGGCGTACGAACTCCGCTATCAACTACTGCACGGCCAATGGACCGAACGAACGGCACTCGAGATTTTGTATCACAGTCTCATGGAACCTCCCATTCAAGACGATTCCATCTTTGCCAAACTCAACTTGACGGTTGGTAGTATCAACCCCAAAGCCGCACTCAAATTGCAACAACGCCAACAATTCATGTTGGGCTCTGGACCCAATCATCAATCCTATCGACGCACATACCAGGACCATTTGAAAGAAACTGCCATGGCGGCGGCTACGGCTCATCGTGCGGGAGCCAGTGTCACGGCGGGATCCTTATTTTCCTCACTGGGCGGCATTTTAGCGGCCAACTCTGTCGGCCGCCTCTCGACGCGCAAAATGGATACGGCATATGGCTGGCTGCGAGCCGATGTGGATGTCTGCGATTGGGAAGGTGTCGTTTGTGGCGATTTTTCGGCCACGAGTGTCTATTATTGGAACAATATGGGAATCATGGCCGCCGCCACGGCCGCACTGGATATGGATCATATGAATCAACACATTCAACAAGAATCCTGGGTGTGCGATCATTGTCCGACCGACGGAATTGCGTCCGAGCGAGTCACCAAGGTGGAATTGCCATATGCCGGATTGGTGGGGACGTTGCCCACGGAAGTGGCATTATTACAGTATTTGCATCGACTCGATTTACGAGGCAATCGTATTTATGGAAGTTTGCCCACGACGTTGCGACAAATGCAGTACTTGCAATACCTCGATTTGACACGCAATGAATTGTCCGGGACGATTGGCGGGCATATTCCGACACCACCACCGCCATCACAACAGGCACCACAAGAATTGTCCACGGAAGATGACCAACTCGAAACAACCACCACAACCGCCAGTACACAAGAACCCATTCCATTGTTTCCACCATATATTCGAGAAGTCTGGTTGGGATCCAATCAACTCCACGGAACCATTCCACTCGAGCTGGAGACGCCGCTGCTCATGCATTTGGATTTGAGCAAGAATCAATTCACCGGCAGTTTGCCACGGTACGGACGCAAACAATTGCCCAAACTCAAATCGCTCTTTGTCGAAGAAAATCAACTCACCGGAAAGATTCCTCCCAAATGGGCTGGATTGACCCATCTCGAAGTTGTCGATGTCGGATACAATATCCTCCATTCGTCGATACCGACATTGTTTGGGAAAATGAGCAAGTTGCGCGAATTGAATATCGCCGGCAATCAAGTCAGTGGCACCATTCCCACCGAGTTGTTGCAATTGGCTCACTTGGAATCGCTGGTGTTGAGTCAAAATCAGCTCCACGGCAGTATTCCGGGAGGCGATGATACCGTCCCGCATCGGGCCATGCGGGAACCCGAAGCGGGCTATAAATGGAGTCAATTGACCGATTTGCAGTTTTTTCATGCCAGTGACAATTATTTGACATCGACATTGCCGCCCGATTTGTTTTATGGATTGTCCAAAACGATTCAAAGGTGTGTTACGTATATATGGGCCACGTATGGATGGTGTATGGATGGTGTATGGATCATCTCAGTGCTGATTATATATTTCTCACGTTTCTCACTCACTTGTTTGATTCTTTGTTTGTTTTGAAGCATTGATTTTGGATACAACGAGCTGACAGGGACAATACCACGAGAAGTCGCCAAGTGTACTAACCTTGAACGTATTAATGCACAATCCAATTTCATTCGAGGGACGTTGCCCAGTGAAATGAGTCGCATGAATCCAAACCTCGAGTTGAACTTTTCCAACAATCTGTAAGTAGACAAACAAAAAGAAAAAAGCCTGGCCATATTTCATGGAACGCGTAAAGCAAACCTCACACACCCTTGCACTTTTGTTGATTGGCACTTTTACAATTAGCCTGACTGGAAGCATTCCAACCATGTTCTGCGGAGGTGGCCCCACTTCCATGAACTTTCTGTACCGACAATTCGCTTGTGATGCGGTTCTTTGTCCTCCCAACACATTCCATCCCACGGGAGCTGCTACACTGCACTCGGGGTGTCGGCCATGTCCACACGATCCTGTTGCTGACCGACGTGATCCACCCGAATCCAAAATTCTCGGGCGATCCAAATGTGCGTCATCAGCTTCTAAAGTTGCAATGGTCAATGGAGACGTGGACGGAGACGGCAAAGTGTCGGTACGGGAAGCCCTGCGATTACTCTTTGTGGAAACCATTGGGAGGTTTTGGGGACAGCACTTTCAAAACTGGATTGATATGAAAGTCAATGAATGTGACTTGTATGGTGTCACATGCGTCAATGGTCACGTTGCGAAACTGGATTTGGTCAATGCCGCCATGTGCTCCAGTGGAGATCACAAGTCAGGGTTGGTTCCCGATTGTCGTGGCATCCCTTCGGAACTGGCGCTACTCTCTCGCATGGAAGTATTGACGGTCAGTCGGCGACAGTTTCTCATGGGCACGTTGCCTACCGAAATTGGTTTGATGACACGGCTCAAGTACATTGACTTTTCGGATTGTCCCTACATGACGGGACCGCTTCCCAGTGAGCTCGGATTGTTGACCAATCTCAAATACATCAATGTGATTGGCAGCAGCTTTAATCAATCTGTGCCTTCGGAGATCTTTCACTTGACCTCTCTGGAAAAGCTGCATCTAAGCAACAATGTGTTTACGGGGACGCTACCACCATCATCTCTTGGAAACCTAGAAAGTATCAAGGAAATTTTCTTCTCAAACAACTTTGTTCACGGAACAATCCCTAGAGAAGTGGGAAACTTGACAAAGGTACGAACACGTAAAAGCGAAACCGGACTATCGTTGCAGTTTCACAAACTCATAGGAATTCCTTCTTTTTGCACATAGCTGGAAAACTTTGAGATGTACGGCAATGAGGTATGACAAATGCACGAAACTCTGTGCAAGATTGGTTGCTATGTTGTTGAAGCTCATGCATTCCCTTCCTGGCACTTGTATAGCTCAATGGAACCATTCCAGAGACGTTTGCACGGTGCACAAATCTGAAACGAATAGGTATGCCCAAGCATGTTAGGAGGGATGCCTCAAAGTTTGCTGTGGTTGTGCTATCAAACTCACATCCTTTTCCCACAACAGACGTATTTAGCAACAAGTTGACAGGTGCGTGGAGGGAGTCCTATGCTTTGGGTTCGGCTACACGCACTGCTTCCTACGACGGCCCTCACTTTGTTATCTGCAATTCCCAGGAACGATTCCCAAAGCCATAGCTCAGGTCGAATCACTTCAAATCTTGCATCTCAAGATGAATAAGTTGACTGGAACGATACCTCCAAAGTATGGAGAGTTACCGTTTCTTTCTTGGTTCGACGTGTCCCATAATTTCCTGCATGGGACCATCCCAAGTACCTTTGGACATGCCAGATCCATCAAAGACTTTCGTTTAGGAGGCAATATGTTTTACGATCCCATACCACAAACACTCTGTACCAACACCAACATCAACGGCGGACTGACAGCCACGTATGGATGTGATGGCGTCATTTGCCCATTGGGAACATATTCAGACACGGGCCATGCGACGCACGCAGCCAATGGGTGCATACAGTGTCCTGAGGGCGAATCAACCATGTATCTCGGGAGTACAGCTTGCAAGCTCTTTACTTCACAAGATATCCTCTCAATCTTGTTCGATGCTATGCAAGGTGAACGTTGGCCAGATGAACTACGCGACAATTGGAAGAATCGGCACGTCGATGTCTGCTACTGGTCCGGGATTATCTGTGATACGAAGGGTGACGTTGTGAGCATTGGATTCCCGATTGCTTGGGATGACTGGGCAAACGAAGGTTTGGCCGCCCCATTGGCCTAACAACATACATTTCAAGTATGGTAGCAGCGTAAAAAGCTTTGTAATGGCTGCGGGTACCGGTATACGGATCTGCTACATACACATGAGACGAATCTCCCCAAAGAGGCAACGATTGAGCGTTTCCCTCAGTACGCTTTTGGTAATACCGGTACGGTAGTACAATACCACTCGATCACACATACGATGGTATGGGTAGCACCCCAGTACAATACTGGTCTGACATAGTCTAGCTAGGGTAGCGTAACTACCAGCAACTCCAGAGAAGCAAGCCAACAGTTACTTGTTTCGAAGACCATTTCGACTCTTCTTTGCTTCAGCCGGCACTTGCTGGCTTCCGTAGATAATCCACCTACTCTAAACCCCCCCGTTAAGGTAAAATAAAGACTAAACCCCCCGTTAATAATGCGATTTGCGTTGGGGAAGGTTACAAAATTAATGTAGTCAAGTGGAGTCATTTTACTAAATTTCTGTTCCGCCCCAAGCAAGGCCACTTTTAGAAAAAATGAGAGGAAGACAAATTTTGTGGCAGCAGGGCAAAAATCTGGCTAAAGTGCTTAATCACAAACACCACGTCAATCGGACAGGAGAGCTCGAACCAGTTCCGAAGGGGTGACGTTCCGAAGGGGAAGAGGACATCGTACCGCCGTAGCGGTATCATCGAACTGTTATCGTAACTAATAAGGTGTCGTCTCGGAGGAGGAACTGCAGCTAGCGACACCAACACAAAAGGCTATGGAACTGAGGCGTGGGCTGCTGCCATAGGAAATGGGATCGTCTCGTGGGAAGGTTCACTTCCACCGACGCGCTTGGAAAGCATGGGTGCTACTACTGCAAATGGCATCAATATTCCTGGCTGCTACAGTTGAGGCGACACGGAACAAGGATGGTTGCTTTGATGCATTTCATATGACATGTGACAGGGATGATCCGATGACAGGCTTGGTGGAAGACATTCTAGAGATTGAAGAGACTTGCTACTGGATTGAAGACTACTTTTTCAACCGATCGGTATTCACCCATCTCATCCCGGCTCATGTCGATTTCTTCAACCAATACACCCCCGAGGATGCTGAGTGCCTACTGGTCCAAAAAGCCTTTCATCACTGTGTTTTTTGCCAGCAGAAGAATCAGTGGGAACGAGATGCCTGTGCAAACTACGCTTATGCACCCATTTGTGGTGATCAACCCACCCTGGAACAAGTCTTGGCAGACAATGACAAATACCCACAGTACAAGACCCCACAAGATGTCAATCAAACATGTGTGATCTTGAAAGCGCTCGATGAACTAAATTTTTCGCCAAGAACGTATCATGTCTGCCAGGAATCACGCCTGGTCAGACATCTCTGCCCGGGGGAATGTCAAGGAGGCTGTTTTGATGAGGAGCTGTATGCCCCCTCCTGTCATCAACCCCAAAACAGCTCACTCTTCATGGAAGACTTTGATCCGGCAATCTGTGCAATTATCCAGACAGAGGCGTTTCGAACCTTGAACCGATCTCAAGTCATGGATCCGGCCAACCATTTGGAATACCTACTAGGCTTTGAAGAACAATCCCCTGAGTGCCTGCCAATCCGAAATGGCTACCAATATTGTCCTTGGTGTACCGGAGGTGACTTTTGTTTTCAAACAGAGGAATCCTTCTCCTGTGAGCCTCCGCCAACACCACCACAACTGTCATTCCGCCAAGAAGACGCCGAGGAAATCTGCTATATGCTGTTTTGGAATCTCATTGATTTCGACAATCCGCGCATAGTTTACGATTTGGAGGCTCATAAAGACCACCTGACGTATATGGAAAAAGACACTCGATGCGAACTCGCCCGAATGTACTACCATCGATGTGCCTGGTGCGATGAATTCGCCGTCCAAGCGGACTGTCTCCTGTCCAGCCCCTGTGATACAAATGCCACTGTACCGGAGGGGTACAACTCGACGACCATGGCGGCATATGACGGACCAACGGAGGAATTTTGTGAGAATGTTAATGGATTGTTTGGGATGGGGTTTATCCATGCTACCACGGAATATTGCTTAGAGTCCATCTTTCTGGCCCGCATGTGTCCAGAAACACTGTGCCCCCAGCCACCCAAACCTGCCGAACGCTCCAAGGATTACCTAGGTACTACCAATCAAGCACAACGAAAGGCACTGATTTGGGCCTCTCGCACATCGGCCATGCTGGCCTTTGGTGGAGCATCCTACGTTTTGTACGATACCTTGTCGGACCCCAAGGCCAGATCCACAGTGTTCCACAGCCTGCTGATTGCAATGGCTTCATTTGATATTGTGACGGCCTCTGCATGGTTTGCTGCTTCGGCCCCTATTGACAAGGAACAAGCTGGACATGTGGAAGGTGCCATGGGAAATCAGGCCACGTGCAAGGCCCAAGCTTTTTTTGTTCAACTGGGAATTACCTCAATCTTCTACAATGCCTCCCTTTCTATCTACTACTTTTTGATCATTGTAAAAGGCTGGAGAGAGTTCCAGCTCAAAAAGATACAACTCTATTTGCATGCTGCACCATTGGCTGTTGGATTGGGGCTGGCCTTTGGAGCCATTCCCATTTATCACTGGATTGAGTATGGGTGCCACATACTACCACCACCCGAAGGCAAACTCTGGCATGTCTTGTTGTTTGTGGTCATACCGGTTGCTCTGTCTATCCTGGCCATTACAGGATTCATGCTGTTGGTGTATTGCAAAGTCCGACAACAATCCGCTACATCAAGGAGGTGGACCATGGGGGTGGGTCAGGCGAGCAAAATGGAACAAGCTGTCTTTTGGCAATGCTTTCTTTTCATGCTGGCGTTCTATATCACCTGGCCCATCACATTCAGTGTGTATCTGGGAGACATAGACGACAAGCTCGACAACTTTGGGCTGTCTTTGACAGTTGCCTTTGTGGCACCTCTTCAAGGGTTCAACAACTTTTTGGTTTATATTCGCCCCAAACTGGCAAACAGGCAACGAAGCACTGCCGAGGTGTCCTCCATGGGCTACCTTGCACGGATTTGGACGAAGGTGACATCGATAGTTTCCTCCAAGTCCCATTCATCGAGTGCTTATGGCAGTATGGATCCTTCTGCTGCAATTGCTTTGCAGCGGGACGCTGACATTAGCAGCCTTCAGGCACAAACAAATACTGAATTGCCTATCATTGACGAGTCAGTCAACAGCAAGGGAGGAAGTAAGATCGTGGCATCCATATCGCACAGCTCCAACCAGTCAGCAGGCATTGAGGACTTGTCGGACCAGCAATATTGCAATAAGGATTCCTTTGTGAATGAGCATCAAACATCAGGAGATGTGCTGGAACAAAACCCACTTGGTGTACCGGTGGCACCCGCAGCATCGGACACAGCTAGCAATGAAGAATCGAAGGAATCCACTCCACTCAATCGTGTAATGGAGGAATCACTACAAAATGGCCTTCCTGTGGACAGCCAAGAGCAAGTTGACCAAGTGTCTATTGCATCATATCCTTTGTTCGAAATGCCTGAGCGAAAGGATTGGAGTCAGTACCTACTCCAGGGAAATATTCAAAATTCCTGAGCACTCGATCGAAGGTGGTGGATATGGAGTCAAGCATCGACCTACGGAGCCAGCTTTGTCATATCTTCCCAGCCCTACCAAGGGAAACCAGAACTGTCTGCTCTGAATGATTTAATTAATCATTCCATCATGAAGAAATGGCGGAAACTTCGTGGACCGGAATGACTGGATGAGATGACCATCACTTGTGAAACGTCCAGCCATGGATGTGTGCACCCGCTCTCGTAAAAGAGAAGCTTCAATAGTAGAACTTGAGGTGACTGAAAGGCCCCTTGCAATGAGAGTATGCACGATGGGGACACCGGCGACGATTGATCATTCGATTTGATGGTTCAAAGCATCTCTTTTTCGGCACAGATCGGTGTTCGGACATGCTTGGAGACGGTGTCGACTAGATTGGTTCCATCTCTGTTGTTAGATTGATCATTCGATTCCTTGGCCAAAGCCACATCATAAGGACTACAGCGCTGTGTTGCCCAGGGTAGGAAATGCCTTGTTGCTTGCGTTCTGTCTGAACAACGGGTAATCCTTCTCGATCGTTGTCAATGCCATCTCACTAGCTAGCTATAGCTAGTAGTTAAATACCGTACATTTAGTTTTAATAATACCATTCTACAAATCGGGCATACCCAGATACCTCGCCATGACACGCAACTCGTCTTCATTCTCAAAGAACACTTCACCCGATTGGAATCGTTCCATCACTTCGACATCATGTTGCATGTGCGTGGCACTGGTGGTCCCCGACAAGGGTGTGACATATCCGAGCGACAGCAAAAAGGCAAACAACAACGTTTGTGGGTTGAGGTTTTTGGATGTGGCCAATTCGTGAACCTCTGTGGTTGCCAGGGCGTCGCGATTGGCCGTGAGGGTCCAAAAGGATTGATACCAAATGCCCTTTTCCTTGCAAAAGCGTCGTAGTTCCGTATCAAAGTTGGAAGCGGCATAGAATCGATTTTGTAGTACTTTGGGTTTGTGTTTGGCCATGTCGTAGAGTGTGGCAAATAGTTCGGGATCGTAGCAGTTGCTCATGCCCAGCCCCTTGACCTTACCGGCATCGACGTAGGTTTCCATGGTCCTCCAGGCTTTCATGGTATCTTCGAATTCTTGAAAGGGAGAATGCATGACCCAGGAATCCAAATAGTCTGTTTTGAGGTTTCGCAAGGAAGTTTCGAGAGAAATCCGGACTTGATCTTCAATGGGAGACTGCGGGTCGTAGGGACCTGACCATATTTGTGGAAACATGAAATGACAATGGAGTGAGTGAGTGAGCAAGCGAGAGATTACAAATAGCGAAAGATACGTCGCGTCACTGAGAATGTAGACAAAGAAGAAATACGTACAGTTGTCGGGATCTTGCCCACCGAATCTAAAAAGAACAATTGAATTGAAAAAGGACAAAGCAAAAGAATGGATGTAAGAGGAAATCATGAAGGATTGAGACGAGACCTAAAAGATCAGCATGCAGCAAAACAGCAGTTAGTTACTTACGGTGTGTATTTGGTTTGCAGGAAGAAATCGGACCTCTGCAATCCCAAATGAGATGCTGCTCCACTCCATCCTTCTCCAACTCCTGGTTCACTATAGAGGGGAAAAGGACCAAAAAACTGGATCAGCAAAAGGGCGTTTGATACCTGCTACAGAACACCGTGTCTGCATGTCCTCTGGCTGTCCACCCATATATAACTCACTTGTAATGCCTTGGCTGACATGCCGTATCGATGAATCGAAATCCCGACTTGACGGCCATGTCAACCAAGTGGGCCGTATGTTCCTTTTTCCAGGCGGTTCCGTACACCAAGAATAGTTTTCCACTCTCCACAATCTGAGACGCGGCATGAGCCGCCGTTGTCATTCGAGTTCTCATCAAGACCATGCTAACGACTGTCACGGTCAGTACCAACAAGTTGCTTCTCCAGCTATTACTACTAGTAGGAGGCATTGTGTGTTTCTGTTGTCTCTTGCTTGAGTTAATTGTTGGTTTGCGTGGGTTGATCTATCTTTGTATCATACGGAGTCTTGCTGTTACGTCTATTGTATACGAACCGGTAGGGACAGGGCTGTCCCTTTCCCTTTCTGTTGTTCCGTCGATCTTCCTTCAGTTTTGGATCTTTTGGATCTTTCTTCTTTAATCTAAACCCTAAAATGGATCTTTTATACTATCACAGTAGTTTCGCATCGGCTTTTTTTTCATCGGCCTCCGTCCCACAGTCTCTCACCAACGGTGCTGTTCCATTGATGCTCTGTAGACTGTCATCATCACCATCATCATCATCATGTCCTCCGCCAATGATAGCTCTCTTTTGTCGAGCACCGCGAGCAGCATATTGGGAGCCAGCGCGTGGAATCGGGAAAAGGACCACCAGCATGTACAGGGCAAACCAGGATGGGTGATTCGGGGTCTCGACGACCATCAAGACACCACAAATACAAAAGGTAGTAGAAGTATTAAGGATCAAGAGCATCTCTTGCAACGGCGCGTCTATCCTGCTCTGATCCAACCAATAAGTGATGGATCTCCAGCACCAGAAGAATTCGCACAACAACCACCAGAAGAACAAGAGGACAAGAGCGAACTGGAATCGGCCGTGCTGTTGGATTGTCTGTCGACTCATTTTTTGTGTGCGCCGTTGCCACTCGCCCAAAAGCACGCTTTGGTGACGCAGTTTGAAAAGGTGCAATATCGAAAAAATGAAGTCATTTTTCGACAAGACGAACCGGCCGACTATTTGTATGTGTTGTATCTGGGAGACATTAAAATCTTTGACGATCAGGGAGAGGACATTACAGCGACGGTGGTCGGCAATAATAAGTACACCGTCTTTGGAGAATTGGAACTCCTCACTCATGCACCGACTCGATCCACCACTGTCAAGGCGACCTCTTCCATTTGTACACTCTTTCGGCTCTGTAAAACACTCTATCAACGGGCCTTTCTTCAACAACAACCCTCTTTTTCCAGTCAACAGCAGCAGCAACAAGAGCGCATCCAACTCCTCCAAGAAGCACTCCCGGAAGAATTGGTGGAGTACTTGCAAGATGACGACATGGCACTCCAACGACTCGTCAGTGGCATGTCCACCCATCCATTTCAAAAGGGAGACATTCTCTACCGCAAAGAAACCAGATTGGAAGCCCTCGTCATTATTGCCCAAGGACAAGTCACGGCCACGGACATTACCATGGGCGGACGCTCCTACGAAGACATGTCCATTGGACCCGGGCATGCCAAGACCAGTTTTGGATGGCAATCCATACTAGATACTGATGACAATGACAATACTACTAGCAATGACACTCATCGTCATCAACGCATGACGGGAACCATGGTGGCTGCATCCGATGGAACGGCTCTGGTCATTACCAAGGACACCTTTGCCAATGCCCTCGGCTCCAGCTCGACAGTGTCATTACAACAATTGGCCGCCAAGCGATTGGCACGTATTCAACTCCAACAAATCACCGTCTTTCGAGACTCCAATTTAGATGATACACAAATCAATGGTTTGTTGGATCTCATGCATTCTTGTGATTATGCAACGCAAGGGGAACCCATTTTCAAGGCCGGTGACAAGGTCGAAGCGGCCATGTATTTTGTCCGCACGGGATCGGTCACGTTGGAAACCAATCGAGGACAAACGCCGCCACAGACGATTCAAGAGGGGGGATATTTTGGAGAGAAACACATGCTGCTGGATCAAAACAAGGACGGACACAAACATTTTCAATTCCGGTCGCCCATGACGGCGCTGACAGCGGCCAACAATACGTCCATTGATATCTTGTACTTGGAAGAGTGTCGGCAAGTTATTAATACGACAATCCTCGGATTGGGACAACAGCAATCCGCGAATACTAATAATATCGTCAGTACCATTGACGAATCCATCACGTTGGCGCAATTGACTCGGCATGAGCTACTGGGCGCTGGTAGTTTTGGACAAGTGTGGTTGGCATCCATGACACGCGGTGATACGGATGACAGGATTGTCGTGGCACTCAAAGTACAAGCCAAACACTTGTTGGCACAGTCGCCCGACAAGGCCGAGCGCATTGTGGCCGAAAAGAACGTCATGGCGTCCTTGCATTCTCCGTTCATTATGCGACTCTTGAATGCCTTTCAAGACGACAAGCGTCTCTACATGATTTCATCCATTCTACAAGGAGGAGAACTCGAATCCATCATTCCACAAGAAGGACTGCCCGAGTCGGCGGCCAAGTTTTATGCCGCGGGCATTTTGGAAGGGATATCGCACATGCATCGAAGACATATTCTGCACCGTGACGTCAAACCCGAGAACTGCCTTATTGATGCCAAGGGATACCCTGTCTTGATTGATTTGGGGTTTGGTGAGTTTTGTCTTTTTTGTTTGTTTGTAGTTATGCCCGAGAAACTGATAGCTAGCTAGAAGCTGGGGCACCGATGAAATGGACAGAAACACTCTTGTTCGGAACGTCGTTTTGATCATCCAACTTGTTTGCTCAGCTCACATCCATCTCAATTGTTTCTGCGTGTACGACAGCCAAGTACGTACCGGACAAGACATTCACATTTTGCGGGTCACCCATGCTGACAGCGCCGGAGATTATACGATACAAGGGATACGATCGAGGATGCGACAATTGGTCTTGGGGCGTGGTGGTCTACAGACTAGTTACGGGGAAATATCCATTCTACCAAAAAGGAATGGACGAACTGGCATTGTACAAACGAATCTGCCGTGGCACTTTTGAACTGGATGGGACCATGTCTCCTGAATTTCGACAACTCATAGTGTCGATTCTCTATCCGGATCCAACGCGGCGACTGGGGTCGCGTGTCAATGGTTGGCGGGATATGTTTGCTTCTCAATGGTTTGCCAATATCGATCTGCGGAGCTTACGGAAACAAGAGATATCAGCCCCGTGGGTTCCCGAATTGAAGGATCCACTCGACGCCTCTCGATTCCATCCTGATTCCTCTGACGTCGAAGACTTGATGACGGCAACCTTGCCGGGGATTTCTGAAACGCAGCAAAGCGTATTCGACGCGTTTGGTCCTCAAATATAGCGTGCACGAAAGACTCTCATGTTCGAGAGGTCCAGCTCCATAAGTATTGCTCAAAAATTCTTAACATGGTTCCACGGAGAAAGTTGGATGCTGTCTCTGTATGGACAGATTTGCTCAAGACTTCTCATACTCAGTTTCCCTTGGTCGGGCTGGGAAGACGTGACAAAGCTGGTTCCGTAGGTCCCTGACTCTACATCCACCACCCTGGATCCATTGCTCAGGAATCTTGACTATTTCCCTGTAGAAAATACTGACTCCAATCCTTTCGCTGAGGGATTTCGAACAAAGGATAAGAGGCAGTAGACACTTGGTCAAGTGGTTCTTGGCTGTCCACAGGAAGGCCGTTTTGTAGCGATCCCTGCATTAGCTGTCGCGATCCCTGCATTAGCTGTCGTCCTCGCACACAAGTGGATTCCTTCGATTCTTCATTACTAGCTTCCGATCCCGCTGGTGCTACCGGTACACCAAGAGGGATTTGTCCCAGCACAACCTCTGTGTTTTTGTGCTCATTCACAAAGGAGGCGTGATTGCGATATTGCTGGTCCGATGCCTCCTCAATGCCTGCTGACTTGTTGGAGCTGTGCGATATGTATGGCTCCATCTTTGAGGAGCTCCTGCTTCTACCTCCTTCACTGTGGACTGCCTCTTCAATGATGGGCAAGTCGGTATTTGTTTGCGCCTGCTGGCCGCTAAAGTCAGCGTCCCTCTGCAAAGCAATCACAGCAGAAGGATCCATGCTGCCAAAAGGACTCTGATTGTCAAACGAACCACGGGAGTTGGTGGGAAATATCGATGCCACCTTTGCCCAAATCCTTGTGAGGTAGCCGCTGGAGGACCCCTCGGCCGTGCTCCGTTGCCTATTTGCCAGTTTGGGGCGAATGTACACCAAAAAGTTGTTGAACCCTTGAAGAGGTGCCACAAAGGCAACTGTCAAAGACAACCCAAAGTTGTCGAGCTTGTCGTCTATGGCATCCAGATAGACACTGAAGGTAATGGGCCAGGTGATGTAGAATGCCAGCATGAAAAGAAAACATTGCCAAAAGACAGCTTGCTCCATTTTGCTCGCCTGTCCCACCCCCATGGTCCACCTCCGTGCTGAAGCGGATTGTTGCCGGACTTTGCAGTACACCAACAGCATGAATCCTGTAATGGCCAGGATAGACAGAGCAACCGGTATGACCACAAACAACAAGACATGCCAGAGTTTGCCTTCGGGTGGTGGTAGTATGTGGCACCCATACTCAATCCAGTGATAAATGGGAATGGCTCCAAAGGCCAGCCCCAATCCAACAGCCAATGGTGCAGCATGCAAATAGAGTTGTATCTTTTTGAGCTGGAACTCTCTCCAACCTTTTACAATGACCAAAAAGTAGTAGATGGAAAGGGAGGCATTGTAGTAGATTGAGGTAATTCCCAGTTGAACAAAGAACGCTTGGGTCTTGCAGGTGGCCTGATTTCCCATGGCACCTTCCACATGTCCTGCTTGTTCCTTGTCAAAAGGGGCCGTAGCGGCAAACCAAGCTGAGGCCGTCACAATATCGAATACAGCCATTGCAATGAGCAGGCTGTGGAACACTGTGGATCTGGCCTTGGGGTCCGACAGGGTATCGTACAAAACGTAGGATGCTCCACCAAAGGACAAAATGGCCGATGTGCGAGAAGCCCAAATCAATGCCTTTCGTTGTGCTTGATTGATAGTGCCTAGGTAATCCTTGGAGCGTTCAGTGGGCTTGGGTGGCTGGGGGCACAGTGTTTCTGGACACATGCGGGCGAGAAAGATGGACTCAAAGCAATTTTCGGTGGTGGCATGGATATACCCATCGTTAAACAAGCTGGTAACATTTTCACAAAATTCCTCCAGCGGACCGTCATATGCCGCCAAGATTATCGAGTTGTACCCTTCCGGTACGGTGGCATTTGTATCACAGGGACTGGCCAGAAGACAGTCCGCTTGGACGGCGAATTCATCACACCAGGCACATTGATGGTAGTACATTCGGGCAAATTCGCACAAAGTGTCGTTTTCCATATACGTGAGATGGTCTCTATGAGCCTCCAAATCGTAAACTCTGTGTGGATTGTCGAAATCAAAGAAATCCCAAAACAGGTCAAAGCAAACCTCCTCGGCTTCTCCACGTCGATTTGGTGGTGTTGGTGTTGGCGGAGGCTCGCAAGAGAGGGACTCCTCTGTTTGAAAACAAAAGTCACCTCCCGTACACCAAAGACATAAATGGTAGCCATTTCGAAGTGCCAGACACTCAGGGTCTTGTTTGTCAAAGACTGAAAGGTATTCCAAATGGTTGGCCGGATCCATGAATTGGGATCGGTTCAAGGTTCGAAATGCCTGTGCCTGGATAATTTCACAGATTTCCTGATCGAGTTCGTCGAGCTGGTCACCCATGATAAGTGAGCTGTTATTGGGTTGGTGACAGGTGGGGGCGTACTGTTCCTCATCAAAACAGCCTCCTTGACATTCCCCCGGACAGAGATGTCTGACTAGACGGGATTCCTCGCAGACTTGATACGTTCTTGGCGCGAAATGTAGTTCCTCGAGCGCTTTCAAGATTGCACATGTTTGATTGACATCTTGTGGGGTCTTGTACTGTGGATATCTGTCATCATCTGCCAAGACTTGTTCCAGGGAAGGTTGCCCACCACAATTGGGTGCGTAAGCATAGTAGAGACAGGCATCTCGCTCCCACTGATTTTTCTGTTGGCAAAAACCACAGTGACTATAGGCTTTTTGAACGTGTAAGCACTCAGCATCCTCGGGGGTGTATTGGTTGAAGAAATCGACATGAGCCGGGATCAGATGGGTCGCTACCGATTGGTTAATAAAATAGTCTTCAATCCAGTAGCACGTCTCTTCAATCTCCAGAATGTCTTGCAAGTCTGTCATCGGATCATCCCTCTTGCATGTCATATGAAAAGCATCAAAGCAACCATCCTTGTTCCGTGTTGCATTGACTGTCACAGCCAGGAATATTGATACTATTTGCAGTAGTAGCACCCATGCTTTCCAAGCGAGGCGGTGAAAGTGGAATCTCCCAAGAGAAGATCTCATTTCCTATGGCAGCAGCCTGCCCCTCAGTGCCACTGTCTTTTTGCGTTGGTGCTGCTATAGTTGCAGATCCTCCTCCGAGACGATAGCTCGGTCAGGATCAATGATATACGTACTCTTCCTCGGGAACTGCGAGTCAATGATGAACTTGGCCCCAGTGGATACTTTGTTTCTTATGCTGTTCTGGCTGATGGCTTGGCCTTGCCACTGGCCACTTGCCGCGCTGTTGCACTCGCTCCTGATGTTGGGGAGCCAGCTAGGCTGTTTTTTGTTGCCTTGGGTGCGGTATGTCCAGCGAGAGGAAAGGCCAGGGGAGCTTCATGCTACTGGGACGAGCCAAACGCACAACCACCAAGGGCTCTTGGGGATGCTCTAGCTAGATTAGTTGATGCGACCTACGACTACCGGTATCCTAAAGGGCAAATGTCAAGATGTAGTCAAAGACATCTCGAGGGATGCGATGCTTTTCCAATTCTTTCCGAAGCGCTCCCCACAGAGCCCGAGACATGCGCTCTTTTAGCAACGCCTCCCCCAATCCCCTCTTTCTCAGAATGTCCAAGGGAATCTTGCCGTTGTGGTTTTCGAGGAAAAGAGCGCTGGGATGGGCGTCCACCAGGCCGGTAATCCAAGTTTCCAAGTGCGCCGTTCCAACCTTTCCGCACAGCAAGTGCAGTGGATACTCACCCCTGCGGTCTGTATGCTTGGCTGCACCCGGGAACTTATCCAGAAGGTGTTGCATGATTTCAATGTCGCCCTCGGAGTAGGTCTGGCGAGGGGCACACGACAGGAAATCACACAGCAGTTCTCCACCATTCACCAGGGATTGCGGGGTCCATTCCAAAAGGAAGTCTAGTTTCTCCACCGAAAGATGCTTTGCCGCCCTGCACAAAAGCTTTATGGGAATGCGCCCCAAATAATCCTTTGTCTCGAGGCTATCATAGACGGCGGCAGCGGCGTCTAAGAAGCCTGATATGACCTTTGGTCAAGATAAGGGGCAAACAGTAGTAGGTCAAAATTTGACATAGACATGGTCTCGTCTTACAAAGGATTATGTCCAAGGTAGCAATATGGACCTTTTCCCCCAATTCAGAAAGTGAAGCTTGGATTCCAGCACAGAACAGAAATCTAGAATCAGGACGAAAGCAAGCCACTTAGCAACTTGTCAGGCAGCCAGCTTCTGCCTACGTTCTTCAATCAGAAGGTGTTTGTCATGTGCCTGTGTAATTTCGGCAGAAAGCAACTGCCAGACAAATTGCTAAGTGGCTGACCTTCCTCGTGATCAGGACCATTCTGTTGTAGATCAGGCCGTGCGCAATACAGAATGGTAAGAACTTAGACTACAGAATTAGAAGAAAAATAGAGTTGAAATAATAACATACTAGGAGAGAATTAGGATTTAAAACGTAGTGGGAACGGGTCATGGAAAATAACATATCATGACCAACACATGCTTAAAATACGGGGCCTTGTACAGATTGCATTCCACGTGCAACCACAAACAGCACCACTAATAGGCAAGGTCCCAACCAAAAGGTCAAGATGTACAGTTTCGAAAGTGGTGGGGGTGCAAAAATAACCAGCTGAGCACCCTGCAACCGAAAACAACAGCAACAAGGGGATGGATCTGTACCGAAAGGTCAAAATCAGGAAGTATCAGGCCCAAAATATTCAGTGGAGCCCCCTGATTAATCATCAAGGGTGCTGGCTCTCTTCCTCTTTTTGTGCTTTCGTGCCTCCTTTGCCTCGCGCTTTCGCTTCTGGGAGTCTAATTTCAGTTGATAGGTTGCCGAAGCTTGGTCATGTTTTTTCGCCATAGCCTCGTCATGGCGTTTCTGAATAGTGAGGCAAAGGTACAGGTATATAGATGAGTTGGCAATAATTTCAGGTATGGCGCACAGACTGTTGCACTTACCTGCAGCATTTCAACAAACTTGGTATCAATTTCAACCAACTTGTCAAGATTCGTCTCTCGGTTGATCTTGACCTCTTCCTTGACCTCCTCAACATGTCAATGCCTTCAGCAACCCACCCACCAAACTCTTTCTGGCCAGAACAATTATCAGAGTATTTTCCCTTGAAGCGAAAAGTACTGGGTTCCTTCTGCTGTATGTAGGGTAGTTCCTTGGCCCCCTTCTTCATACGCCACTGTATAGTTCAGTCCACCTCTTGTGGAATTGTCAAAGACCACGTAGACAAATGCTTCCGTGCCAGCTGGAATCTGATGAACTCCAACAACTTCATGAGTAGTGGGGCATACGGTCCGGCGATGCTTCTCACCGTAACATGGCTTTGAGGTAAAAAACAAAGGGCAAAGCTGAGAATCATGACTAAATATATCTGAATTCAATCTCAAATAGTCTGCTTTGTACTTACGCGCCAGCCACAATAGGAAGCAACTGTTGAGATACAGCTCCAAAAGCTCCAGGTTGTAAACCTCCTTGTCTGTTTGCGGATCCCCATCAGGAATGTCAACAGTCAAATCACGGAGCATTATCTTCTTGATTGCTTCAAGAGTGGGAAGTGGACGGGGGTTAACTGGTTTGCCATTCGCAACACCCTCTCCTTCCATCCATTCAAGAGCCCGCTTTCTCATCTCTGTGCAGATGTTGCTTCGAAGAGTGTTGATGGCCTCAACAAGGGTGGGAGTGTAAAGTCGGATAAATTCTTTACGACTTTCCTATGGGGCATTAGAATCAGCCGTCATTCAGGAGCAAAGCAAAGCAATCATGAGCAACACAGTTAGTGACTGACCTAAATCTCAAAGCAAAGCAAGCAATCATGAGCAAAGCACTGACCTTTATCTCCGCTTTCTCTGTTCCAACTCGTCGCCCTTAAACTGGGTGCCGGGAAGCATCAGGACATCATCAAGCAGCTGCTCCGTCAGAGCTTCAGCCTGCTTCCAGTCATCAAGAAATTTGCACCGACGCAAGGTAACCCGACCTTGTTTGCTTTTGCACCTGCCCAGCAATGGCATCGTTTTGCTGCTTCTTCAACTCTTTTTTAGAAAGTTTTCCTCCACTTCGAGCAGCTGGACAGAAAAACATAAAAAGGGTGAGGGTATTCCATGTGTACCAGAGCAAATCACGATGTTTAGCTGCTGATCTGTGTTAGCTTACAACTTTTCTTTGTGAGAAGCGCCTTGTACTTTTGCTTCAAAGTGTCATGTTCCTCCTGTGGTTGCATCATGATCTTCTTTTTCTTTTGAGGTTGTGCTGTCAAATTTGAAACTTGGCCCTTCAGCCTCCGATTTTCGTCCTTGTAACCTTTAACTCCCTTCGCCATCTTCTGGTTGTGCTTAGGATAGACTGAAAGTACTTGCTTGATGATTGTTTCAGTGTTGCCTTTGATTTTGCCGGCTTTCACCCTTTCATGCAGCTGATGCAGCAAGGGTTCCACAGGGTCAACTTCAGGTTGCTCAAGATTGCCTTCCTCGTTGTCAGAATCCTCGTCAGATGATGAGTCCACGCTAGCAGGTGGACTCACTTTCTTGCTGGTTTGCCTGTTCTGTTGGTGGGCAGAGGAGTGTTGCGATGATGCTTCCTGTTGGTTCCTCCACCACGCTGCCTCTTTGACCTCGGATCCTCCTCAGTTTCGTTGTCGTCTGGCATCCAGCTGTCGTCGTCGTCTTGCAGTAGTGCAGAGTTGTTGGTAATGGTAATGGTGGAGGATAGAAATCAGAGCAACCAAAAGAAGATGAGTAACCAGCAGACAGCCCATGGTCGAGCTGTCAACCGTCATGAGATCCACAAACCGACAATTGTGAAGTTTCTATTTCAATTGTTGCCAGTTGGGAAACGGGTCCACCGGGATGACCCCAAGTATGATCACCACTGTCCCCGTTGCGGCAGTGATCAGGAAACTGAAACCCATGTTTATCGATGCCCACATGTTGACGTGGATTTGTGGCGAGGGACCATGCAACGAGCGATCAGCACAAAGTTGCGCAAGGATTCCACCGACCCCTTCCTCCTGGAAATTGCTCTGGATGGACTACAATACCACCTTTGAAGATCGATTCCTCCACCCATGGCACTACCCTGACAGGTATAGGGACCTCGTTGACACTCAAAATCTCATTGGTTGGGACAACTTCCTGAGAGGACGTTTGTCCACGCACTGGGCTAAGCATCAAGATGCATATCTGCATCGGGTCGGCTCCCAGAGACAACCAAGACAGGGCAGCTCTGGGTCACCAACCTAGCCTCACTGCTCATCCAGCAGTGGTGGAACCTGTGGGAGGATCGCAATGCTGCCAGCATGGCAAAACAGAAAAACCAGTGGAAGAAGAAGCACGAACAGCTTCAGCGGGAGGTGGAACTCATTTACGAGAAAGCGGATCTGATCCCAGGTGGCTGGTGGATTTTATCTTCAAGCGACCCCTTGACGAGCAAATGGCAAAGGGCCCAGGCGACATCAAAGCGTGGCTTGCCAATTGCTGCCCGTCGTCGACAAGGCACTCAGGGACGAGCATGCACGCACATGCGGAACAATGACACAGGGTAACTCCGCACAGAAGGGGTCCTGCGTAGAAATAGATGGCAATCCAGCCAAGGGTAGATAGTTAGCTGCAAAGCACCCTCCGGAGTTTTTAAAACTTCTCCGGTGGGGGCTTGCACTAGGCCGGTTCCTATGTGGGCGTCTTTGTACGTCTGAGGTACTCGGTTCAATATGGCTCCGTTCAGCGGGTGGTCTATTTGAGGTGCAGCCTAAATAATAAAACTTCGTTATTTTTTGAGTAACCAGCAGATACAGCAGCAAGGTGTTGCTTTGTTCGAAAATGAAACGAAAGGAGTGCATCCATCATGTTTGTGCTACAGCCGAGTAATGGCAAGAGGAGTTGTTTCGATAGAACCGATTGGAGCGTTTTGGCATACTCTAGTACTAGCGGTGATACACACGCGACTGCCGTTGGGAAATTGTGGGACTAACCTTTTTTTCTACGACCACCACCAGTAGCATTCTGACGGTGATGCTCCTGTTGCGTTGTCATTGTATAAGTATCTAGGAATTCCTTCTTCCTTTTGAATAAATCAATATGTTTTCTTAACTCGATTGGTACTCGCCTTGGCATTTTCGTAAGAATATTGCCGCCATCATTTGGTCAAGATTTTGGTCTCATTTCTGGCCAAAATGTGGAGGGAAACTGACGCCAACACCCACCAATATAGATATTCATGATGAATCTTTTGAATTGACCATTCTTAATCATTTGATGGGACCCAGGATGCGCCTGCCTTTATACAATCCTCATAGTAGTAAACATCATTCGCTCCACATAACAGTTTGTACGTGCATGCTTACGTTCCATTTTTAAACACGTTACAGTAGGCACGTTTCAATGTCAAGCTCGACTCACTAGGGTTAGATAGTGTTGTTTTAAGTACCAGGTACCCAATCTTTCACGTGGCGATGCAATCATGAAGAAAGCTCACAAATTGATTGTAAATGCCCCTGAACAGCAGCTTTCGTGCGGATCTAGATGTTTGATACTGCACAGATTTTTGGCTACGAGCTAAAGTTTGTGGAACTTCGTTCTAAACATTTATTAGTTGTCATGACAGACCAAACTGAAGGCCGGCTTTGTCATTGAGGTATTCATCCGGTAGCGCTTGTTCCAGCCAATGACCAAAAACATCAACCCATTGGGCTCGAGGCTTAATTTGAAAGTTAGTTTCTCTTTGTTTCTGCATCCATGTCAGCACTACAAAGAGAGGGGCCCTTGATCTTTTCAACCCGACG